GGACCTTTCTTGTTTATGGATCGTGTCCTTCCTTCGGTTCAGGCTTTCAGATGTCCCCTAGAAAGACTCAGTGAAGCTGCTTATTATGTCACTGCCAGCATGAGGCCTAATCACAGCATCATTTAGTAATCAGTAATACAGATGGGATTGTGTGTCAGTGGGGGTGTGCAGACTCACCAGAGGAGTTATGTAATGACCACCGTCTGTGCCACTGCAAAACTGCAGCTCTACTTCCTCCAGTGGGAGCAATGAAGGTAAGTCATCCCAATGTAGAAGACACAAACGTAACCGAGGTGACGGTTACTGTAATCTGACATGGACAGTGGTATTAGCTCATCAACAAACTTCATCCACTTTGATCTCCATTGATCCGTGGAGGGGGGGCGGGGCATCAAGCCAACAAGCCGGGTATCTTACAGCAGATGGCCGAGAGGAAAGCAAACACAACTTAGAGGAGTGGTCTTGTGCATTTTGCGGTTCTCTACCTGAGGATGAGGGCGCTGCTGCTCACCGGTCTGGTCCTACTTGCAATGCATTTGTTAGAAGGAGGCATCATGAGTCAGATGCTGTGTGCCCTGAGTGGCCTTCGTTTAGTGGTGTTTGGTTCCACGTAGTGATAAAGGACAGGACTATATCAGTGGATTCACTCCCTCCTTCTCATACACACTGCTCCTTATTTAAGGCACAGCAGTGACAATTCAATTAATCCTTATTTTGAATAGCCCAAAATCACATGCAACATTGTCTGTCACAAAACCCTCACAAAGCGGGTAATGTTGGTTTATAATGACAGTAATAGTGATGTGTTTAATATTTAGAATGATAATAGTGTCAGCAGTTGTCAGCAGGGCTGTGGCGGGAGGGAACAGGGATCCATGGAAACCTGTGAGGCGAGAAAGCACAAATAAACAACAAAGTTAGTAATGCACATTAATGTTGACATTTTAATAATGTTCTTGTTAATTTGTTTTGAGGTGTTTAGAATATTGTATGTCAACGTGGCTCTGCTTGCTGTTCTCCACAGTCACAGTGAGACATTGTGAAGCCTGATGCTCACATGGTAACATTCTTGTTTATGAAATTAGAATGGCTCGGCTCAGTTAGTCCAGCCCATTGATTCAGCCCGATAAAGACCAACATCCCATCGTCAGGGAAGCCCACCTAGGACGTCGTACCACTGCTCATTGATTCCAGAAGTCTGTATGGCTTTATCCCTCTGTGATAAGGCTTCAGATTGGCTATTGGTGATCCTCTGCATGCTTATCGGACCGGTCACATTATCCATCAGCAGCTAGCCAGCTGCTGAGAGGTGGGCCGGGTTACACACAGGAAGTAGGTTAATCAATCCCCACTGTTGCCACAGTGGACAGACCACTTCTATACCGTATTATATACTTCTCACTGAACAATGAATGAATGAACATAAAGTGAGGCCCAGCTACAGTTGTGACGTATTGGTCTGTAATGTGCTCCTTCAGCTGCCCCTCAGGGTTACCACGGAAACCAAGTGAATGAATTGTGGAAACACTAATGAAGTGGGACAGTGACCCTAAGATGTTCTTTAACCCTTAAACGATGTTGGCGAAGCATTGATCTACAAATGAATCTAATACCTTGATATGTGCTATAAGTAGTCCTTCGGACATATTACGGTGTCATTGGCATTATGTGATTCATCAGCCTCCTTTGTCTCTGTGGACGCTTTGTAGTGACAGCAGAAGGATGGAGACCTTGCCACCCAGCTGCCTCACATTCACCATTTCACAGCCAGCTAGGACGCAGGTTGTGACCCGCCAACAGAGGAGCAGTCGATGGAACTGAATCACTGTGTTACTCTTCTTTCAGGCCACTTACTGTTGAACACACCTGGTTTAATAGAAAGCAGCAACAATCAGGTATTAGTGTGTGGGGTGTTTCATCCACAGCCACGGTGTCATTATCTCTGCGGCTCCTTAGGAAAAGACTTTGCTTTGGGGTTAGTTTGGATGAATGTTTGCATTCATAACCAGACCTTCCTTAGAGGCACAGAGAAATCAGGCACAGAGACAAAGGATCTGGATTGTGTGCCACGCTATCGAGAGACATTTTATTTGTCATGGAAATACTGAGTGGGCAAAAGAAGAGCGGGAACAGTGATGACACAAAGCAGAGAGGTGTGTGTGGGGTGTCCATGACCAGCATTCTCCCTCCTACACGCAGTGCACACAGTACCTACATGTACTGTAACCACCAGGACTCAGTTCAGTGAGGCTGTGTGCTGGATCGAGCTGAGGTTCTGCTGTGAGGAGCATGTTGGTGTTATTAGGTGTGAACATGGAGCTCACCTTGCTAGGAGTAAAATGTTCCTCTGAAGAATCCTCAAATTTGTATTCACGCAGTACTTAGACTTAGATCTGTGATCTACAAACTAGTACTTCACTTGAATATTTCCATTGTACTTCTACTCCACTTCAAGTATCGCCCAGCTTCAGCAGTTGGTTACCATGACGATGATCAGACATCAGTAATCACAGGAGCTCTGAACATGGACATAGGAGCCATATTAATGACACAGGAAGGACTTTGAGAGGGTCAGTCTGCCGGTTACCACGGCAGCATGACGATAAAGTCGTTATGGAAACAAATGAAGTCTCACTGGTTCCCTTGGGTTTCTAGAGCAGTTAGCACCCACCACTGCCCCACTGTGGAGTATGACTGGAATGATACCAGTGAAGAAGAAGTCAATCAGTGATGGGATGAGTGTTCAGTGATTATTTATTATACTTATTAATCTGCTCAGAGTACATCCTATGCCCTGCTGTTTCACAAGGGTGTGAGGTCACTGGTCTCTATGGGAAAGGGTTTCTATGGAGACTAACATGATCACACACAAATACAGTCAGACTCACTGGATTCATAAGAATCTCCCCTCACCGGTCAAATACAGCATCGGAAGTTCATATAATCCGTAGTACAGTAAGGTAATTTAAAACTACTATATATATGAAGCGTGTATGTGTGTGTGTTTGGTACACCTTGATGTTGGGGGGAAATTTGTTGATCTGTGCATTGAGAGTCTTTCAGGAACTTGGTGTGTGACCTTTCTTGGGAAACCTGTGACCTGCACGAATTTCCACCACACCAGAGTAAAAATGTGGAGCCCCTTTTCCCTTCATAACTGCCTTAATTATTTATAACAACAAGGTGTTAGTAACATTCCTCAGAGATTTGGTCCATAATGACATGATAGCATGCATCCATGCTTTCATGTTTGTTGCCCCCGTGCAAATAGTAGTCTCAGTTCCCTGTTTTTAGCTGACAGCAGTGGCACCTGGTGTGGTCTTCTGTTGCTGTAGGCATCTTCTTCAATGTTTGACGTGTTGTGCGTTCAGAGATGTTATTCTATATTCCTTGGTTGTAACAGGTGCTTATTTGAATTACTGTTGCCTTTCTACCATCTCGAACCAGTCTGCATTCTCCTCTGACCTCTTACATCAACAAGACATTTCTGTCCACACAAATTCTATTTCTGACATACTCAGACCAGCCCGTTTGGCACTAACAACCATGCCTCGTTCAAAGTCACTTAAATCCCCTTTCTTCCCGATTCCGATACTCGGTATGAACTTCAGCAAGTTGTCATAACTGAATCTACATGCCTAGAAGCATTGAGTTAAAGCCATGTGATGCGGCTGATTAGCAAATTGAACAGGTGAATGTAGATATCTAGATTTAGATATATTGTACAGTTTTTACCACAATTTGTTCATTTAACTGCACTGACAAAATTCCTGAGATACACACACAGTTTCAGAGACATTTTTTACTGCTCCTTAGTGAAACGTGTTGTTAAGCTGCTGCTTAAGAACATCGTGAAAACCGTTTCAGTCAGGCATGTGAAAGGGCAGCTAGCAGAGAGGCCCTGACTGTAGTCATTATCCACTTCCTGGTTGTGGCTGGACGGGTAGTTCAGGATCAGTGTGTCTACCGAGGCGTGCATGTGTTTAGTGTGTCACTCAGCTGTGTGTGTGCGCGAAGTGTGAAGCTAAACTAAGCCTCGAACTAAAGAAGAAGAGCGACAACAGACCAGACTTATTGAAGAAGACGAAGAAGAACAGAAGGAAGGGAGGAGGAGGAAGTAGGAGGAAGGAGGAGTGAAAAGCTGAAGAAGAAACAAAGAGGAGCGTGAACAGGGATTGATAGAAACCAAGGACTTCTACTGCTCACAGGGACACGTGGAGAGAAAAGCAGGGACAGATTATGTTTCCTTCAGGACTCAGGACTAATCTGTCTACACACACACACACACGCACACCTTGTGTGTCTTGTTAAAGACCTTTGGCATGTGGATTATTGACTTTGGGAAGCCATGTTTGAAGTCCTTGTGTGCTCATAAGTGTAATACTCAGAAGTACCTTATTCATACTGCTCGGCTCTAGAGGAGTACCTTCTTCACACTGCTCAGCTTGAGAGGAGTACCATCTTTATACTGCTCAGTTTGAATACGACCTTCACGTCTACGACCAGCTGACTGATGGTTCTCCGGCTGTTGTTCGAGGTTCCTGTTGGAGTGGAGAACCTCTGAGACGCTGAGCGGCCCTGTTGATGTCTGTGGTTGTAGTACCTGGTCGTTGTTTTATTGGTTGATGGTCCAACCTCCTCCCAGGAGAACAGGATGCAGTCAGGGTTCTGCCCGCTCTTCCTGGCTCTCCTTTGAACTCTGGTGAACTGGTGGAGCTTGGACATCTCAGGATTTAGGTCCTATCAGGACATCTAAAGACTTGTGAACTCAGCAGGAAGTATCTTTGAGTTAGATGAAGTGTAGCTCCTCCAGCCACGATGTGAGCAGGGCTCGGGTTGGACAACAGGAACCAAAACACGCCCGCTGTCATGGACTGTGATCCTGGACTACACGCTGAGGCCTTAGGTGGTGCTCCTGAACCACCAAGGTCACTCAAAGTAAAAGAAGGGGATGGAGAATTCAGCTCTTTATCCTCCTCTAACTCCTCTTCTACCCTTCTCACGGGGTTCTCCTCGCCCTCCACACCTAGTGTGGAAGAAGAGAACGACATGCTGACCGGCTGTTCCAGGTCTTTCACCGGACTTAAGATCTTCACCAGGAGGTAAGACTGAAACGGCAAGGTGTACTGGTGGTGGTGTAATACATGCTGTCGACCTGCAGGGGGAGCCACCGCCTCAGACTCGTGGGGGACAGATGTGTAGTCACATCAGGGCAGCACTAGCATTTACCCATTAGCCACAGGTTGAGCATCCACCCTTTAGACTGACAGCTGCAGCACCAGCAACTACCCATTAGTCACACATCCACGGTGTCCGCATCCAACCTTTTGAAAGACCACTACATCACCAGCATCCACCCTTTTGACGTGATGCTGAATCTCCAGCATCCACCCTTTACACCCTGTTACGGCACCAGCATCCACCCTTTAGACACATTGCTGCAGTCCCCGTTCTAAGTAGAGATCATCACACATTCATTCATTCTACATACTCAAACAAAGGAGGTGCGCGTGTGCGTGTCTGTGGTAGGGTACATGACCATGTTAGCGGGATCATGTGGACAGTGGACATTATTACCACTGCATCTGGGGCCGCAGTAATGCAGACAGTGAAAAGGATGACCGTGGTGGCCGTAACTCGGTTCTACACTCCTACGGGCTGTCAGGAAGCAGCGACTACGTTGGATGGTCTGGTGCCGGTTTGGATCAATGTGGTAGTGAAGAACATATAGGATTTAAAAAGCATGAAGCCCCATCCTAATACTATTCACTTGCTAGACACTAATTCTATTTCTCAAACAAGAATTTGAACAAGTGAAAATAAAGTAATGACTTTGCTAACCGGACAAGGAAAACACAGTCTTCTTATCATCAGAGCGTGGTGCTGTGTTCTCTCTGGCCTAAAGACCCATGAGAGGTGTCATGCTGTCACGGTTCCTACATGAAACATTTGGGTTCTCAACATGTTCGACTACTAATAGTGATGCAGCAAATATCATTTCTAATTATTACCACATGAAAGAGGATGTGACGGAGGACTTTCGACCAGATCCATTAAAGTTTGATGCTGCAGACACATCTCAGGTAGCTTTAGCTTGTTGCCTGAGAGGACAGAGTGGGTTCAGAGTCCAAAGAGACGGTATTCACTGTAGCCTCACAGATGGCTGCTGGGACGTGGACCCAGCCCGATTGGTATCTTCGTATATAAAGGATGACATTCATATGCAGGTTATGTCATTGAGATTTCCGCTGTGAAAAGGGTGTGTGGCTTGACTCAATCTCTACAGTTTCCTTATTTGTAACTTTCCTCGCAGAGTGGGTATTTTAGTCCTGACTTGCTTTCTTTGTCTGTCTGTCTCACTGCCCCCCCCCCTTCCTTTCTCTCTTCCTGTTTCTCTCTCTCCCCTCCACCCTCCTCCTGCACATTAGCACTCTCTGTACACCACGGTGTGTTCATAGCGTACGCTCTGAAGACAGTTAGAGGAGAAAAACAAGAAGTGTGGATGGATACGTTTTTCCTGCTTTTTCAGGTTGGCTGATAATTGATTCTTCATTTTGTATTCTATTAATTAGGAGGAAGACTGTTGCTTTATTCAGCATTCTTAAAATGCTGACTTTACTAAGGAAACTAAAGTGCTGGTCAGTGATGTCGCCGGGGTTTGAGCTGATGCAGTGCTGCGTTTAGTCTACTCAGACCTGAAAAATGGACGGTACTTGTATAGCAACTTTTCTAGTCTTTCAGTCACTCTAAGAGCTTTAACACTTCATGTCATCATTCACATATTCACACCCATCCACAGTGATGACAGGCGCTACCATACAGGGTAACGTTCCAGGGACTAGCATGTAAAGCAAAGTATGGAACAATACAACCAACCACAGGACCGTCGCAAATATATAGGAAACAGGCGTACGTACATGTATATATGTATATTTATATACATATATACACACCCTTAATAGGCACTCTACTATGTTCAGTCTAGGTTTCAGGTCTCTCAGCCAGTGTTGTGTCACAGACTGTTTCCATGTCCACGTGTGTCTTTTTAGTCAATGATTCGATTGCAAATTTTTGACAGTCCACATCCACTTGGTTACTTTGCTTAGCACGCCACTATGTTTCATGTAAATGTTAGACCCAACAGCATAGAGCTCTGGATAGTGTCTTTCAGGCACGACAACATGCACACGCATCATTCTTCCTTAAAGCACTCGCCCTGGTTGCTGGTTATTCATCCAACAGAGATTTGACTCTCTCTAGTGTATTTCTTTTCTCCACCCCAGATATCTAAGGGAGCACCCAAACTGCTTATCTTGCAACCTGCCTCTCTCCCGATGTCTTCCCTCCTTGCCTTTTTGTACTCACCCCTTGATGAGGAGATGAGGTCCGGGTGTCCTCCTGGCTCACCTAATCTCAATTCCCCTGATGGAGATGGCTGGAACGAACACTCTCTCCACTATTCTGCCCTTCAGCCCAAACAGATATTAATATTTATTTATCTTAATATTCTCCCTAACATGTATTGTGTTTTGATAGAAGTCCTGTGTTCACTAATGAACCCTAAATAAAAGAGTTGGAGGTCACTTGACATTGTTATATAACTGTTTCCTGTTTCCTACTAACGGTCAATGCCGTTCTGTCCAGAGCATGACCGTGATGTTTAGTGTTGTTGCCATAACTCTAAATGCATTCTACCTTTCCTCAAGAAAAAACTCAGGCACAGTTTGGCACGTACGTCAGCAATGAGGTGACACATGATGATGTCATCCTGCTGATGACAAGCACTTCTATGTGTGCGGACGGATGGACTTGCATGTATTCGTTATCTCCAGAGGACGGCCACACTCTTCCTCCACCGTCCTGCCACATAAATATTTAGATATAATAGCCAGACTTCTGTTTGAGAGCGGCATCTTGGAGAAGCAGTATCAACATTGCACACATGTCCTAATAAAGACATATCGAATAACATCTAGTGAGTCCTGTCTCCCTCTCAAGGGGATGAACATCCTGGTGGTGTTTCCTGTCCATCCCCTCTCGGGACATGTTGGTGAGCAGAGCTTTATATTAAAGCAGGAAATAGTACGGAAAGTATTAGACTCCTGAGAGGCCCCTTCACCTCTGTTTGATTGGGTTGACACACAGCTGTCTTTAAAAGGAGTCGTTCTATTTCTGGACACAGAAAAGACAAGACACAGAGGTAGAAACATATCTGTTTCTTCCTCTCAGCCTTACGCTGTGCAGACACTATACACACTTAGGAGGGTAATGTTTTATAGCTGAGCACTCCCATCTTCTTCACTCTGCCTCATTATGGTTGGGATTATCATTGCAGTAGGCAGTGTTGCATAATACACACACAAAGTCATCATCCAGTTGTATAGTGACTTAAGGGATTGGGATGGATAGTGGAGGATGACAGGATAGAGATACTCGTTCTATTGTAAACTCACCATAGCTAACTTTGACATTGATATTTGAGAAGTAATGAGAATCTGTTTATGATGCATTGATCCTGGGTCCTCCCCCTGTGGCGTTTGGTCCAGCAGCAGGTCTGGCTGGTTAGTTGGCAGTGATCATGTAACTTCATTCCCAATTCTCTGTTTCGGGTATTCATTAATATATTCTGTCCTATGCCATTAGTAGTAAACACAATAGTACATTTATCGACAGTCATGGGAGCTGCCGAGTTCAGCATGCCCATACACCACCGTATCCAGAGCACTTCTACTTTTGATCTTTCAAGACCACAAGAAAACAAGTGGGCAAAATGCAGTCCTGGAACTCTGCAGAGTAAGAATTACTCCCTTCCCTGAGTGCCTCATTAAACTCTGTGCTTAGCAGGCCACAGCGGCACCCCCTCCCCCAAAGTGTACAACTTGAGAACATCTACTGGATCTGTGGCAGATGAGCCGGATATCCTCTTAGTGGCGGTCCATGCTGCCTGTGTGATCACACGCTTCGTTTGAGAGGAATGCTACTAATGATAACATGAACTGAAACATTAATTGGGTAGAGTGAAAGGCAAACTGAATGATCACATATATTCATGAATTCCGCTTCACTCTCTCTTCACATGTGGACTGTAACTGTGTTAGTGAGCATCTGTATCCGTCTCTTATGGTAACAGTTTTACACAACACGTCTCACTGTGATGATCAACTTGCAGGTGTATCCAGAGAAACCTGGTCACTTTCACTTCCCCCAGACAGTTGAGGCAAATAGATGGCATTTATTCACAGTCAGGGACACACCACACACAAAGACCTCCTCCAGGAGGCATCTGTTGGGTGAGACCAGGAGTCAGAGTTGATGCATGTGTCATATTACCGGATTACTTCAGCAACATTACCCCAGTAGTGATGTTTGGAGCTAAAGGCATCCAGCGAAGAGCCCTGACTTCTGTGGCAGCACTGTGTGCCAGAGTTGGTCAGAGCTCTGGGATAACCGCTGACTTGTTGATTTGGCACTGCAGAGCCAGGCCCAGTGTGTCAGTGGTGCTGTGGTCTGCTTCATTCACTCATCTCGTTTTCAGAAAGCTCTGGGTGCTCATCCTCTTTTCCCCACAGAGCGCTTTCGGCGGTTTTACTCAACGGTTTTCACCTTCATCTGCAGCAGGAAACCCAACAGCTGATAGTTCCACTGCTGATTTCATTCTTGTACATGTGCTAGTTTCAAGTCTCACAGCTTAATGGTTCTCATTGTCTGACAGTATGAGGCATCACTGTCCACTAAGGTCTCTAAGGATGAATGGTCTGATATGTTCATACCTTACCTTCCAACATGACTGACAGGCCTAGTAACAGTTGGCACAGAGTAAATGTTGTCACTGCTCTTCAGAAAATAACTAAATTCTTACCTCATTTAAAAACCTAGTACATCAGTCAGTACCACTGTTAACTTCTTTTAATCTTTGCAAATCCGTGTGTGTCTTGGCCCAGTGGTCCGAGTGGTTTTCATTTAGTCGTTTTCTCGTTTTCTCAACATACCTAGCTCAGGTTTCAGTTTGCCACAACATATAAATATGCTAACTGTATCACCATATACATAATTGTACTGTTCTGGACCTGGTGTCCCTCTGGCCTTTTAGCGGACCCTCGAGCTAAATCAGGAACTAAGCACTGATCATCAGAACCCACCATGATGAGACTGGTTGGGTCCAATGTTGGCTCTGTGTTGAGTAGGAGCAGAGGGTCGGGCACTGGTCTGTTGTTAAAGGGTTCTGGCTCGTGAAAAAGGGACATGTGACCCACAAGGCTGTAAAGCTCTGATTTCTGTGGAACATGTAAGCTGATCCTACAGCAGAGGGTCAATCTGTATTAGTTTAATTTGCAGTCATTTATTGATGAATTGATTGGTTCAACAGACATAAATCACCACTTATTTCCCCTTTGGTGTAAATGTTAGCTCCTCTTCATGTAGTGTCTGGGCAGGTAGTCATACAATATAATAATATAAATACAGTCTAACACAATAGCATCCATGTACAATCCGATGAAGCACATCATTAGATTACCAAATAATCAGCTGCGTAACAACCGCTAGGTGAAAGCAGGGTGAGCTAATGTGAGTCCGCACTGCACGGTCCATAAAGCTTCCGCGGGGGATATGATGACGGCAAGTGGCCCCTAGGTCAGGAGGGCTCCTAAAGTGAAGCATGTTGAGAGAGCCAGCGAACAAGTGACTATGAACTAAGCAGCACTGCATCAGGCATCTATCAATCTAGTGAAACGGCTAATTAACCATGGCAACGCCTGATCTATTCAATTTGTTTGCATGCATTTGCAGTATTGAAGCATTGTTCATAATTTGAAAGGAAGGTTTGTGGATACTCTTCTCTTTGTTCATGTCATTTAGGGAACACATTTAATACACAGAGCATTTCTAAAGGAAGGCTGGAGAGAAGGGAAGGAGCTGGAGTATCATCAACCATCATGGATACCATTCAACCTGTACTCGCATCTGCACCCTTTAGCTGTCTAAAAGAGAACACGGAGGAATATTAGCTTATCAGATACCACTTATCATTTTAATACCCTCCATACTGGACTGCTCTCGCTGATGTGATGGATTTCTTCTTTCAACGCCATTTTTGCCATCGCAAGAAGCGAGCGAAGCCCCCAGCTGCAGCCTGTCAGGCTAGTAAAGCCAGGAGGCGCTCTAGTGTCGGCCTGCCCTCCGCCGCATTGGTGCAGTCCAGACGCTCCTCCGTCGGGTTACCTCCAGTTGTTACTGACCAGCGCCGGCGCACCAGTGCTGGCTTATTGCTGGCCAGTGGACAGAGGAGACAGAGGGGGTTGACTTACATTAGTGAAGGAGGATCACAGTATAAAGCCTCTGGCTCAGCACCCTGCGTACATCGAGGGATGGCAATGCGGCCTCAACGTCCTCAAGTCAGGTCTATTGAACCTCAGTTACTCAGATCCTCCATGCTACTTGCAAGTGTAGTGCAGATGGGAAGAAGAGCGGCGGGAAAGAAAGAAGAGCAGGAGGAAGTGGATGCCCCCTGCTGCTCCTGTTCGGGGTCAGATGGAGAAGAGGGGAATGATGAAGACGTGGAGACCACATCTGTAGGGTTCAGGCTTCATATGCACTTAACCCAGGCAGTGAATGTGGAAAACATCAAACCCCGCCCCTTGATCAGCCCGCCTCGTTGTCTGAGACGAAACTCCTCCCATCTACTTCCTGCCAACTCTGTGTTCGGGAAAAGTGAAACCGGTTGTGGAGTTTATGGTCGCTATAATCGCAGAAAGTCAAGTCAAGTTCAGCAGAGTTTAAATAAGCAGATCCAGAGTGCCAGGACCAGCCCCAGTCTAGGTCAGCTGGACTCAGCACGTCTGGTATCTGAGAACCACGAGTCCTCCTCTGGGTCTACTCTCCGTAAGAGCTGTTCTTCACCACTGGGGGAAACAGAGGAAACCATGTACTATGACCCTTATTTGGATACATGGGAGAACTTCCTATCGTATGTAAAACACACACACACACACACACACACAAGAACACCGCAACAAAGTGTATTATCGATTTTGTATCTGCAGGCTTCTTGCTTCTATGCTTCCACAGATTTACTCCCTACTACTATTAGTATTATTTCTAGTGTGATGAACCGTGTCTCGATGTGTACAAAAAAATCTAACATGTGGCTCTGTCCTCCATGGGACATGGACCAATTACTGTGATAGCTGCACTCTATGGTTCTCACCCCTCTATCACGGCGATGCTGTGATGACGTTTAGCGCGGCGCTTAGCATGATGCCTAGCATACCGCCTAGCATGACATCTAAGATGAAGTCTAATGCCTAGCATTATGTTTACCATAACACGTAACAGGACCTCTAAGATGACGCCTAACATTATTCCTAGCATGCCAGCATTATGTCTAGCATAGCGCTTAACAAGACCTCTAACCTGACGCCTAGCATGACGTCTAAGATGACATCTAACATGAAGTCTCATCTGTGGATGCCTTCTTCTCTCTACTGTCAGAGCAACATTTCACTGTGACACACACATCTTGGTTATGAATGGTGAGGACAGGTATGAACATTTTAGATATCCTGACTAGGATTAGTTATGGGTTTGAACACATTATAGAAATTAAGTTTTTACAATCTGCAAAATGGTGGACTGAGTAGAAGCTTTTTAACTGCAACTGGTGTTTGTGATATCATAACATGTTTGTCTTATTCAGCCTTAGAAATTGACCCTTCATGCTGGGCTAGCACTACCGCTATCGGTTCCTCCTGCAGCTGGTCATCATCTGTCTGAAAGATGCTGCATTATCTTTCTAGTTGTTTTCACAGGGCCAAAATATATAGCTTCACTTCCTCTGAGGCAGTCGTTGCTTGGACACACTTTGCTTGATTGTCATCAACAAAGAGACCAACCAGACACATCTTACTGGGTGGAGTAGTCAGTCTATGAGGTTCCTGTATAGGTGCATATGCTCATAGGATTTATCTACAGATGTATAACTTCTTCCGCAGCATCATTTCATGCATTTGTTTTGAAGGCCAAACTAGATGTTGTTATTATTGTGGTAGTTGGGAGTTTCATCATTCTATTATTCAGGTAGGGTACACTATCGAGACTCACATGCTGACACTACAGTTTTACAAGCAAAGAGGTATCCTATCAGACGTGTTTCTACTGTTATATCAGGAAACCTGCTCTCTCTTCGTTCACTCTAAAGACCGCTCTACCACCTCCGCTCTCTTTCTTTCTCTCTCTCACTCTCTCGTTGTTCACCCGCCAAATAAAACATGTTTTATTCAACATGAGGTGCTACACCCCACGATATGAACTCAAATGATTTGAACTGTAATCCAATGCCATCCACAAAGGGTGTTGAAATGAGTGTTTGATATGCTAATGTATTGTTATAAGCATACTTTCCGTTTTTTTTCTGTGTGAAGTTGGCAAGTTTGATCTTGTTCTCGCCTTGTTGACTTTTAAGAGAGCTTTGTGTGTTTCCAGGAAAGCTATAGCTAAATCGGGCCTGCACCATCTGCCCTGTCAGCCGGGCACATCGTCTCTGAACAGGAGCGACCCAGAAGCAGATATCCGCAGCACTTTGGACTGGACTGTGAGTCTGAGCTCCGATGCCTTCTGCTGTGTTCTTCCATTATGTCAGTGTGTTCAGAAGATGAGACAGAGACTAGTGTGCCACGATCTTGTGGATAAACACACAAAGCATGCTCAGTCAATGTCTCACATGGCTTTAAACACCACCCATGATCCAGCTGGTGTCCTCTGTGTGTTTGACCCTCTAGGAGTCGGCAGTGTATGGAGATCACATCTGGTTTGAAACCAACGTGTCTGGAGACTACTGTTATGTGGGAGAGGAACACTGTATAGCCAGAGCACTAGTGAGTACCCCCCCCCCCCCCACCACCCTCTTTTCAACAGCACTAATACAGCTTCCAATCAGCAGATTGTGTCATAGTGAATTTACCTTCAGTTCATCATGCAGAAGCTCACTAGATCCCCCAGCATCTTCACGAAAGAAGACACCTCATTCAAGTTCCAGACCAATCCAATATTCAATAATTCACTTCCTCTAACGGTGATCAGATGAACAACAGTGACAATAAATCTATAGCTGCCATATGAGAATATTGAACATGAGGGGAGATAGTAAGCCTGCGTTTTCCTCCTCTATCTTCTCCATTCATCCACTGGGTCCCGACCCATGATCTTTCACCTTTTTTCAGAGTATGCTCTGTGTGGCGATTTACTTCATTCAGAGTAGATTTATTGGGTATTAAGTGAAGGAGATCTCCAATATCCACACATTTTGCACTAAAGTAAATGTGTATGTATTTTTTAAATGCTGGGCAACGATATTCTAACAAAATATTTAATTGAAAAAGTAAATAATTAATTCCAAATAGTGTATTGCACACCTTAATTTACTCAAACACTTTAGGAGCTTTTTAACAGCAGTATTCCCTTTCAGACAGTAGCAGTAAACATATTAATGTAATCAAATCAACATAAAACTAAAGGTATTTGCCACGGCCAGGGCATTAACACTTCATTCTTTTTGTTATAGCAAAACGAGGTACATTATAGACACCTATCTACTGAGCAATACCAAGTTAATATTTGCTTGCTGTCTGACGATGTCCAGCAGAAACCTTTTTCTTGTATCAGGGAGCAGCATAAACAGGCTCTGTTCAGAAGTTTTGTTATTTGTTATACATGTATATTTGTACATTGATATTCATAAGGAACAGTAAATGGAGGGTCTTAGGACCCTGGGGGATTTGGGTGAGGGAGACAACCTGGGGGAGAAGGCTTACTGGTTACCTGAGTAATGAGTAACAATTTTGTTCTTGTATGTATTTAAAAAAAAAAACAATAGTAGTGGTAACAAAGAACTTTGGTTCTCCGTCTGGATGAGATTTAAGGTGAAATTGTCCACGTAGTAGGTCACTACCATTCTCCATTTCTCTGCCAGTTATTTTTTGTTCGCATGTTTATTCAGAGCCAGTGAGCCACGTGTTTCTAAACCTTAATAATTAAAGAGAACTGCACTAACACGCACCAAAATAATTGTTGTCAGTAATTAATAATGCGTTTACGTGCCCAGCACTAATCTTTTTATTTTGGTCCTAAAGGAATTTTTAAATGAATTCATGTCGTTTTATTACCCGTCTCTTGCCATGATGTTACCATGATGGTGCGGCCTGATTGGATCGAGGTCTAATGTACCGCTCACTCACACTCACTGATGATGGCAGGGTCCTGAGTCCACCTTTTACACAAGAGACAGTGTCTGACTGACTGACTGTTGATCACAGTACAGGTTATTTTACCTTTGGTCCTTGTTTCTGCAATCCTCTTCTCCTTCTCTTTCTTTCTCATTCTAGCAAAAGTCTGTCAGTCGAAGGAAGTGTGCTGCCTGTAAGATAGTGGCCCACACCATCTGTATTGAGCAACTGGATAAGGTAATGTGTCTCTTTCATGTATTCAATGAAATGTATTTGTATCTACTTCATGGAGACGAGAAACCTCCATCATCATAGACAGATGTTTAAACCATCTTTCATGAGGGATAAAAGGTGATGGGAGCTAGATTAAAGGATTGAACTTTTAGTCCTCAAAGACGAGTTTAAGATGGGAGATTGGAGAAGTGAAAAGGAGGATTACTTTAAAGCCTAATACATGATGAGAATCTAAGCTTTTCATAATTTATTTCCTCACGGTCCCAGAAGCAGAGCTTGTCCTTAACTGTTCCTCCTGTCTAACCTGCAGTTCCCCAGCTCTAGAGCCATTCTGTTGGATGACAGGCTGCCTCTCAAAGAGCCCCACTTTAGAGTGAGACACACAACCTCTCTCCTCGCCTGTGACGCACACACTTACACACAGTGCTCAGGTGGTAGCTAACCTCACTCCGAGCATCTTCAGCATCAGTGCTTCCTCGGGATACATCCTTAGAAGGGGCATAGTTACAGATGTATGTACAGGGTTTGTGGCTTGTGATCTAATCCAGGTAAGACAAACACCCTTTGGAAACTTCCACTTTGGTTCTGGGATCATGAAGGGCTCATGTTCTTTACTTTTCTTTTCTTTCCTTGTTGATGGGGAGTATACATGTGACCGGTTGGAAAACTGGCTCTGTTGATTTCAGAGTGATATGATGCTCAGGCGACTTTCTGAAAGCCTCGCAGCAGGGAGGAACCCAGGACTGGTAACTGAGACCAGGTCTACCTACTGTCGCAGATCGAACACATCGACTGTGACCATTGGCAGGCAGTCTACACTGCTTACATTGGGCCTCATTCACCAATATCTAAGTTATTTCATACGTATGTTCTTGAGAAAAGTCTATGTGTGATTCAAGACGTGTTCCTAAATAGCAGGTGCGGTCTTAGAATGAGGAATCCCAATATGTCGTAAATTGAAAGCTCGTGCCCCGTTATATTAACGCCCTGTTAATTCCCATAAAACGGCACAAGGCGGCAGGGCCATGTGCACACTCAGAGAAATCTCAAAAAGACATGGGAAAGACTGAGGCCTCCACTCCAAAATAAAGAAAAACGTTAGTAATTCTGAAGTGGAGATATTGCTGCAAGTAAGCGCAAAACGGCAAAGCGAGGCCTAGCATACTTCATACACCATGGCAATTCATAGTGCTTTACAAATGAGCAGAAGTGTAAGTGTACTGTGCAGTGTTGCCTGACACTAATCATATATTAAAACAAATACACAAAATATTACGTGTAAAATAATCAGAATAATTAGTTGCAAAATTATAAAGAAGAGAAATATCCCATTTTAAATTAGAACGGAAAAAAACTGTATAACTACTTATTTTAACATGTCAGCTCTTAATTGTGTGTAGGAGTGCTCTCGGGTGTGCATAAATTCTGTTCTTACCGAAGAACAAATCGCAAATAAGAAAACATTGGTGAATGCCAGAATCTTTGTGAAAACTGCGTAAATGGGGATTAAGCACAAATTTGTTCTTCAGAACATTTGGTGAATGAGGCCCATTGAGAATCACACAGATGTGTGATAATGATTCTCAATGTGAGCGTGACTAATGTGCTTATTTATGAATCATCATGTATAATAATCACACTCATAGAATGTGGCACATGGCACTGTGGGAATTCTGGTCCTCTTTTGCCTTAACTGTGTGAGTCCAGTAAACATACAATATCAGACCAAAGGTCAAGTCAAGAAGTCAGCACAGTACTAATTACGGGACACTAAGGACCAATGGATCCATTTTTCATTATGAGAAGGTGGATACCAACAAATGCTGTGATCTGCATGGCTGAACCAGGGGTGATGCGGAATAATTCCCAATGGCCTGATTTGAGAACAGTCTGGTGTTCAACCTGGTAGCCACAGAATCTGCTGGTTCCCTTCTTGCCCTGTGTTTTCCTTTCCTCAGGGGGATGGTGGTGGCTCTTAGTTGTAAACCATGTTCTCCTGATGAGTGGTGGAGTTCCCAGAAGCTGCCCAGCTATCATCGTCCTCTCTACTCTTCCTCTGCTCTTTTACAGATTAACTTCAGGTGTAAACCGTCCTTCAGAGAATCCGGCTCAAGGAACATCCGAGAGGTGAGTTTTATAAGCACAGCTGTTGCTGGAGTTGCTTCAGAGTTCCTCTGATTCCTCTCCTTACAAGATGGTCATTGGTAGAGCGTTCTAAAAGTAAACTCTTCAATAAGTATCGGTATTATTTGTGCCTGGTCAGTCTATTGTAGTGCGTCATCACTGGGTGCATCGGAGACGGCAGGAAGGCAAATGTAAACAATGTGGGAAGGTGAGTGTGCAGTGTGTAATACTTAATACATAAATACTTTTAGCAGCCCAGAGGCTTTGACTCATCTGTGCTCCTGTTTGCCTCGCAGGGCTTCCAGCAGAAGTTTGCATTCCACAGCAAGGAGATTGTGGCCATCAGCTGCTCTTGGTGCAAACAGGCTGTGAGTTTGTTTACCAATGACTCTCCTTCTGGTCTCCCCCCTTACGTTCAATACATGTTTCTCATTGAATGTCCCTCTTTAGTACCACAACAAGGTGTCTTGCTTCATGCTTCAGCAAATCGAGGAGGCTTGTCCAATAGGAGCCCACGCTGCTCTTATAGTTCCACCCACATGGATCATTCGAGTCCGGCGCCATCAGGTAATATTGTCTACACTCTTTAATTTCTATTCTTATAACCTTCTATTCTAAGCGCGTCTGACTGGGTCCCTCAACAATACGTAATATTTGGATTACACAACTATTTTTCATACCTTTACCTCTTGTTCAGAAAGATAATCTTCTAGCGGGCATCATGCAGTGTACCGACTGGTTGAGTATGTTTCAGTACGAGTAAACATTCCTGGTCCGGCAAACTTATTTGGTTGACTGCAGCATTATTAGTGCTGTAAGATAGTGTCGCAAAAACATACACAACTTTGGAGTTGCAAAGGCAAAGTGGCATTGTTCTTGTACGCAATGTACTTACTCTCTACTTACAACAAAGTGACAAAAGGAGTAAATAAATAATTAAATAAATAAATACATGGCTTCAAAAGTAACCCTAAATAAATTCTAGCTGGAGAGGTGAGCTAGATATGGCCGATCAAACCCAAACTTTTTTTTTTAAACCTGCTCGGGTGCAATATTTAAGGGTTAACACCTGAGAAACAATTGCCTCAACCAATAAGATGAGGAGCGTATGATTTCCAGAATGATGACATGGATGAGTATTTTGTGCATGTGGATAGGGATAGGGATGGCTCTATCCCTTGATCTTCAATTTAGATTTGACCACAGTGATATTGTTCAAAGTCTGGAAGGGAATGATTTATGACTGGGACTAAATTAGAGAGGTTGGTGGTACATAAAGCTGTACGAACATGATGTTGGAATGAGAGCGTGCCGATTCATGTTTGAAATACAGGAATACAAAGCCAAAGATAATATTATTATAAAATGAAAAAAAAGGTATTTTCCTTTACCCGAGTAACAAAGCATAGGGGGTGGAGTGTTGAAGCAGATGGGAACTGATACCAGATGTTTAGGGAAGATTGTACAACTGCATTTGTTGTGTAGTGGAATGGAGAAGCTGGGTGTAAAGAAAACGAAAAGAACTGTAAGAAATGTTGGCAAAAATCGTAATTTTTTTGAGGTAATAACCGTGATGATGCTGTGCCAGCTGTCCTGCTCTCTATCAGAACAAAACCTTTCTGTTCACACTTCTACTCTTTCAAAGTGTTGTTTCTTATCGCGGATGGAGTTGTCTGTCACTAGTACAGCACAGCAGGAGAAAGTAAGTTTTACTTTGACTGTAAGACTTTTCAAACCTAAATTAAAGTCTGGTCGATGGCACGATGAAGTAAATTTATTTTGTATAGCCCCAAATCACAAATTAAAAATGTGCCTCACGTGGTTTTACAATCTGTACACATTCGATGTTCTCCGTCCCAAAACCCTATGCTGATGTAGGAAAAACTGAAACCCAAAAATGACAAAAAGCCTTTAACTGTGAGAAAATAGGCCTCAAATAATATTCAGCTTCTGTCCTTCTTCTGTGTCTCTAACAGTCATCTATTAAGGCGAGTAAGAAGAAGAAGAGAGCATCGTTCAAGAGGAAATGCAGCAAGAAGGGAGCCGAGGTCAGTCCTGGTGTCCTTGTATCTCTCTAGTTATGGTTCACATATAACACAGCAATCCCTCACAGGGGGTCTGGTTCTTTGGTTTGTGTGTGACACACGATAGGCTATTTCTTAGGGACATGATGTGTTTTTGTAAAATAAATCTTCTGACGGCCTGAAGGAACAAGCTTTGCCTCAGAGGAACTGAGCAGATCTTCTTCTCCAACAGGAAGGACGGCAGTGGAGGCCCTTTTTAATCCGCCCCATCCCTGCACCACTGATGAAGCCACTGCTGGTGTTTGTTAATCCCAAGAGCGGAGGAAACCAGGTATTCGCGGAGTCCCTTCAGCAAGCAGTCCAGTGAACTGCTCCATGAACCAGTCATGTGTCATTCAGCTCAGTCAGGCCATATGCAAAGCAGGTATGGTGCCACTTAACCAGCCGGACTGTCAGTTCAAGGCTCAGGCACCAAAAAAGGTCTGGGAGGGTTTTTTTAACGTTTACAATTACAACTACTTCTCGCTGCGCACGGCAGTCCCGATGGACACAGACAGACAGTATTGCACACGCAGGTGAGCACTCGCCCACCAGCGTTCAGAGAATGTGCGTCCACAACAACTACCCCCCACCGTCGGTCCGCCCCCCCCAAGTAGTAAACCTAGGGGAAACACTTCATTCTCTACACACTACTTCAATCACACTTCTGTCCATCTTGATATGGGGAACCATCCTATGTTACTTTCTAATATTCTATTGTCCTAATGGTTCCTCTGTCTAACAGGGTGCTAAGATCCTGCAGTCCTTCATGTGGTATCTGAACCCCAGACAGGTATTTGACCTGAGCCATGGCGGACCAAAGGAAGGGTAAGTCTCTCTGTCTGACACACACACACACACACACACACACACACACACACACACACACACACACACACACACATGCGCACTAGCCACAATGAACATGTTGGAGCCAAATACATGTTCATTAGCCAATGTCCATCTTACAGCCTGGAGCTGTATCGTAAAGTTCATAACCTGAGGATCATGGCCTGTGGAGGAGATGGCACAGTGAGTAGAAACACACACCCTGAGGAAAACCAATGCTAAAAACCGGTTCCTCGTAAAGATAGATGGATGTAACTGCATGTCTGTGTGTGGAACCAGGTGGGCTGGATCCTGTCTTGTCTTGATGAACTGGCTTTGAATCCTCAACCTCCCGTTGCCGTGTTACCACTTGGGACAGGAAATGACCTCGCCAGGACCCTCAACTGGGGGGGGGTGGGTCCAATTAATTTACACTTCATAAAACTTAAATGTCTTTGTGCACATGTTTGATGTAACTTCTCATGTGCTCCAGGGGTACACAGACGAGCCCCTGTCAAAGATCCTCTCCCATGTTGAAGACGGAGCGGTGGTCCAGCTGGACAGATGGAATCTACATGTGGAACCAAACCACAGTGCAGAGGCTGAGCCGGACGAGCACCAGGCTGATAAGGTTCGAAATGGACTATATGATGATGTGAAGGTGCTGAGCTGCCCAGAAGCTTATCAGTGTCCATTCAACATCCTTCATTCAGAACAATTCAACACAGCGTATGTTTATCTATATTTTTCTATACGAGTCCTCCTGCCCTGGTATAGAGCTGTCTGTTAACAGGTGACAGCTCAGTGTCAGTGAAGGAGACACAAATCATTCATCAATGTGAGCTGCTGATGTTTGTGTCAATGCTCTCAGCTTCCTCTAGATATTTTCAACAATTACTTCAGCCTTGGATTTGATGCCCATGTGACTCTAGAGTTCCATGAGTCAAGAGGTACATTCATTTTTTTACATCTTACTACTCAATGAACGGAATGTTGCGGTTGTAATTTTTCGAGAAATTATGCCATCTTTATCTAGTGTCTCTTCGCTGTTTCAGAAGCCAACCCAGAGAAGTTTAACAGTCGTTTTAGGAATAAGATGTTCTATGCTGGGGTGAGTGCTTCTCCATGTTAAAGCTCTCTGTGGTTCTGTTTAATACTGCTCACTTTTGAAAGCTCCACAATGCTATATGTCAGAAGGGTGTGATCAACTATGAGCTCCGCACGACAGAGCCTCCAGCATTAGCTAAGCAGCTCCTATACCTGATTGAAACTACTTATTACGAGACCTTTATGAATCAAAGGATAGACACACCTGAATAAGACAGGCTCTGACTTCACCTGGGGAGGGGGGAGTGAAGGACAGCTGCATCCGGCTGTAGCTTTCATAATGCACTCCTCTGAGACAGTCCCGCTGATCTGCGTGTTTGTGTGTGTCTCTCATACAGACAGCATTCTCAGATTTTCTGATGCGAAGCTCCAAAGACCTGTCAAAGCACATCAATGTGGTGGTGAGCAGCTGTCAATCAAGCGTCCAGACATTTAGATAAAAACACCCACTCCATCTCTCTACGTTTGTTCTTCTGTCTGTCTCTCTGTGTCGTCTTATTGTCTTGCTTCCCCGCTCTCCCCCCCCCTCTCTCTCTTTCTCTCTCTCCATCTGGCTCTCTCTCCAGTGTGACGGGACCGATCTAACGTCAAAGGTCCAGGACTTGAAGCTGCAGTGTTTGGTCTTCCTCAACATTCCCAGGTGCTTCTCTCACCACTACATGCTGATCAGAACTGGTTGAGCTACATTCCTCACTATTGTTACTCTTTTATTGATCCAGTAGTGAGAATGTCCACATCGGTACTATCCTCGGCCTTCTGCTGTGTTCTGAAACCAGCACTACTTACGTTTGGGTATTAACAGGCCGATACAGAATACTAATGAGAATACTGCACTTCATCTTTTATTTTCATTAGATGCAACACAGTGCTTTGCTAATACAGACACAGCATAGTTTGGAGTATGGATTCTAGTGTTAGCATCAGGTAGATTGTGAAGGGCTGTTGGGTAAACTTTTGTCGAAAGTACCCAAGCTTTAACTGTTTTGTGGCCATAATTACAGGAACAGTGACTATCTATGGTTGATGTGCACCGAGATAAAGGCTGTGAGGCCTGTATGAGTAGAGATGATCTTTTCTTGCTCGCTGATTCAGTCTCATCATGTCCCACTTGAGAGCTGATGTAGAGTGGCACCTACTGGTGGTACCAGGTACCATCTCCAGTGGATTCCACGAGAGCTCTCATATGAGCATTAAAAAGTTTACTGCTCAGACGGAACTGGTTCTGATGATGAGACCTATGCTGTGTTCCTCAGATACTGTGCAGGGACGACGCCTTGGGGAAACCCCGGTGAGCATCACGACTTTGAACCTCAACGTCATGATGATGGATACATCGAGGTCATCGGATTCACTATGACGTCACTGGTGTGTAATACTCACTGTGTACCTGTGGTAGCATACTTATTAAGAAGCAATAAACAAAGTGGGTTGCCTTTTCAACACACAGGATACACACACCTAGAAACATCTATGTATAATATAATAATATAATATATATCCACACATCCATATCCATAAAAAAAAGAACAGTTTCTTCCCGTCGGCAGTCGGGCTCATCAACAGAGCCCAGGTCCCCCACTGACTGACTGACTCTGACATCCCTTTTTCCACCATCACTCCCTTCGCACTCCACATGCACTTGTCACATTCACTCACAACACAGTTGAAAAGAGTATGGCGATCTGTTCGCAGGTGCACTCTATTTTTAACATTTTTAAATTAACTGTTTAAACTAACCCATAGCCTTTTATTTCCCTTAAAATATGTTGTCTTATCTGTCTTGTTGTCCATTGTCTAACTGTCTGCTGCTCTGCACCAACCGCCAAGTCAAATTCCTTGTATGTCTGACATTTTGGCAATAAATGTTTCCTGATACATATACACACACACACACACACACACACACAGCATTTGATTCACTTCGGATTGTGCGTGTTTTCCCACTTACAAAGCATGTAGGAGTCTGTAATTTTTATCATAGCTACTCCTACATGCTTTTAAGTGGGAAAACCTGCCAAACCGGCAGTGCATCAAATACTTTTTCTCCCCACTGTACATACACACATACATATACACACACACCTACATATGTACTTACACCTCACATGTTTTTCACAGAGCAGTCACAGAGCTCACAATCCCCTTCAGTGGCCAGCTATGCATTCACATACTAGGAACCAATCTCATTGCAACAACACACATGCTCCTTTTATAAACTGTATTTCCTGAACCTTCAGACAAAGTAAAACTCAACTATTGCCTGGTAGCTGGAACTGTTTTATCGTCACCCAAATTGGCTCTTTTTGATGTGTATTTTATATTATTGAACACAATAATTCAAATTTTTTCACAACTTTGGAAACGTGGATAGAATCTATTTTATTTTGCAGGGAGCAGAACATGAGCAGCACACGAGGATCAATCTGCCACCAGAAACACCGTATTTCATAAAGTCATATCTGTCATGACCCACTCTATGTGTGTGTGTGTGTGTGTGTGTGTGTGTGTGTGTGTGTGTGTGTGTTTATAGGCTACTCTCCAGGTCGGGGGTCATGGCGAGAGGTTGAACCAGTGCAGGGAAGTCATCCTCACCACCACAAAACCTCTTCCAGTACAGGTATGTGCTGTACATGCACGGCTGCGCGCATCTGTACCCACACCGTGCTGAAGCAGTGTGCACATGGTTGATTTCTATGTCAGGTGGACGGTGAACCGTGCAGACTGGCTCCCTCTGTCATCCGCATCAGCCTCAGAAACCAGGCGAACATGGTGCAGAAAACCAAACGGCAGACCTCTCTGCCACACCTCAACGAGTAAGTGACTCACGATCTGTTTCTCCCGGCATGATGTCATCGTGTAATGATGCCTCTGTGTGTGTGTGTGTGTGTGTGTGTGTGTGTGTGTGTGTGTGTGTGTTAGTCAGCAGCCAGTTCCGGAGAGGCTGAGGATCCGAGTCAGCAGGATCAGTATGACGGACTACGAGGCTTTGCACTATGACAAGGACAAACTAAGACAAGCATGTAAGCAAACATTCCTTTGTGCACCACAAGGGTTCAATTTCCTAATCAAAGCACACACGGGCTGATGGAAAAGGAAAACACTGCTGCTGACTCTTAGCAGAACCTACACCTACAAATGCATGGAAATGTGTACGCTTTAATACATAATACGGTTAACATGATATTCATTTGGACCATATCCTGCAATATCATCCCTCAGACGATGTTCAGATCAAATATTTAAGTATTTACTGAGGCTCAGTGGGGCTGAATACCATCAGCATCTTCAGGCTAAAGTAGAAACCTCACAGCCTGATGATGAGCAGTAATGTAAAGGCCACAGAGGGGATTAGCAGCGGTCGCTTCCTCCAGCATTTCAGACACTCTTCAGTAAGAGATGCCTGTGACCTACAAAGTGAGAGAGCAGCATCACAACATCTGAGGAATATGGAAAGGGGAAGCTTCCATCTGAAGACTCAAGCTGTGTCTCAAAGTCGCTAGGCTAGTCGCTTAAGGACGCATTCGTCAACCGCATACTGCTGCAACTCTGCTGCGACTGTCCCATTCTGCCGGCTCGTCCGCGGTCGGCGATGCAGCCCTCCAGGAGCCGATTTGAAGGACACATCTGATCTATCCTTTGCGGCCCAGCATATCCCATCATGCAGTGCGGTCCGACGAGGATTTAATTTATTCAGGACGGAGGCGGGTGATCCGAGAGTTTACTTTTAAATGTACCATTAAGTAGTAATAAGTAAAGTAATATCTACCAAATTTATAATATAAATATATAAAATCACATCTTAGTTTATGAAATCTTAAGTTATGTGACATTGGTAATCAATGTTGTGTTTTTAAATACACATAAGAAGCTAGAATAAACTGCTCTTAGTGATGACGTTAACTCCGTCCTGCCACCCCCCCCGTACCTCATACAGCCCATGACCCAGACTCTCACCTGAATCACTCCTGGGTCCATGTACTGTTCTTATGAACATCGATGTACCTATACAAGCGTACCAGCACCTTTTCTTGCGTACCGCTACTTCTGGCATGTAACCGGCGTGTGTGATACACACACTAGGTTGACATCCGGATTTAGGCTGGACTGTCCGGATTTTCAATGCCCCGTCCGCGCCAATCCCCCCGTCGGCCGTAACGTCCCTGCCACCTCCTGTACTGGCACCTTTTTTTTTTTTTTACTTCAAGCACTGGGCTGACTAATATCTTACTGAGGCTGAGATGGTTTTATACACAGTTTATACTCCATCCTATGAACAGAAATGGATCAAAGTGAGCTCAGGCATTCAAGTTCTGAACTTGAAATGTCACTTTCTAAGTAAGTAACATTACAGAATAAATACACAAATAAACTGAACTCTCTTTGATCCGTTTATTTTGTTGTGTGGTCAGAAACTAACTTTACATTTAGTTGTGTTTGATGTAGCAGGAGGAAGCAGCATCAAGCTGAAGGAGAATGGTGTGTGTGATGACATTCAGCTTCTGTAGCTTGGACGTATTCTGTAATATCTTAAGGCTGCAGTTAAAATAGCTCGTATCCTATGCAAGACAAAAATAAGAAGTCCTCGCATACAAGTTAATAATTATTTGCTGTTGTGGTTTTTATTGATGGAATCTCCTCTGCCTTGAGATTGCAATACTACTTTTAGCTGAAAGTACATGGCCTAACTGATTTAATTTGAATTTAAAATAAAAACAAGTTCTTACCTCAGCCTGAAATATATCATGCTCGGAGGAGAAGCATATCTTCCTAAATTAAATGAAATAAGAAGATTATCTTCTTTATCTGTACCTTTGTAATTGTTTTGTCTTTTAAGCCTTTTACTGTCAAGCACAGCAGGTTGCTAGGCAACAGAAGCAGTGGAGGTAAAGCTGATGACGCAGGCAGGAAGTCCCCCCGTAGGCCAGACCATCCCATTTCAGAGACCGCTCGGTTCGGCCTATGCCGTTGTTGGCGGACGCAGCCCAGGTCGACCGTGAAGGCTGGTGAAGGCTGCGGGCTACAAGGATGCAGCCTAGCGACATTGACACACAGCTGCAATGACACTCACTAGCAGTCAGTTCAGAGTTCTGACACCAGGTGGCACTGTTCCCCTTTCCAATATCCACATATAAGCATTCCCACAAGGCCTCACAACAGTGTAAACTGTATGTTAGTGTAAATGTAGAGGTAGTTAATATCATATATATGTACTGTACAGAGAATCAGGCCTTACATCTGTATTCATATCAACTGGTCACATTTCCCTTTTTGTTTATTGAAATGAAATGATATTCTGCACTAACATCATTTCATACCTCATCCTTTGTTCTCGCTATCTGAAGTTTGAGTTGTTTTCATTATGCAAATCCATCCCTCCTCTCAACTCGTGGATGTGTCACACTTAGGGAGATGATAAAAATATGCACAGTGGTTATATCATCTCACCGAGGCTCTGTCTTCCACCCTCAACACACATGGAATGTAAGATACTTTAATTGTGATCTGGATGTGTTAACAAGATCTATTATCCAATTACTGGTTATTATTAAATTACTTGTCTGATCAATAAGAGAAGTGATTGACTCTTTTTACCCTGTTCTCTCAGAGATCTGAAGATTAGATTTACAGGAACAGAGCCATTGTTGAAGCCAGAGGAATATAGCAGTTGAATGGTGGGTTGTATCTTCCCATGCTAAGAGTTAAAAGTTCTGGGACCTTCCTATTGAACCACTCTCTCTGGTTCACTGGAACAGCAGTAGTCCTCTGAATGGACAATGATTCAACCAAGTGGGTATTTTGTTGTCTAGTTCCAAACACTCCTGTCTGTTATATCTGAGCAATGTTTGGAGAATAGGGAATGGGAGTGACCCACCCAGTGAGGCAGTCGGTCTTCCACACAGAGACATCAATCAGCGCTGTGTATGGGTTCAGGAGTTCTTCTAGCACAAAGAGATGTGATCTTCATCCAGCAGTGTGGAGGTGCTGCAGCAAGCATTGGGCCTGCACCGCCTCAGGGAGCCGTCTGTTGTCTTTACGTCATGTCTGCTCACTTAAGGAAATAAAAGACGCCAATGCCAAGGTTCACTTGGCACCATTCATGAGATTTGGAAATGGCATTCTGAGATATCGGGATATTAGGCAGTAGTGAGGTGGAGCACTGATGAGGAGCAGTAGTAAGGAACAGTGACGAGGAGCAATGCTGTGAAGCAGTAAGGCAGAGCAGTGACGAGGAGTAGTGGAGGAGAAGAGGTGATGAGGAGCAGTAATGAAAAGCACTGACAGTGCTGAGGAGTGGTGATGAGGAGCAGTGGTGGAAAGCGGTGATGAGGAGCAGAAGCAAGGAACAGTGACGAGGAGCGGTGATGAGAAGCAGTGGTGAAAAGCACTGATTAGGAGCAGTTAGAAGAAGCACTGGGGAGGAGCAGTGATGAGGAGCAGGAAGGAGGATCAGTGGGGAGAAGTAGTGATGGGGAACAGGGAGGAGGAGCAGAGAGGAGGACTAGTGATGAGGAGCAGTGGTGAAAAGCACTGCTAAGGAGCAGTGATGAGAAGCAGTATTGAGGAACACTGTCGAGGAGCAGTGGTGTAAAACACACGTGAGGAGGAGTGAGGATGATCATTGAGGAGGAGCAGTGAGGAAGAGCAAGGAGGAGTAGTGATCAGGAGGATCTTGCTGTAAGCTGTTTCTTTCACAAATAGGATGTACTCAGTATCATTCTCCGCACTAAAGCAAACCCAGAAACATTTAGCCTAGCTAGGTAACATATCCATTGATAATGATTTGTCCTCACTACCCCTCTAGAGTCCCAGGTGTGCACCAGGCCCTTCTCGATGCAGTTCAAGGTTCTCCAGGGTCCTGAGGTTGTAAGTAGATATCAAAGTGCTGTGGGATAATTGTCTTGTTCCTCTGTATCTTCAGCCATTCCTCTGGGGCTCATCGTGGTTTCTGGTGACAGCGACTTAGAAACCTGCAGAGAACACATCCAGCGCCTCCAGGAGGTAAGGAGGAGAGAGGAGGGGGGGAGGCCATAGTTCTGTGTCACTGCATGGAAACAGAAAAGCAGTGACAGTCCAGAGCAAGAAGAACATTTCCTAACATTTGGAACTACGCATGTGTGCCTCATTCAGTTTATTTTATTAAGTGATCAGGGACAGTTCACTCATTTGTAGAAATGCTGAAATTGTGCGAGGTATAACATTCAGAGAGCAATATTGAGTTGTGCTACGTTCATGTTACATAATGCCATTAATACGAATGGCTGGTAGTGTAGGAAGGCTCACTCTGATAGGTGGAGCAAGTACATGCCAACAGACCTCTATCCTCCATCCCATCTTCCTCTCTAGGACTTCTCTTCTGTCAAGTTCACCTTGGGACTGCAGGTTGGTAGTTGGATGCTGGAGTTTGTAGTGTGTTTTTTGTTTGGCTCAGAGGCACACGGGAAACTAACCGCTTCAACATTTTACCGCAAAATCTTACCACAACCCTTTCTGAAATATATTACACGCACAGGAAACATTTAAGAAAACATGATCCAAAGTGTACATGTACCAAAGTTCTGATTTACACTAAAACTACCTGGTCATTGCGTGGCTGATATAATTTTATAGACGTAATACATTCTTTATGTCAAAGCAAACATCAGACCAATGCATCAAAGGGAAAGATTCTTGTAACACGCACTTTGCTGATTCTGCTGCAGTTCTTTAGGGCAGGTTTAAATTTTCCTTTTATTTTTTAAACCATCAAAGTTAGTAGACCTTTAGTAAAAAGGTTATATCTGACATCAGCGCTGATAGCCAGCAGGAGTGATTGACAGCTGAGACAGAATTCTAGTTAAAGAGAGTTCTTAGTGTTGCACCGATATGAAATCCTGCTTTGAATTCAACACACACCATTCCAAACAAACAAACAAACACCCACACACATCAATACAAAGAGCATGTGGTCAGTAATGCATTACATAACATAATATGGGCACACAGATACTCATACCTTTCTAACAAAACAGTATTCCAAAAAGTATTGTTTGATTTATTGTAGTGCACATTTAGCGTAATGTAGCGGAACATGGTTGGGAATGGGAAGGGGACGGATCAGACGGGATGCTGGCCCATAGGGGGCTATTCCCAGAGCACACCTCCCAAGCACGGTGTCGCGACTCGTCAGCCGTGAAGGAAGGGCCACCAGAATGACTGGAGAACTAGGAAACCAGGGCCCTGAGGAGCTGCTGGGAGCACACGCAGACAGGAACAAAAAGAAGGCCAAGGAGGCCATTACCTGGGTCTACTTGAGTCTCCTTCACCGTAGGTTAAATCTAAAAGCCAACAGCTGCCACAACATAAGAAGAAGGGGGGATGATTTACGGACTCGCGGGGCCTCTTCGGAAACAAGTTGGAGAGAGAGAGCATCAGGCTCAATATTACAGGAACCAACATCGTAAAGCAGTGTAAACCTGAAGCAGCTGAAACAACTGATGGTACGTTCACCCCGAACCCGTAGCAAATGTTTTGCGTCGCCTCAAACGCTCTAAACGCACCTCAGGACTCTCGGGGCATCATTTGTTGTCAATTCGCGGGTATCGCTTATTCGCTCACGTCTTTTTAAACTAAATAGCATCCGTAGGCCGACAGCTCGGTAAATTTCACTGACTTCTACAGGAACTGCGTCTGGATGACTGCCGCTTCCAGCGGTGCGTGGTGGTAGCCGTTAGCCCGTTCAATAGCTTGTTGGCTCGGATCGGGCAGCGGACTTCACCATCTTCACATCATACTTCTGCCGAGGGAACTGTCCCATGGAGACACCGTGTAGTGCTCAAGCACATCCAAACAGCTCTTTTAAGAGCCGCACACACGTTGAGCAAACTTACTTATATTACTTATATTTAGCAGCAGTGTGTTCGTTATAAACAATACAATTATCCTACACTAGAATGTACTATATTCAGTACAGTGATGGGATGTTGTAAAAAGGCATATATGGTTGTGTGCTGTTTGTGAAAAGTGCGAGGTCTTTCCCAGACTGGGTCACCATAAAGGTACGTGGATGTATCGTACAATTCAGGGACCGCTTTATGCAGGACGTCAGTGACGACCGGGAGCATCTCAACGCTGATGTAATCCTGTGGCGCAAAACGCTAGCGACGCTTCGGTGTGAACGTACCATGAGACTGAAGGTACATTTCTATTATCACTTCAAACTATAAATGGATTTTCAAATCTCTCAAGCCATATTTCTATTCCTCCAAAGCACATTTTAGGGACGGGTATTCCAAATTCCCCATGCTGTTGTTTCATTCAGCATATGCAGCAAGAGGAGAAACCCATGGATGAAATTTCACAGTCCACAGATCCTAAGGAGATTCTCTATCTGCCCTCAATGATCCCCGAAAAGGACACAGAAATGACACAGAGCCTTGTCTCTCCCTCTCTTTTGGATAGCTTGTTAAGGCTGGCGCATGCTTCTGCGTATTTACGACGCACTCCTTTCAATTCATGGTTCTAAAGGCTTGCGTGTGTTGCAGAACAATTCACCTCCAGAACAACAGGCGGAGTAACGTGTTTTGTTGAAGACGACCTAGAGAGTCACGTCTTTGTGTGTGGAAGTCGTTAGGCCTCATGTTATGGAACAAAGCTTTAAATGGGCACACAGTGGGCCCGACACTCGTCTATCATGTTGGTGTACTTTCCCATGGCAATGGCCAGGAAGTTTGAATAGTGAATTGATCCACTCCGCTAGCCAATAATATTGGATTGATACTGTGCTCATATTGAAGCACTTCTAACAGCCCAGGATCTCGTTCATAATCTAGACATGAAAATGATTGATTTGTGAGGTCAACTTAGCTGAACAACTCTGCCTCCTTGTTCTTCCATCATAGATCATGATCAACTGTGTAACAAACCCCTAATAACTAACTGATCCAATTCTTCATTATTCAGCGGAGGAATTGCCTTATAGGAGACCCAACGCACACAAACACACAGAGCGTGGGGACAGGGTTTGATCCCCCAGGCCAGACAAACACACATATATTTGTCTCATTAGTTTCCCACATGTGTCTCAGCATGTTTCAGCATGTTGCAGCATGAATATTTGTTGTGTACGTTTACCTTTCAGTTGTATGTGCTTATTATATTCATATTCAGTTTATGTGTGTCTGTAGCAGTTCTTATGCCACATGCCACAATAAGCAGAGCTTGTTGTGGCATGTTGTGAAGGTGAGCTGATTTACTTTGTTGCTTTAGAATAGAAGAGTTATAAGTTATTATTGGTTTTCCTTTATGAATATGCAGGGTTAATTAGGAAGTATCTTTTAGGCTCCTCAGAAGAACCAAAATATCAAGTGACACACACACAAGTACAGTGGTAATGTCTCCAAACACTTTTCACAACTTTTTTCTGTCACAGGATCAGAAAGGAATTTTAATTTATTAATATTATATATTTAACTCAAAGAACTTGTGAACCTTGAGTTGATCTCTTTAGTATAAATACTTTATTTTTCATAATGTATTCCACGAGTAAAATAATTGGCAGAATAATTGTTTATGTACATGTATTTTGTCGACTGAACATTTAATATGGTTATATGATATTCTACTTCAGTACACTGGCGTCACTACGGGACATTGAATCTTCATATCCAGGAGTTGATATTACAGACACCACTGATTATCCTTGTATTAGTCGGATGTGGTCCAGACAAAGTCTCTGACTTTTCTTTCTTCTTTGTTGTAGGTGGGGAGGGGGGGGGGGGGGGGTATTGTCTGTTCTAACACTGGGTGGAGCGAGGGAAAGAGGTGGTTGTGCTTGTTCACAAAGCTTGGAGTTCTGCACTACAATCCATTTATCTAAAGTAATGTATTACAACTGCTTTTTTATTGACCACGTCTCTTTAATCCCAGTGACGGTGAGGATGCAGTTAACTAGTGTCACCATCACCTGTCCTGTAGGTCCAGTTTGAAAATTCCTTTCACTTCTATCTTGTTTAGTTTATCCGAATCATGAAAAGTGTGAAACTTTCACATGTTTGGGTCCGAGTCTAATAAAAACATACCTTAACTAGCGTGATTTTTGTTTTTTATACTGAGACTGCAGATTTTTCGTCCCTTCACAGGAAGTTCTTTCCTTGAGATGGAGTTGAGGACCACAACATCAGGTTGTTTGTGTTGCTCATTCTCCATTGATGTAGTCCGAGGTTTCTCCTAGAAAGGAAGGGGTGCTGGTTCTGTTAGTGAGGAGTTCTAATGAGCAGTTCTGATTTAACATTCCCCTTTCATTCAGGTTTCATCCAGCAAATCTTTGTCACGCGTGTTTGTCTTAATTCCTCATCATGAAACAGGAAATGGGTTTCTAGTTATCACAATGCTTCGCACCTCCTTTTCAAACCTGAGGGCATCTCGGTATGTGAGTGTGATGTACAAAGAGCTGTTCTTCATCTTCGTCTTCAGGAGCAACACGAACTCTGTTCATGTTATTTTTAACAACAGAGTCCCGTTCTTATATAGGTCACATTGCCAACACTAAAGAGAGCTCACGGGTTGATAGTCGGCCTTTGTGTTGCATAGCAACCAGGTGGTGTTTGATCTTCTGCTGGCTGGTGACTGCTGATGCTCAATGGTGCACTTGAGATTGATTAGGAGAAGGGTTGTTCCGATAATAAATTAATATTCACTTATTGTGGTTTATTTAAAATCTAAATTCACTTCTTTACTGTGTGTGTGTGTGTGTGTGTGTGTGTGTGTGTGTGTGTGTGTGTGTGTATATATTTATATACGTGTTGCCTGTCCTCCTTAGTGAACATTTGAGAAGTTCTAGAGGAACATGCTAACTGTTCTTCCAGGCTGATGCTCCTGATTATTAACTCACAAAGCCAACCAGGATTCTAAATCTGCCAAAGAGCTCAAACTTTCTACGTAAAAAGACAAAGAGGAGGGAAGGCAGAAGAGACAGGAGAAGAAAGTAGGTGAATGGAGGAGTCATTCAGTCAGACGGGCTCAGCTTTTGATTTGCTGTTTGTAGGTTTGCCGTTAAAGCCTGCCGGCGGTTTACTCTGCTCGAGCCTGCTTCTGAAGTTGACAGCAGGGTGAGATAAGCATGGAGAGGGAAAGTAGGAGTGTTTACTTCAGGCTTCATGGAGACTTGTCACAATTTACATGAAAGGCTTGAGCTTCGAAGGAAAAACAACTTTACTTTCTTTGGCTTGTTTTCATGCTTTTACGTCTACTGAAAGGGGACTTTTTTTTTTACATTCATTCACAGTGTAAAACTGAAATTGGTCGCTTTGTATTGCATTAAAGCTGCTAACGCAGCATTGATTTTCTGTAAATATGAGCAGTTTCCTGAAGAGTTAAAGATTTCACTCACTGAAGGGAAGCCTCTCCAACAGTACGAGGACAGTGAGTGATAGAGCTGAGCTGTAGTGAGGAAATAAAGACGATGGACGGGTCAAACCGATTCTGGACTTTCACCCAGGAGACTGGTGTTCATGTCGCATGTATAACCAGGTATTTTCCCCCTGACTAACACACTGCTTAATGTTTAATGTTTATTTTGAAAAGAGACTGCACTGCAACAAAGACTTCTTGACCTTCATAAAGCTGAACAAACTGCATCCATACTAATCCTACCTTGAACATGGAGATTTATGGAGGGACGATGTACTGCACAGCTGTTGGATTCAACTTCATTAGTTTTAGCTCCACAGTGTCCTGCAGAGACCGAGACAGAACAAAAGAACATGCAGCATGCAACACAGGGCAGCGGCAGACTCAGCGAACACGAAGTCAGCACCAACATTTAGTTGGAGGATCTTAGGTGTCTAACTGGGTGGGTGTCAGGGGTTCACAGATAGAAGGCCGGTTTGGATCATTTAGGCTTAAAACCAGTCTCGAGTGAACAGGGAGCCAGGAGGTTAAGTAACAGGCAGTCTGGTTTTCATCTTGTTAAAAACATTCTGAGCTAATTGGAGACTGGATGAAAAAATTCACCTGAGTGATGCCAAAATCCAAAAAGGTTTCTGTAATAGGAGAGTGGATATGAAGGTGTGGGTGCAGACACAATTCTCCTGTGTAGTTAAATGTTATACATCAGATTTATTGGTTTATTAAACTTCAGTGCTGATTAGAATATGACTCCTGATTTGTTTCATATATTTGTTTTGTCATAACGAGTGGATGGGAGTAGTATAGTAGAATAACTGTTGTGTAATAACTGTTGTAAACCCATGCAGAGACATGTGGCATGTGTCACAATGTGCATCATTCACCCCCTCATTTTGACCTTCAAAAGTAACAATCTACATGAATTTACATAATCTTTTTTGCTATGTCTCTAGTTAATAACTTGGTGTGGCGTTATACACTTCAAAAACTGTAAAGGCTAACACATTTGTGTGTCATAATTGGATTTATGTAATCTACTGTTGGTAGAACATAACTGGAGAAAAGAAATAGCATCGCGATGTGGTCAGACAGGCGTTGCATGTTTGCAGGGAATAACACCGGAATAGAGAAACCTGAGGTCTTGTGAGGGACAGTGAGGTGGCAGGAAGACCTGTCATAAGTGGATGAACTGCTTAGCCTTCACATTTGACCTAGTGAGTAACATTTCTGTGCCTTGTTTGAGTAGAGGTACCATTAGGCTGTGATTTATGCATTTTCTGTGGGTCTTCTATTTATTCAAGGCGAGACACAGTGGAAGCAGAAGATTTCTGACTAACACAATGCCATCATATTGTTTGAGTGATCTTTCAGAATATTAGGTAACAACTAGGTAACATATACAGACGCTTTAAGGCAAGTGTACCTTAAGGACACGAGGTATTCCAACATACATAACAATTAAGAATCTTCAGCCATCTCAAACAAACTCAACAGCTTTCATGCACAAACAAAAAAGTCGAAAAAAGACACACATGACCTAACTTTAACAGATCTACGACAAACACTATGTCTTGAGGAGCAGCTTTTGCACAAATTCTAAATAAATTAAATAAACCTGGAACACGCTGCTGAAAACATGGACGGACGAGCTGGCAAAAAAAACGTCACTCCGCTGCATTAAAAAAGTCCCTTCAAAATAAAATCACAGGATGAATTTTTAAAAAAAAATTAAAAACGGGTCGCAACCCACCAGTTGAGAATCACTGCTTTAAGGGATTGGCATGATTGCATTAACAAATGTGTTCAGCGTTAGCTGAATTCCATTTGAAGGATCAGCTATTCAGCAACCTGATTAACTTCTTGTTTTTCTCTTTTAAGAACACCACGCTGCTATAGTTGCTGATTAAGTTTGGCCTAAGAGATTGTTGTCAATCAGATTTGGGCCTAGTGTTTTGTTAATGTCCTTCATTTTAAGCAGGCTGATGGCTGAGTATTTATTTTACAGCCTCTCTTTTATTTCTAGTGTCATCATCTGTGATGTTTGTTGTTGACCCACAATTTCACACTAAGTCTAACTAAGAAACGTTCCAGTTCTGGTTGTTTTGCTGCTCTCGGCGGTGCTCCATCAGCTCATTGGTTCCTCTGTTCTGTGATGGATGCATCCCTTCTAAACTAAAACTCTCCTTTTTCTCCTGCTTTCAAATCTAACTATTTCTATCTGTCTGTCATTCAGGAGGAGACAGCCAAGCCAAAGAGTCTTTCCTCGCAAAGATTATCTCCAAAGTGGTGTTTCCTAGACTGTAAGTACATCGCTACTCCTCTTTCCTTCATCAGTTCTTCAACCAAGTCAAATCCCTACTCGCGTGAATGTATATGACATAATTTTCTTACTGCAAATAATGAGAGAATTAAGTTTCTGCTGTGCTACTCTTTGAGCTATACTCAAAAGACAAAATGGATTGTTTATTCCCACTGATATCGCATTGGAAAATGGCTGTATAACTTTTTTTTTTTTACAAAAAGATTTTTACCTTTTTGTAAATATGCATATGCTGTGTTTTCTCAATGTATTTATTTAGTCTGTCAAAATTAATTAATAGTTAATCTATGCCCTTAATGTAGCCGAGATTAATTAATGATTAGGGGGGATTAGCAAGAAAAAAGGATAACAATACAGGCAGTACAGTAATAGAACTAATTACATTACATGTCATATAAAAATATTAGTCCAGTACAATATAAAGATGAAGGTAGAAAAGAGGAGGGAGGGGCTCAGTGTTTATAGGAAGTCCTCCTGCAGCGTGGGCCTATAGCAGCATATCTGGGGGCTAGTCCAAGCCTTAACTATAAACCTGAGCCAGCCCTGAATTTAAATCCAAGCAATCCTCTCATAGGAAACCTAGACTAACCAAGCCTCAAGCAAGCTTAGATTCTGTGTGTGCAGTGTTTTACTGGGTAATGCGGTGCTATAGGGCTTGACTAGTAAGGGCTTTGCAAGTGAGTTGTGGCTTTGACAACTCATCTCCTGAAACCATATAGGGCTGGCTCAGGTTTGCCTTAGATCAGCTCCCCAGGTATACTTCTATAGATCTAGACTGGCGATGGCACAATAAGCTCCTCCCTCCTCTCTCTCTTCCATCTAATGCAAATTACTAACTTATCTTCATACCATAAGTATCTCAATAATATGGATTTAGTCCTGATTCAAGGTAGATAAGGCCCCCAAAGAGATGAAATGCAATCAGCTATAACATCAATGCCATAAAAATAGCACAGTTGCTCTGCATTTTTAGGTAAGCAAACATATTTATTTCCCACCTGGTTGAGTGGCAGTGATTTTATTTCTGGTTCATTTAAAGTTTATTTTTTATTAAATACATTCTTACTCAAATGTATATTGTCCCATTAGTTATTTTGTCATTTGTGCATACATAGAGGTGCAGCTCACCAAAAATATCAGAGAAAAAAATATTTTATCAATGCGTACACACACACACACACACACACACACACACACACACACACACAAAGAAAGACCGAACTGTTAGTGGAAAGAGAGTAAGAAGGGAGTGTCTGCAAAGACTGCAAAGCCCGATGAGGGGTTTAGCCTCCCTGAGTCCATTGTTTCTAATACTGATTGTAGATTTGAACAATGATGAATGCCATTTGCCTTTTTTTCTGAATCCTTTAGAGACGATCTGATTTCAATCAGATACATTTAAAGAGAAGATTCATCCCTTGTTTCTGTTTGTCTTTTAAGCTACAACCGCGGATCGTTTCTACAGAATTGACCGAGCACAGGTAATTAATTCCTTCACCTACACTATCCTGTCAATATATCTAAGTGGAAATATAGGTCTCTCTACCACAAAGAGCACAGCCTGTCGCTGCATCCCACTGATTCTAGCTTATTTTGGGAAGAATCTTCTTTAAATAGGATCAGGTGAAAGGACTTATTTGATGGTGAATGCAGAGGAGTCATTCACAATAGGGCCTGAGCAACCTGCCTCGCAGAGAATAGACCAGCCCATATGCGTCCTGAGCCTCTCATCTCCTGCTGCTTCTGATAAAGCTGGTGGCCACTTTGAGATCATCGACACATGTGTTCACTGGAGCTTACTCATTGACATGTGGATCATATGACTGAGTGGAAAGACATTTAGTTATCTTATCTTCACTTATCTTCTGAGTTAATTTATCAACCCATTCATACTGATATATCAGAGCAGCTGGACACACTTTATATGCCCCCCAAGAGGAAATCAATATCCATGCAATACAGCACATATGTTTTGCTTTGATCAGAGCATGACCATAGCATGACACAACTGCGGTGCTTATTAATCGTTAAATAAAGATTACTAAGCACCACAGCTGTCAGTATACAGTTGTGGTCAAAAGTTTACATACACTTGTAAAGAACATAATGTCATGGCTCTCTTGAGTTTCCCGTTATTTTAAGTCCTCTGATAAAGAAGTATCTGTTCCAATCATGAAGTTTGGTTCTTTTATGACTTTATTATGGGTTAACAGAAAAAGTGATCAAATCTGCTGGGTCAAAAAAATACATACAGCAGTACTAATATTTGGTTACATGTCCCTTGGCCATTTTCACTTTAATTAGGCGCTTTAGGTAGCCATCCACAAGCTTCTCGTTGAATCTTTGACCACTCCTCTCGACAGAATTGGTGCAGTTCTGTTAAATTTGATGGCTTTCTGACATGGACTCGTTTCTTCAGCATTGTCCACATGTTCTCAATGGGATTTAAGTCAGGACTTCAGGAAGGCCATTCTAAAACCCTAATTGTAGCCTGATTTAGCAATTGCATTACCACTTTTGATGTGTGTTTGGGGTCATTGTCCTGTTGGAACACCCAACTGCGCCCAAGACCCAACCTTCTGGTCTGATGATTTTTGGTCATCTTGAAGAATTTGAAGGTAATCCTCCTCCTTCATTATCCCATTTACCCTCTGTAAAGCACCAGTTCCATTGGCAGCAAAACAGCCCCACAGCATAATACTACCACCACCGTGCTTGACGGTAGACATTAGGGGTGTAACGATTCATTTTAACAACGATTCGATTCGCATCGCGATTCATGGTTGGCGATTCGATTCATGGACCATCTGGGTTCATTTAGAACGATTCGATTCAGTGACTTAAAATCGATTCAGTAACTTTACTGGACAGTGCGGGCTTCCTTCTTGCACGGCAGGCTCTCAGTCCATGGAGATGCAAAACACGCTTGACTGTGGACACTGATACCTGTGTTGCAGCAGCTTCTAATTTTTGGCAGATCTGCTTTTTGGTGGTTATCGGTTGACTCTTCACCCTCCTGACCAATTTTCTCTCAGCAGCAGGTGGTAGCTTGCGTTTTCTTCCTGATCGTGACAAAACAGTGCCATAATTAACTCATAATTAAGTCATAAAAGAACCAAACTTCATGAATGATTTTGTGACAAAGAGTGATTGGAACAGATACTTCTATCAGCGAAAAATCTGAGTTGTAGAAATAACTGTAAAGTCAAGAGAGCCATGACATTATGTTCTTTACAAATGTATGTAAACCTTTGACCACTACTGTAGTTAAAGCTTGAGGTGTTTCAATGTCTGGTTATTGAAGGCTGCATCTCATAGTCATGCAATTTAGATGGATATTTTTGTGCAGTATGGATGAATGTTGTATTACGTTTGCGCTTCACAGAAGGGTAAGAACTGCCTCATATTTTTCAGGAACATCTCAACTATGTGTCAGAAATCTCCCAAGAAGAAATCTTTATATTGGACCCCGAACTGGTTGTCACGATAACAGTGGGCACTTCCCCCTCTGCCATGCCAGACTTGGTTAACCCCGCCTCCAGCCTGGTGAAAAGCAGGTAGGTCAGGTGCTGTCAGTGTCACTAGAGGTTAAACCTTCAGAGCCAAAAGCCACAGAGCAGCACAATAGAAGCTTTTAATGTTAATGTCAGAATTAGTCTAGCCTTCAAGAAGAAGAAGAAGATAACCCTAGAGCCCAAAATGTGGTCTTTTGCAGCGTTCTTTGATCAGGCAAAGACATAATAGGTAATAACTGCTACTGGGAGTCTGCATCCCACTTCCTGGTTGGTAGTTTGACCTCCAGCTGGTCCTCTGTAGAAACACACTGGCCCCATATCGTTCAAAGGCACAGTTACAGTGATAGATTTCGGCTTTTGGAAAACGGCTGGTGTACTTATCATGTCCTGATCCGTCCTCTGCTCCTAATGTCCACATAAATCCAAGGAGGACACTGAACCCTCACCATGAGGAGAGCGGCCAGTGCCTCTCTCTCTGTCCGCCTGTTTGGTCTTTCTGTCTCTGTCTATCTGACTCTTTCTCTCTGCTGAAACCGTTTTCTTTCAGTTTTATTTTTGCTCTAAGATTCATGTTCGACATGAAACAGATATACAAAAGCGTAGCATTCAAAACATGTATTGTGTTTCAGTGAAGAAATAGGACGTCAGGTTTCTTTTGCTGCTACATGTCCATGTACAGCAAATGGTTGGTTGTGTGGGAGGGGCTTGGCTCACTCCCATTGGTCGAGTGTATGTTGATGTGGTGTTGCTGCTTCACAGTATGAGTAGTGAAGCCTATAGAGCCTGTTGGAGGGCAAAGAACTGCATCATTCAGAGGCTGTAGTTCTGTGTGTGTGTGAATAAACACAGGAAAAATATTTTCTATCTTAATTTTACACAGTTTATTGTCCTGAAGTGTTACTATTTGCTATGGTTGCATTCGTGGGTGTGTTTGTGTGCACTGGTGTGTGTTTTGCTCTGCCTCCAAATGAAATCCTTTAAAGCATATCTACACACACCTTCACACTGATTAAATTCACACCTACAGCAGCCTGTTAGAGCAGTCGTCTGCTGAGGCTCCTTGAACGTTCTCTCTTACAATGAGAATATCGCAGAGAGTTGGAAGGGAGATGCCGAAGACCTGCTCATGTTACTCTTATTTTTAGGACCCATTCCAACACTGTTAAAATGGCTCACAGGGCCTTTGGTTTCCACGAACGATCTTTAAGAGCGTTGTATTTGAGGGAAGTTTCAGTCAGTTCCTAAAAGCTGCATTTGTAGTGGACTATTTTTAGCATCAGATCAGCCACACTAATGAAGGAACTTATCAGCCAGCACAACAATGAGGCTTGTTGATATGTTGTGGAGAAACAATTTTCTTCTTTCGCAACAGATACATTCACTGTTGTTCTGCGAATTTAAAGAAAGACAGTGATCAGATTTATTGTTCAGAAACATTTAGACCCTAGATACCCGAGGTGACACCTAGCAGGCAGCGGCCAATATCTGATGTATTTAAGGCACAAACACATGTAGAGGAAAGTCGTATTTCTCCCGGCATTTTAGTTATGAAACGTGAACATATAGAGATTAACATACAGTATAGAAAAAAGGGATTAAATAACGGAACTGGTACAACGAGAGTATAGGCAGAGCAACACAACATGGTAATCCTAACAGAATCCCTGCTGGTGTGAATGTGCACGCACTTTTGTGAGTGCACGTGTGTTGGCGGGCTGATTTGCAATACTGAGTGCACCGAGTGGGAGGATGAGGAGGAGAGATGAGGCCAAGAGGCAGGGGGTGGGTGAGGGAGAGATGGAGGGACGGGTTTGGAGTCAGGAAAACAGTGAATGTGGAGAGAAATGCATGTCAGAGCAGCGAGAGCCACAGCGCTCCATGTAGACACACACACACACACACACAGTGTGAGTGCTGGGCCCACGCAGGGCCAGAGGTTAGCGTTATTCCTCCCACTATAATTACCTCTCTCTCTCCTTTGGTCTCTATCCCCCTGTCTCTCTGACAAACACACTGAAAGACGCCCACACACCAAACATTTTGTTTTCTGAAATGATTTCTGAGCTGATGGCTTCTGTTCACCCTTCAACATCGGTGTTGTGGGGTCCGTCAGCAGAAACAAGGCTCAGCTGTCTTTTTCCTTTGCCCCGGCCGGAGGTGAAAAGTCAAAAGAATCAAATTGAGTTTAAAAAGGAAATCTAATTTAATAACTAACAGAAGCAATTAAATTAAAAAGTGAAATACGGTTTCATAAAACTATATTATTTTGCGAAATAGAGAATCTTCCCCCCGGACTGAAAGTGGAACCTGGTTCCACAAAAGAGGAGCTTGATAACTGAAGGCTCTGGCCCCCAGCCTACTTTTTAAAACCCTAGGAACAACAAGTAACCCAGCATCTATGGAGCACAGCTGCCTTGTAGGGCAATACGGTGTTACAAGCTCTTTAAGATACAACGGTGCCTCACCAGCAAGTGCCTTGTAGGTGAGGAGAAGTACCTTAAAATCTATTCTTGATTTAACAGGGAGCCAGTGCAGAGATGTTAATACAGGAGTGATATGATCCCCTTTCTTAGTTCTTGTTAATACACGTGCTGCAGCATTCTGAATCAACTGGAGAGGCTTAAGAGATTTACAAGAGCAGCCTGATAACAAAGAATTACAGTAGTCCAGTCTGGAAGTGACAAACGCATGAACTAATTTTTCTGCATCACTTTGAGACAGGAAGTTCCTGATTTTTGATGTTACAAAGATGAAAAAAGGCAGTCCTTGAAGTCTTCTTTATATGCGAGTTGAAGGTCATATCCTGGTCGAAGAGAACTCCCAGATTCCTGACGGTGCTGCTGGGTACCAGAGCAATTCCATCCATAAAAACTGTATCACGTGACAGCTGGCTTCGAAGGCGCTCTGGGCCTATCAAGATAACTGTTTTTTCTGAGTTTAGCATCAGGAAGTTGCCGGTCATCCAAGTTTTGATGTCTCAAAGACATTCTTGAAGTCTAACTAGCTGGTCCGTCTCTTCTGGCTTGATCGACAGATACAGTTGAGTATCGTCTGCATAACAATGGAAGTTTATGCGGTGTTTCCTGATAAGATCCCCCAAAGGAAGCATATAGAGGGTAAATAAAATCGGTCCAAGTACAGAACCTTGTGGGACTCCGTGACCGACATTGGTTGTCTTCGAGGATTCATCGTTTACAAGCACAAACTGGGATCGATCCGATAAGATTTAAACCAGCTGAGTGCAGTTCCTTTGATACCAATTAAATGTTCTAGTCTCTGCAACAGGATACAATGGTCTATGGCAGCGGTTCCCAAACTCAAGAATGCCGCGGCCCACTTTGAAATCTGAAAATCTTTTGCGGCCCACCCAAACTTTTTATCACAACTCTGACCATCAAAACATAAACTAGGGATGATTAAATGAAGAATTTAACCGATTAAAAATGTATTAAACGACAATGTATGTTTTGTATACCATTTTTCTCCAGAGCCGTGTTTTCCGCACAATAAGGTGCATAAGATACTGCAAAATTTGAGAGCGCAAATCAGGTTGATGCGCGTGCGTAACATCGCCAGCAAAAGTCCGTCTCGAGCGAGCAAAAGTCCGTCTCGAGCGAGCAAAAGTCCGTCTCGAGCGAGCAAAAGTCAAGGTATTTGCTCGCTTGCGAGACGTGAACTTCCTCGCTCGCGAGGTTAGTCTCTTCCTACGCGCTCGCTGTTTTTCTTTTTGACAGTGAGGGGGCGGAGCCAGTTACCATGGTCTCTACACCTGATTGGTTACAAATGCCAAACAAGCCTAGATCCTTCTGATTTGGTGGAACGCCATAATCATTCAAGTTTCCGCACAGTTGCTTTAGATTCCGTGTTTGAGGGTTATACCACGGAGCAGACTTCCTTCTTGTTGCTATTCTTCTTTCCAGAGGAGCAGTAGCGTCTAGCGCCACTCTCAAAGAGCCTGTAGCAGTATCAACAAAATTATCGATCTGGGACGGACTGAGGTTCTCACAGGAGTCTTCCCCTAGTCTTGTTGCAGTCTAGAAATTGCACGGTGTGTCCTTTGTGTTGCAGTCGTATGTGACTGGCTGCATATTTAAACATAGCTCGTTTGTAACATTCCTCTGTGACTCCATCTGAAACCTGAAAGCCCTCTCCTGAATGTCCCTCAATACTTCTTAATGTAAACATAACATGCATAATATTGTCTAATAATATAATATTAATAGTTAATACACCCATACAAGCATAACACATCTTAAATCATCACATTTCATATGATCTATGGTCCAAAATCAAAACAATTGTCTTGCAGGGCTTTCCTAAATCCTTCACAGGAGAAAACTTTCATTGGTAAGAAAATATGGAAGAAATCCATCAGCGAAGGTTTAAGCATCCTTCCCCAAGGCTTAACATTACATTGTGGCTGGATTTCATGTGTACTGTAAGGAATGGACTCTGGAGACAGACTCAGACCCAAGAGCAGAGCTCTCAATATTTATTTTAGGACGACAGGTAACTGTAGACTCAAGGGACAAGGCAATACGGGCATCCAGGGAATAGGCAGGTTCGTAGTCGGGAGAAGGCGGAAGGTCGATACACGGAGGCTCACTGGTTCTAAAGGAATTCAGGGGCAGAGAAACAAAGGGTTGAGCAGAGAAGCGTACTCGCAATACCTCACAACTCGCCCGCTGCGTCGGCCTGCTCTTATAGGTCTACTCTCTCGTGGGTGTTCCAAATTCCGGTGATTGGCTCCGGAGGACGTGTCCTCCCTCGCAGGTGTTTAAAATTCTGGTGATTGGCTCCGGAGGACTCGCTCTTCGGCGCCCCCTTGCAACCTCCTGCCGCCACGCTGGGGTTGAGACCTCACATGTACAGTAATTAAATTACTTATCATGTGTGTTTTACAGTTATTTATCTAACAGCATACTAATATAATAATTAAAATATAATAACACACAAACTACAATTCTAACGTGGGTCATGATCGCACATATTATAATTGCTAAGCATGCTCTTCTGCTTTAATTTAATTTAAATTTATGAAAGGTTCACGACAGAACAATATAGCAAATCTAACAATTTGTGGGAGATGTCGCAGTCTGACAGAAATAATTTCTTAATACATTTTTATATCAGTGTGTTGACTGGTGTTTGAGTTTATCACACTGCGTGTCAGGGCACAGGGTCGCTGCCTTTATTACTGTAGGGAGTGCACGGTACTAACGTGTTCCCTCTATAAGATTCAGATCACACTTACAGTAGAAAGAGAACCCTGAATATCAGCTTTTAGTTGAACATGGATGAGAGATCCCACAGAGGTTTACAATCATCTGCAGTTCAAAGTAAACTGAGCAATCTCAGTCTGCTGATAAAGACCATGTGATACTGGGAAAAGAACAAGCCAGTGAGTTGGGATTATGAGTTGAACAGTTTGCTACAGGAAGAAGAAAGGATCTGCTGTGTGGGTGCATTGTGGTTCTTAAAGTCTATTGGTGACTCGAGATGGGGCTGATCTAATGTTCTAACGTATTGTTACCCATCCACGTTGTTATATTGTTAAAATACCTACCTCCTTAACTGAAACCATAAGGAAACAAGATAAACAAAACCCCCTACACTTCCCTGACTCTACACCGAAGACCTGGGGATACCAGTCCGTTTCAGTGGGCTCAACACTGCACCCCTCTCTGCAACGCAGCACAGCCCTTTGGAAGCTGGCAAAAAATGATGCGAGCCAGCCACCTCCCCAGAGGCCGTGTGGCTGCTCAGTGTCAATGACGAGAGCTGAACATTGTGAATGCTTTCAACCACAGGGACGTTGTTTCATCTCGGAGAGAGTCGCTTGCTGTGTTGTTGATGTTTTTGATCTGACACGGTCATATTTATCTTCCACCTTACTAATGAATGGAATCTGTATGTACTGTTATCCCATCTAATTTCCTTCTCTGCATAGTAACCATAGCAACCTCCTACCACTTCCTCGACTTGACGTCCGACACAAACAGATTGCTTGATCAAAATATGAATATGTGGGTGTTTTAAACATCTTTATCACATCCCATTAGTAAAGAGGCTGATTTAGAAGCAGTCCATGCTGGTTTCAACTGATTTCATTTTTCTACACAGTTACTTTTCAGTAAATACAGCCACTTCTTCTCCAACATCACCACCAAAGCATCATCTAGGTGCTTATGGACAGAGGGAACAGCACTGGAGTCTAACAGGTGGTAGAACATCCTCAGACTAGTACTTAAGGACAGAACAGGGTAAACCAGACGAGCATCATGCTGTATTAGAGAAGACGACTTTACTGAGGGAATAAATCAAGGAATAAGTAGTCATTTTCTCAGAACGGACACAAGAGAAAATGCAGATTTAAGACTTCTAGACAAAAATGTCCCCAGTGGACATTATGTTGCCAGCTGTGTCCTGCGACTCATTTTTCTTTTTTGTCATACTTAAGTTACTAGCAGTTTGCTAGCAGTTTGCTCATTTGGAGTTCACAAATTGTCTGCTTCATCTTGGTTCTTAAGGAGCTTTTTCTTCTAAATGTTTTGTTTCTCCTTCTCTCTTTCTGTGCTGTTATCTCACTTATGGTCATTATCTCAGTGTTCAATTCCTCAACATTTTATCTAGTGACAATCAAAAGCTACCAGACTAGTGAGGAGATGCAGTGAGGAGGTCACAAAAAGGTTTTTTGTCATAGGCATTAAAAGGCAGGCAGTCATCAGTAGCCTACATTTGGCCACGAAGGGTGAATTCATGACTGTTTTCAACCATTCCCTCTCTGACAGAGCATTATGTGGAAATCAGAGAGGGGAGTTTAGTGTTTCGCACATTCAGGAAATAAATGTGCAGTGTTTCCCACACATAATTTGTGGCGGTGCGCTACAATTTAACACCGGCCGCCACACATTGCGCTTGGTGTATTTTAAAAAAAAACGCTATTTAAATCACGCAGCGTTTTATTTGTCTGCATTTCCTTTCCCTGCTTCCCCTCTGTCTGTCACTCACGCGTCTCACACACACACCGCGTCTGTCTGGTGTGTCTTTTTTTTTTTTTTGTCTTGCAAAATCCGTTGCTCTGACAGAAGTTGCAGACTTTGAGCATGTAGGCTGTAACTGCAAGTTATATAGGGTGTGGAACGTGCTCTACAGCTAGTATGTGAGCTGTAGTGCACATACAGTAGTACCCCCCCCAACCCCCCCACGCATTGACTTTGTTGGATCTGTGGGAAACACTGATGTGTATTACAAATATAGGTGAGGGAAAAATATTTCTTTTTGAAAATAATCTGAACATTCCAGAAGAATTAACCTACCACATCCCATCCCATCGCCATTCTTTAGGTGCCTGAGGCCGTGGAGGCAGAGGGCCTCAGTGAAGACTCTGTGATGACGAGGACTTTGTTCACTGACTCCTGTTTCCTGTGTTCTACTCTAGTTCTTCCCAGAGGCAGCGAGTGAACAGTGACAGCTCTGAAGCTTTAACACACAACACAACTCCTGTGGCCAGCAAACTCAGCAGGTTAGTGTTCTCTTTTTTGTATCTCCATTGTACAGACAACACAATGAATGATTTCACAAGTTGTGGCGACAGCCACTGGGTACAAGCTCTGCACTTCATGTCATGTTCAAGTGACAGAGGAACAACAGTAAGCCCGTCCTGTCATATTCCTTCCTATCTAAAAGTGTACTAATTGGTTGGTGTGTTGCAGGGCAGGATGCATCCATCGCTCCAACACCACTGCTGCTGACTTCAATCCAAGACTGAGGTCAGTGTGTGTTAATGCTGTTATTTAAATCAACACATCACAGAATTATCTTAAGAATGATGGAGTCTGAATGAATGGTAATGCATCTCTAAAACAGCTGTGAGTATGATGGGTCCAAATAAAGGTTGAGGGTGTTAGTTGTCAATGTCTGCTGTTTTTGCTTGTAAAGGTTCACTTTCTCTGTACGGACCAATACCAGGCAGCGTTCTCGCTGATGGCCGCTGCCCTCTGGTCACCAACTCGTAGCGTTGCTTAAACTGCCACATACAATCAAGAACGGTGAGGAGACAGCCAGGGGACCTAATGCTCGTCAGTTTGTTTGAGTGTGTTCTCTATGACGGCAAAATCCGAGTGCTAATCAGGTCCATTTGCGCACGCAAATCAAACATTCACGAGCAAAAGTCTGTCTTGAGCGAGCTATTTGCTTTAACGTTTTATCTCATAATCTTCCCCTTCATTTTTTAAAGTGCAGAAATGGGCTTCCATAGTTCTGTGCATGCACAACTCAACAGAGATGAAATCCAGCCAATCCAAAAACGAGGTTTGCAACAAATTAAGAGTGAGGAGGTTCAAGTTTCGCTTGCAAAGAGCAAGCAGAAATTAGACTTGCGAGCAAGGAGGTTCAACTCTTCGCAAACAACTGAACAAACCCATCAGAATACAAAGCTTGCTGGTAGCATCAACTGAGCATCAGTACAGAAGATAAACTCCAGCAGAACCACAACATCACATGTGCCATCTACTCAACACCAGTACTGAAAAAACAAACAAATGACCACAGCATCACTGGTACCCTCACTACAGAAGAACAAACCCAGCAGAACCACATGATTACTGGTACCATTTACTGAACATCAGTACAGAAGAACAAACCCATCAGAACCACTGCGTCACTGCTACCATCTACTAAGCATCAGAATAGAGGAACAAATCCATCAGAACCACAATATTGCTGGTACCATCTACTGAGCATCGGTACAGAAGAACAGACCCATTAGAACAACTTGGTCACTCTGAAGCTCTCTGGAGAATATGGCAAAAGTCTCATCTGACGAAGCACAGCATGTTTTAATTGAAATTGTTAAAAAAAAAAAAGGCAACCACGGAGTACAAGGACACCATGAACAGGACATTTATTACATGCAAACATGAACCGGAGTTGACAGACATACAAATCATGCGTAAAGGCTACTCAAAGCTTTCCTTCTACAGCTTTGAGTTATATAGTCTAAGGTAACAAACATCTGTTCCCCCTCCTCAGGGGATCATCTCCCACTGTTCACCTCTGCATCAAAGAGAGAGAGTATTGATATCATGATTAAAAAAGATGGAAGAGAATCCTGCGTTTACACCTAAGCAATAAGATGTTACAACATAAGTTCCTTTCAATTACGTGCGGTGAGGTTCGTGGCTGGGGAGTTACTGACTAAGTCGAATCAAATGGCTGCTTGCACATTGACTACTGGTTATGTTTCCTATCGTGTATCGTATATTCTTTTTTAATACGGGTAGATGAAATCAAGTGGTTGAGAGTGAGTCACAGGGTGTACTATGTTGAGCCATAATGTACAGTATACCTGTTTACATTGACCGGGGCATTCCATATCAGCACACAATCAAAATAAGTAATATTTAGCCTGACCGTTAGTTGTCATTTCAGTTTTTAGCTTGGTGACGGTCGCCTAAAAAAAGGCCGGCAATGCTCCAAATGACTGGTTTTGGAAAATGCTAGCTTTCGCAAACTGATTTAGGGCACCTTTTAGCTAAAGTGGACAATTCAGGTGGACGTAATGAGCAATGTTGTCAGGGTGGGTGGAAGGCAGGGCTCAAATGCAGACGCTTCTCGAAAACAAAAGACTTTAATAGTCAGAAACTCCAACACAAAATGGCCCAGGGGCAAAAACGCAAACAGGAACAGGGGCAAAAACGGCAGGCAGTAACTAGAGACATCCAGGACAAGAGACAATGACACGACAAGTGACACAAGAGACACGCGGCTTAAATACACTAGGGAGGTGCAGGTGATTGGACACAGGTGGAAACGATCAGACAATCACAGGGGATGACAGGACAAGGTAGGAAGTGAAGTTACCTGGGGACACGAGTGGCAGAAAAGTACAAAATAAGACAGGACAGGAACCACACCGTGACAAATGTGAATGAATGAGAGGGTGCGACATCGAGCAAGGAGACCTGGGATGTTGTCAGAGGACACACAAATGAATGTTGAACGCCTAGCTAATCATCAACCAACTTTTGGTGCTAGTTTAATAAACGTGAGGTTCCCAATGCTGTTTGTCTGTTGCATAGCAACAGCCACACACACAGGGATGATTTTCTGTAGGCTACTGAAATGCGATACACACATTAGGTGGCTACAACCTTTTTTGTGCTGAAAGGCAGCTATTTACTTAATATTTGTGATGTCGCTGGCAACTGTATTATAAAAGCAATACGGTTTGCCAACAACACCCTCGAACAGTACATAATTTACAATGAAGTACAGCCTCTCGTACTTTATTCCTTAAATCTTTTATGTGTGTGATCAATTGCGCAATCCGAGAGGAGGCGCTCGTCGCTGCCTCCTCCCCATATTTGAACAGGAAAATACACAAATTCAGCGATATTGGCCATGAAAATCATTGGATTGAGATATACATATATATTAGGGCTGTCAACATTCAGGAGATTGGGGGCACTTCAAACACGGCCGTTAAATGATGGAGAGTTGAGAGCAAAGTGCAGGAGGACAGCAGGAAGATTCGCTAGTTCAACACGTTCCAATTATTATATTATAATGCAATTAATTAATTTAATACATTTTTTTGTTGGGAGGGGAAGGGGGTCTTGTGGGCCCTGGCTAAAAAAGTTTGGGAACCACTGAAGTAAAGGAAGGGGATTAGGTGCACAACAATGATCCTTGACATATCATTGTAATACACTTAATATATCAGGATGTCTATGTGAGTTGTGATTGTGCATTGCGTGTTTCAAACTGAGAATTCTAAATGTCTATGAACGTAGAATGAACTCAAGCTGGTCCTGTGTTTTTGGTGTTCCCTTTGTCCAGACTGGAGAAGGGCCCGAAGACAAGTGAGATGGAGAAGGAGAGGGACAAAGGTAACACACACATACACACTCACACTTCTGTCAGCAGTTGAAAGCTTCAATCTGCTGTGTAGCCTTGAGGCGTAACTCCAATCCTGAGTAACTCCCGTTCCGAGTTACCCCCATTCTTAGTTGCCCCTGGTCTGAGCAACCCCCGTACTGAGTAATCCCCATTTTGAGTAACCTCTGGTCTGAGTAAGCCCTGTTCCGAGTATCTTCCGGTTTGATCCTCCCCCCCAGCCCCCCCGTAAGACACAGGGATGTGTGCGGGTAAGAGAAGGATTGAGTGTCTTCTCGCATATAATCCCCCCACTTCTATCTGCAAATGCTTACTTGGCTGAGTTGAGTGTGTCGGAGCCGGAGCTGTCTTATCTGTTATTTGGGTCACTGGTTTTGGGAACGTGCATGTTTTCATGATCTGGTCCAATTTCGTTTCTTCCCTTATTTGTATGATAGAGCAACTTTCGGTCTGATTTCTGTTTTGACGTTTAGAGCCAAAACAGAAATCAGACTGGTAGGGACAGCTTCTCCAGAGCAGAATATTACACTATGTAATGCACATACATAGACAAGATCTTTTAAGGGCACCTCTTCTTATGTCTAATAGTAATGTTTGATACCAGGATTGACAATCCGGACTATTATTTCAATCAGAACTGGACTCACAAACATTTATTATACAGTATAATATTGAAATAATGCAGTATATTTGGCGATTGGACTCCATCCTAAACCGGGATAATCAAGGGGCCGTGACACAGAGTTCTGCTTGGCAGAATCCCCCCAAAAGATGAATTTTATATGCATAAAATGAACAGTGTCTTACCTGCCGCCGCGACAGCGTCCTAAGCAAAAGAGAACATTAGTCACGAGAGGAATGGTTTACATCAGGGGTGCCCAACCTTTTTTGAACCAAGATCTACTTTTAAAGTTGATAGTGTATCGAGATCTACCAAGCCATATCAAAATCCGTAGCGTAGCCACAATTTATTGCGCACCTATATAGGACACTGTTTTCTGACACATAGATACAGTTTTAACAATCATAATACATTTATTGAAGTAAATGTGAATTTGCAAAGAATAAGCACAAGTAGGCCTAGGACTGGCCCGTAACAACACGACAGACAAACAACCCAAATAATACAATGCCTAATTCTTTGAACTTTTTTAAGAACTAATTCAAGTTGGAGTTGTTGCAGTCTTTGCCCATAGCCTGGGCTGCCAACTCTCACGCATTGGCCGTGAGACTCACGCATTTGATCGGTTTCACACGCTCTCACGCCACACCTCTGATTTCTCACGCCAAAGAAATTGGGAGACTACCATTGAAAAAGAGGGGCGGCAGAACACAACAGTAATGTAAGGTTCCCTTTCCTGTCCATGGACACGTTTACAACGCGCTCGGTATCGCGCTGCGCCGATACGTCCGCGCGCTCCCATCAGCGGAGCAGAAAGCGCGTCGTCGGTGTTCGGTCTCACGCCAAGGTTTTTGGAAAAGTCGGCAGCTCTGTTTCCCTGTTTCTAAATAAATCTATGTCTCGAGTTCCATTATCGAGAGTCGCTACAGTAGCGCGTTGGGCTGCGCTGGTAGGCGCATTGCATTATGGGACAATCTTTGGATCTATTTAAATCCCTATCTGTTATGTTCATGTTCTAGTGTTTAAGTTTATGTGTGTTTTTCTAGGTTCTGTTGTGTTGTGCTCAAATGTTACTGTTTAATGTGTAAGAGTGTGGGCACCATGACCCAACTTAGTATGGCTGTGGGTGAAGTTCTGTGTTCAACGGCTTAACTAAGTGTACTGGGGTCAAAATTTCTCGCGATCGACTGCAACTCAGCCCACGATCAACTGGTAGACCGCGATCGACTGCAACTCAGTCCACGATTGACTAGTAGACCGCGATCGACTGCAACTCAGTCCACGATTGACTAGTAGACCGCGATCGACTGGTTGGGCACAACTGGTTTACATCATCACTTTAGGTGATTTCATGTTATCATTGTACTGTCTGATTACTGCTAGTCTTCTCACCTGGACATGGGCTTTGTCTTTCTTGGGCCATCTGGTGCAGACATCCTCGGGATCTTTCCCATGTACAGGGGAAGCCATCAGCACTGGCTTGTTGTGGAACCATTTTGTGATGGCCAGCTCAGGACTCTCTCTGACCAGAGACACTGATGCTCCTCTCCCCTTTTTGCCCAACTGCTTGGCTCCTGGCAGTTGGCACAGCTGTGGGGACTTGGTTCTTCGTTATGGTTCCAGTTGCTGGGAAGGCCCTTTGCCAACAATGCATCCATGAGATTGATTGTTGACAAGTATCGGTCGAAGAATAGGTCACTTCCTGTGGGAGATTGAACAGATTCAGATTATATTCAGATATATGTCTCCAAGATGGCGCCGTTGATGGCCGCCACGGTGCTTCGGTGCGCTTCGTTTTCCTCGGACCACGTCATGGTCCATCTGATTCCTGCATACAGGCAGAAACTAAAGCTCTGCAAACCTGTGGTGAGGGAACTCAAGAAGTGGACCAGTGAGGCGCTGGAGGATCTTCGGGCGTGCTTTGACTGCACAGACTGGGATGTTTTCAGGACTGCTACTGACAGTCTGGATGAGTTCACAGAGGCTGTAACTTCCTACATCGGCTTCTGTGAGGACAGCTGTGTACCATCATGCACCAGGGTGAGTTACAACAACGACAAACCCTGGTTCACAGCGGAACTCAGAACACTACGCCTGCAGAAGGATCAGGCATTTAGGAGTGGGGACAAAGACTTGTACACAGAGGCAAAATACAAGTTTAGCAAGGCGCTGAGAGATGCTAAACGAGTGTACTCTGAGAAACTCCAACAACAGTTCTCAGCAAGTGACTCTGCTTCGGTTTGGAGAGGCCTCAAACACCTCACTAACTACAAGCCAAAAACCCCCCACTCCATGAATGACCTCCGCCTGGCAGACGAGCTGAATGAGTTCTACTGCAGATTTGAAAGACAATGTCCTGATCCCATCCCCCACAGCTCCACCAACCTGCTGCAGTCCCCTACCCCTCCCTCCCCCAGCCCATCAGGTGCTCACGCCTCTTCATCTATATCACCTTCCCCTCCACCACCAGCAACGACCCTCTCTATTCTGGAGAGACGCTCTTGAAAAGACAAAATCCCCGTAAGGCAGCCGGTCCGGACTCGGTTTCCCCTCACACCCTGAAGCATTGTACTGACCAGCTGTCTCCGGTGTTCACTGACATCTTCAACACCTCCCTGGAGACATGCCACGTACCAGCCTGCTTCAAGGCCTCCACCATCATCCCTGTTCCCAAGAAGCCCAGGATCACAGGACTCAATGACAACAGGCCCGTCGCCCTGACCTCTGTAGTCATGAAGTCTTTTGAACGGCTTGTCCTGACCCACCTGAAGTCCCTCACCGACCCCGTCCTAGACCCCCTGCAGTTCGCCTACAGAGCCAACAGGTCTGTGGACGATGCTGTCAACATGGCCCTCCACTACATCCTCCAGCATCTGGACTCCCCAGGAACCTACGCCAGGATCCTGTTTGTGGACTTCAGCTCTGCCTTCAACACCATCATCCCGTCTCTGCTGCAGGACAAACTCTCCCAGCTGCACGTGCCCGACTCCACCTGCAAGTGGATCACAGACTTCCTGTCTGACAGGAAGCAGCACGTGAAGCTGAGAAAACATGTCTCAGCCTCTCGGACCATCAGCACCGGTTCCCCCCAAGGCTGCTTCTTTCCCCTCTGCTCTTCTCCCTGTACACCAACAGCTGCACCTCCAGTCACCAGTCCGTCAAGCTCCTGAAGTTTGCGGATGACACCACCCTCATTGGACTGATCTCTGGTGGGGATGAGTCCGCCTACAGGTGGGAGTCTGACCATCTGGTGTCGTGGTGCAGTCAGAACAACCTGGAGCTCAACGCTCTAAAGACAGCGGAGATGGTTGTGGATTTCCGGTGGAACAGATTCCCACCCTCCCCCATCACCCTGTGTGACTCCCCCGTCACTATTGTGGATTCCTTCCGTTTCCTGGGCTCCATCATCGCTGAACATCAGCTCCATCACCAAGAAGGCTCAGCAGAGGTTGTTCTTCCTGAGGCAGCTGAAGAAATTCCACCTGCCAAAGACGATGATGGTCCACTTCTACATGGCCATCATGGAGTCCATCCTCTGCTCCTCCATCACCGTCTGGTACGCTGCAGCCACAGCCAAAGACAAGGGCAGGCTGCAGCGTGTCATCCGCTCTGCAGAGAGGGAGATCGGCTGCAATCTGCCGTCCCTGCAGGACTTGTTCGCTTCCAGGTCTCTGAAGCGAGCTAAGAAGATTGTGGCCGACCCCTCTCACCCCGGACAAAAACTGTTTGTGCCCCTTCCATCTGGCAGGAGGCTGAGGTCCATCAGGACTAAGACCTCCCGCCACACCAACAGTTTCTTCCCGTCGGCAGTCGGGCTCATCAACAGAGCCGGTCCCCCACTGACTGACTATAACACTCCACCGGTCACTCCCCTTCACACTGCACTTGCCACTTTAACTGTAATTCATCACTTTGTCGTCACTCGTCACTTTGTTACTTGTCTGTTACTTGTTCGTTAGTGCACTTTATGCTTAATATTTTTCTTTTTAACTTTTTTAATATTTAAAATGTTTAACTTTATTCCCTTGTTTCATACTAACCCATAGCCTTATTCTACTAACCCATCGCATTAGCATTTCATTTTACTTTATTTTATTACTTGTGCACTGCTGTCTTGTCTGTCTACTGTTGCGCACTAACCGCCAAGACAAATTCCTTGTGTGTTTGGCATTTTTTGGTAAATAAATGTTTCCTGATGCGTATGACTGACGCTGCTCCAATGCCCAATCTTTGGTCCCTGAATGTATTCTCCCCATGGTACATTCAGCATAGAGGTTGACGTCTTTCCTGCTCATCCCTGTCTGTCTCTGAGTCTGCCTGCTCATCTGAGCCTCATGTATCGTCGTCGTCTTCTTCTACACCTGGCTCTTCCTCATCTCTCTCATCATCTCAAAGCTCCAAATCTGATTCTCCCTCAACTATCCGGTAAAGAATCATCTCTGCTTGAGGTCTATATCATTTCTAACATATTAATAAACAAGAAAATCTCTGAATATCATCGTAAAAAAGACTTAAGCAATATTTAGCAATACTAAGCAAAATATAATTAAGCAATATTTGACTTACCCTTTGACTTTACGTAAAATGTTGCTGGCTGATACAGACACCATCAGACACCGTTGTCGTTATGAAGGAAAAAAAGACCAGGATGTCCTCTTTTAGAGTACAGCAGGAATATAATAGAATAACTCAAATGAGTAAAAGGAGAGGTGCAAAACCAAAATGCCCACCACTGGGGACACAAATAAATAGGGGTATATGTGTGTGTGTGTGTGTGTGTGTGTGTGTGTGTGTGTGTGTGTGTGTGTGTGTGTGTGTGTGTGTGTGTGTGTGTATATATTAGGGCTGTCAATAGATTAAAATAAATCAAATTATGAATTGCACATTTTCAAATGAATTAATCTCAATTAAAAGTTTGTTATTCTAAAGACTAAATATTACAGGTAATGGGTAATCACTTTAAAATGCGTCACATTTTCGACACTGTTGTATTTAAACACAAACTACACACATGTGGAAACTACAAACTACATCATCTTGGAGGCAGAATTTTACCAACTGGAACATGTTTAACTAGTGACTGTTCTTGCTGTCCCTTCATGCACTTTGCTGAGCTCTCAACTCTCCATCATTTGACGACTGTGTTTGAAGTAAAAAAAAATCTCCCGACATTTAGCCAGGACGTTTCAAAATCACGGTCTTTTAGGGCAACAGTGGTGGTAGGTTAGATGTTGAGATGGAAATAGCCCAGCAGCTAGCTTAGCTTAGCAGTACGTAAAATGGTCCGTTTGCCATCATCCCCCTTCTGTTTGATACATGGAGAAATTCCTCTGCACAGTTCACCGCCTTGTTTTACTTCCAATGCAAAAAGCTCTTTCCATCTTCAACTACCATCTCCGACCTAACTGACTTCAGCTAGCGGTGGTTTCGTTTCCGGGGTCAACTTGGTTACACCAAACAAAGTTGGGTTAATTTGCGTTAAAATATTTAGTCAAGTCATTAAAGGCTATCCTTTAATAGGCTAGCCTTTAATGACGTGCTAAATTCCTCTGATTGTGTGTACATGTCTTTGGCTGCAGATCATTTTACAATTAAAGAAGAATGCTTACAATCATAAATAGTGGATTTACTTTTTTGAGTGTTGGTGGGTTTATCATAGTGTTTCAAATGGCTAGAAATCCCAATGGTTTGCAACTATATTGCAACTTCTTCAGGCAGTACATGGACATAAATAGAAGCAGATGTAGATTGGCTCGTCTTGGAGAGTATTATTATTGAAGTGAATGGTCGCCCTGAATCAGAATTCAGTCCTGCTTTCTTTGTCTAATATGCATCTTATTCTTAATGCAGACATGTCTTTCTCTTCTCCAGTCTCACACACACTTTCTCTCTCTCTCGCATACAGACGTCACTTGCTCCATTGAACTATCAGTTTGATGCAGTCAACCTGTCTGACCCCTCTGGGAGCTGTCTGTGTGTGTGCCGAATTTATGAGACCGTGCATGGCCTCTATAGTTTCATAAATCTCCTCTCTTTCTTTCCTTGCACTCCCCTCTCTTCTCTTCCCACCCTCCTCTTCTTCCCTCTTCTCCCTCACCTACTTTCCTATCCTCTCTCTCCTCTTATTTCTTAAGTCGGCCTCTCATCTCCTCTGGTTTACTTAATACTTTCCGTGGGCTAAATTCATTTAATTCCTGCATTCAGAGTGTGTGTTGGGTTTTGTGGTCTGTGTGTTGTTTTTGATTTGTCTTGCAGCAGCAAAAGCTCTTAGAGAAGTTTGAAGTCCTCCCCCCTTCCCCCTCCCTACACACACACACACTCACACTAAGCCGAACATAACTGGATTAGGACTCAGCTATTCAGAGAGAGAGGAGTGAGAGCAGTATTCAGGTCAACCCTAATAAACATTCATGTGGTTTGAGGGCCTGGCTTCGACAGTAACTAATGACGTTAACACGCCATGTTGTCTGAGTTTATTCTATTTTACTCTATTCACAATGTATATTATAAATCCCAAAGGGTGTACTAATGTTAAATATCGGCAGTATACACCCTCATGGAATAATGTGGTTGAATAAAAAAGTAGGATTTATTACAGTTTCCTGTTTAAAAAAAGTCTCCACCACATATATTGTATTTATGAAGACCCGAAGGAGTAACTGCACACTGACTCACATGTATTTTAATCCAACATACATCACTCTACTCTGATGAAACATATCAGTGATGATGTTAATGTTGACATTTCATAGTATGTCATTAAATGCATCCAAAAATAGAATGTAAAAGCCCACTGAGAAAAATGATACTGTGGGTCGAATCAGGCTCAGACCCAGATGGGGGGAGGAGGGGGGGAGGGGGGGGGGTTGCTCTCAGCGTTGTGCTGCAAAACAGGGCACCAACTCTCAGTTTTTGATTTAGAGGCTGGGGAATTCTGATTGCTGCATGGAAACATGTGACATCACTACCAAATGAAATCAGCTGCCCGTGGCTTGTTAAAGATGTTCATTGCTGCTCTTTGGTCCGATAAAGCTTGAGAATAGAAGATTTGAAGATTCCTGAGTAACACAGAGCTCAGGTTACCACAGTGATACTGTGTGGGATTCATAGATTTGTGTGAAATAAGATAGCTTACTCTTCTCTCTCGCTCTTGTGACGCCAGAGATGCTGATCGAGTGTGTGAAGAACAAGGACGACAAGAAGGTAAGTCAGTTTATTTAGCCAATCAATCAATGCAAACATGGAAGTTTGTCTGTTGATTTTGTACTATTCAATAAAGATGTTTAACATCTTATTTACTTCCTTAAAGCTCATTTAACACTTATTTTACTCAAAGCTACAGGAGCTGCACCTAAAGGGGGCGGACCTGACGGTGCTGGACTGTTCCGGCTGTAGTTTGCTACACCATGCCGTCGATACGGGGAGCAAAGAGATGGTCCGCTACATCCTGGACAATGGTAACTGTACCACACAGTACCATAAGAGATGCCAGACTAGTACATGGTGTTTATCAACGGACACAACGCACACGATGGTGTTCATCGATTCGGACCAAATTCAACAACAATGACTCAAGTCAAACCCGCCACTACAAAAGAAACGCGTCCGGTTGCCGACTCTGGATTCGGGATGAATGACACCTCAGAATCGGGCCGAATACACTGTCCCAATTCCGTCGTACGACACTGCCGTTACTGGGCCACAATCGGAAAACGACTCATTATTATTATTATTATTATTACATTCAATTTTATATTATCAAAATAAGACCGACCAAATCAGTGAATTTGTAGAAAGCACACCGTTAAAAGGGTCAAATTACATTCAATTAAAATAATTTAAACTCATACTGCCTAACAAGACTGGTAACCCTAGACTGGTAACCTTTCACTCTGGCCAAAATCCAGGAGGTTGCAGCCTGGTAGAAACAGAGACAAGAAAGCGTTCTGAGATCTCACAATGGTATTACAAACCATTCTCACTCCTAATGCCAACCACTGTCTGGTCAACGGCGGTGGTGGTCAGGGCAAAGGCGGTGGTACTCTCCAAACCGTGTGCAGTACAGGCTAGATGTTGACCATAGAGGTAGGCTACCAGCTATCTTAGCCTAGCAGCTAGCTTAGCTTATCAGTGCGTAACGTGGTCCGTTTGCCACTCATCCCCGTTCTGTTTGACACGTGGAGGAATTCTTCTGCACAGTTCTCCGCTGTATGTCGCGCCTCCGTTTGTTTTCCTTCCAAGGCAAAAAGCTCTCCCCATCTTCAACCACTACCTCGAACTCTGCGATCAAAGGTAACTGACAGCAGCTAGCGGTGGTTGTGTGTCCGGGGTCATCTTTATTTACTTCCGATTTGCTGTACATAAACAAAGATGACTCCGGTAATGGGGATTAAAATATTTTATTGCATTAATCTCAAACATTAATAGCATGGAGTAACGCGTTCATTTCGACAGCCCTACAAATAAATACCAAATAATCACACAAGAGGGTGGATGTTCTTATTTATACAAGACCCAAGGTGTTTTTCTTTTTAAAAACATTTATTAAACCAGTGTACAAGAAGAAAGACAACTTTGAGGGATGTTATTATATACATGCCATGTAATATTATTTGTTTAAGATGTAATAGACCAGATTTAAATGGCTGCAACAGATCTTTGGAGATGAGGTGGGCTTTGAGTTGTGCAGGGACAATGCGTTGTTTTTTGATACAAAGGCAAGATTGAGATGGGCCACAGGGTCCTCAGGCTGATAGTTTGGAGGGCTTCCAGCCTGTTAGCCTGACAACCTTCTGGCCCATCCGGCCCAGAGAATGGAGATCAAGCTGGTGCCGTGATGGCTAGCAGAGACCAACCCAGGTCTGCTAACTGGACGAAAAGATCCCAGGATGGTAAACAGGTGGACTCGTGCTGGCTAGCAATTCGGCAGCCAGACCGACCGCTGTGGACCAAACCTGGAAGCACTGGGGTTCAAAAGTTATTCCCTGGTGGATGCAACCAGAGAGCTGAGAGCTAAAAACTGCTAAAAGCTTTACAAATAAGAGACCGTAATGTCAAGGCTGCCATCCATGGTCATCTTAGATTGCAAAACAGTACCCGGCTGCCATGTCTCAACCAGAATTGGCCTGATTCTGTAATGCCAGATATGGCAAAGATGAAATGGGCCAAAAGCTTGCTCACATTTCGCCGCATCGAGCCGGAACACAGCCGAGTTAGCCGACACTCAGCCGTAATACGGCCAAGTCTGCTGGCTACCGGGGCTGTAACCACAGGTAGTTCAAATAAGTCAACGCTGTGCACTGCTTTCATACTGCGGTTACAGCTAAATGTAAGCATCCAAGACCGGAGTCTTCGCAGTGTCGGGTTGTGAACTCCATCTAAGGCTCAATGCCGGCACAAGACCGAAAGTCCTCAAGTACCTGAAGGGAAAGTTGAAAAGAACTTTGAAGAGACGTGGACTGAGTGCTCTACGCGTCCTCTCCTTCTGCTGGCAGAGCAACCCGAGGAAGCTCTGGGTGAGGCCCGGAGTAGTTCCAATGTGCAAAAACTGAAACTGAAACTCGTTCTGTCCAAAGTTTCCTCATTGGAGAGTATCTCTTGTTTTCGCACTGCATTCACATAACTATAGTGAATAGAAAGTATTGAGTTATAATTCTTAGCCTTCTTCGTCATGTTGTTGAATGATGACACAGACCTCTTAGTTGATGCAAAGCCCCTGAAAGTTCTACGATCTAAAATATCAAAACATATGAAAGTTAAAAATGTAAGTAAATATAGCCAAAATTGTCCTGGATTTTGCTCCACAGCTCGTCCAAACTCTGTATACTAATCTCATCTGTCTGTTTTGCAGCTCCTAGCGATCTGCTTGATGTCACAGAGAAACTACAGTAAGTACAGTCATGAATACCTTTATCCAATAAACACTTCCACACAACATGTTCTCTGCAAAAGTTCATTCAAATAAATTAGTAAAATATGGGACTTGGTTGGTTTAGTTTTACTGGACATTGATAAAAGTTGTTCTATTCTGCAGAACCAGCTTAGATACTGTCCCACCGGACCCCACTGAAAATGTGTTGCAAATGCTAAAGAGAATAATCATAAGGCACCAAACAAAAGCCATGGGGCATCAGACCACCAATGAAGCTGGGCTCTCAGAAGACCCTGAGAGCTGCTTACAAGTCATGCTCTCCTTCTCTGCCTCTAACCACCAGTGGGGAGACGGTTCTTCATCGAGCTGCATCGCTATGTCAGAGGACCATCTGTCATTATCTGGTAGAAGCAGGAGCCTCACTGATGAAGACAGACCTACAGGTAGGTTCTACACACACGCACACATATATTATGTGGGGCGTCCGATTTTGTAAAAGCCAAAATAATCTACCTCATTTCAAAGGGTCCTGAAGTTTATTGGTTTAGCAGTTTAGCCTACTGACTATTTGGAGAAGGTAGTTTTCACTTACAAATACCTCAGCAACCTGTTTAGCACAATCATCCAATAAATATAAAACAAAAATAATCTCAAATCGATATATGAAAATTACTATATATAGGTGCTTGAGGGGATTTGAACAGCGCTTCTAAATGCAATTAATTCCATAGTGATTGAGTAATAATAGGATGATTTTTCTTTGGTTACCCCTTTTGCACCAACTATTCAGACCAGGACGTTCACCTATCACTTCAACCCTCTCCAAGAATCATTTCAGGTGGGAAGGAGTGAATCCCCTCGTTTTTTTTATTCTTTACCAACGTTGTCCATTTGGATTTGTTTTGAAGTGGATCATGCATTCCATTAACACTTTGCTAGGATCTTATGGTTTCAATTAAAAAAGTGAACAGGCAGGTTGCTATTAAGTATTAAGGTCCAAGCCATCTGTTCTTCTAAAGATGAAAGATACAACCACAAGTGCATGGAATGTGGTAGGGAGCCATTTCTAAAGGAGCATTATTTTATACCTACAGGAATAGTCACAATATCTTTAAAAGACAGAGGCAAGCTTTTAATGGCCTGAGAAGTCGCTGCGGTGGAGGATTAGGTCAGCTAGTGTTTTCAAACTTTTACTATTCTGTGAGAAGAGAATGTTATACAATGATCACATAACATTATTCTTCTGCTGAGACGAGGTATAGAGGGCGTCCCATTTAATGGCTATAAAGCCATATCAACCCATCCCAATAACTGAAACCCTTATCAAGGGTTCCAGAGAAATGTAACCTATCATAAATTGTGTCATAATGGTCATTATTGGTCTCAATGATGCATCTTCTCTCAGTGTAGAAAGAGAGCCTTTATTCAAACCGTACAAAAATAAAGGTTCACACTGTGGATCAAGACATAGTGACTTCTTCCTTACTAGAAAGGAGCGTTAAATATGAATTCCTCTCCAGACACCCAGCATATTACCTCTTTATAGTACCCTTTCTGAGTGAACTCCAGCACATTATTCATAGTTTAAAAAACTCTAAAATCCAGCCATACTCTGGCTCTGACCAATGATCTGAAGACTGGAAGTGCATCCTGTCTGGTCCCGCCCTCCACTCTGCTCTTCCTGCTGATGAAGATGGCTAGCCTGGCCTCTCCTGTCATCAAATTCAGCAGCTGCCACTTTGAGGCGTCCGCCTTCCGGTAACGGACCCCTAAAATGAAGGTGGTCTGAGACCCGATTTCACAGAGCCCCCTAAAAACCGTCTGCAGAGCATTAAAAAGTTTACAGAGTCTCTGATAATAATGAAAGCAGTTAAAGCCGGTCTTAACTGCGTTATAGAAATCGTCATCATCGATGGACTCGATGAAAAAGTGACCCGTGTAGAAGTGGACCATCATCGTCTCGATCCGGCTCTGTTCCGCCGGAAATCCACAACCATCTCCACTGTCTTTAGAGCGTTGAGCTCCAGGTTGTTCTGACTGCACCACGACACCAGATGGTCAGACTCCCACCTGTAGGCGGACTCGTCCCCACCAGAGATGAGTCCAATGAGGGTGGTGTCATCCGCAAACTTCAGGAGCTTGACGGACTGGTGACTGGAGGTGCAGCTGTTGGTGTACAGGGAGAAGAGCAGAGGGGAAAGAACGCAGCCTTGGGGGGAACCGGTGCTGATGGTCCGAGAGGCTGAGACATGTTTTCCCAGCTTCACGTGCTGCTTCCTGTCAGACAGGAAGTCTGTGATCCACTTGCAGTTGGAGTCGGGCACGTGCAGCTGTGAGAGTTTGTCCTGCAGCAGAGACGGGATGATGGTGTTGATGGCAGAGCTGAAGTCCACAAACAGGATCCTGGCGTAGGTTCCTGGGGAGTCCAGATGCTGGAGGATGTAGTGGAGGGCCATGTTGACAGCATCGTCCACAGACCTGTTGGCTCTGTAGCCGAACTGCAGGGGGTCCAGGAGGGGGGGTGAGGGACTTCAGGTGGGACAGGACTAGCCGTTCAAAAAGACTTCATGACTACAGAGGTCAGGGCGACGGGCCTGTAGTCATTGAGTCCTGTGATCCTGGGCTTCTTGGGAACAGGGATGATGGTGGAGGCCTCGACGCAGCCTGGTATGTGGCATGTCTCCAGGGAGGTGTTGAAGATGTCAGTGAACACCGGAGACAGCTGGTCAGTACAATGCTTCAGGGTGTGAGGGGAAACCGAGAAACCGAATAGAAACCGAATAGAGAGGGTCGTTGCTGGTGGGGGAGGGGAAGGTGATATAGATGAAGAGGCGTGCGCTCCTGATGGGCTGGGGGAGGGAGGGGTGGGGGACTGCAGCAGGTTGGTGGAGCTGTGGGGGATGGGATCAGGACATTGTCTTTCAAATCTGCAGTAGAACTCATTCAGCTCGTCTGCCAGGCGGAGGTCATTCATGGAGTGGGGGTTTTTTGGCTTGTAGTTAGTGAGGTGTTTGAGGCCTCTCCAAACCGAAGCAGAGTCACTTGCTGAGAACTGTTGTTAGAGTTTCTCAGAGTACAGTCGTTTAGCATCTCTCACCGCCCTGCTAAACTTGTATTTTGCCTCTGTGTACAAGTCTTTGTCCCCACTCCTAAATGCCTGATCCTTCTGCAGGCGTAGTGTTCTGAGTTCCGCTGTGAACCAGGGTTTGTCGTTGTTGTAACTCACCCTGGTGCATGATGGTACACAGCTGTCCTCACAGAAGCCGATGTAGGAAGTTACAGCCTCTGTGAACTCATCCAGACTGTCAGTAGCAGTCCTGAAAACATCCCAGTCTGTGCAGTCAAAGCACGCCCGAAGATCCTCCAGCGCCTCACTGGTCCACTTCTTGAATTCCCTCACCACAGGTTTGCAGAGCTTTAGTTTCTGCCTGTATGCAGGAATCAGATGGACCATGACGTGGTCAGAGTGTCCCAGTGCAGCACGAGGGACGGCGTGATAAGCCCTGCATGTCATGGCAACCTATGCTCTCACTTTGAGATAAATGTTGGGCCAGAATAAAAACAGGAAGGACTTGTGCTGCAATAATAAGTGTTGATCTGTGTGTGTCTTCGTCAGGGTGAGACTCCTAAGAACCGGGCTGAGAAAGCTCATGACTCTGAACTGGCGGCCTATCTGGAGAACAGACAGCATTACCAGATGATCCAAAGAGAGGACCAGGAGACGGCTGTCTGAGGCTGCTCCACTCCTCATGAGGACTGCTCCACAAATACCAGTCATGTACATTTGGTGATAATTAGGATTGATAACTATGAGTAACTCAATGATGTAATGACCGTTTATGGGCAGTAAAATTCTCAGATGTAAAATGTGTTAAATCAGTAAAACTAACTTGGCGATGATCAGAGTCCGATGTCCAACAGGGGAGGGGGGGCATTATTGAAGTTATAATGCCAAACTTTCTGGGGTTGGTATTAAAAAGTTAAAAAGTTCTAATGTCATGGTTGAACTTCCTCAGGAAATGTAATTAATGTTGTACAACCTTGGCGTCACAGTCCAAGGTACCGCTACAAAGTGCATTACCTACCTTACGTCAACCTTCTGTTTCCTTTAGATTATTGAATATCATGTGTACAAGGTAGACGTTTAGATTTTTATATTCGGTATATCTACAGTTAACTTCATGGAAAAACGGATGTAGTCGTTCTGGTGTTAAGGTCAGAGGATTCATAAATATTTGTAATAATCCAATAATTTGAATGAAAATCTGTGATTTCTGTCTGGAACCTGCTTTGGTTGTTCTTACCTCAGACACACCACTTCATCAACGTATTGTACATGCTGTAACTAGTTGACTTGTATCAACATATTCAATCAGCGTGATGTACGTGTGATGAAGGATTGGACTTTAAATCTTTTCTTTTTATGACTTTTATGTTATGTCAAGTAAGATCAAATGGGTGTGTGCGAGAATATGAAATATTAAGCTCAGAATCATGCAAAATGGAATAATATAGTTTGTTGTGCCAAACAAGCTTGTTTACAACTAAAGACACAGTACACGCCAATCATTGGATTTTTAATGTACGATGTGTACTTTGATAAATTCACATCATACTTGTTATAGATCATACAATCTTTCCTTTATAATGATATTAAGATATACATTTTTCATTAATATAATTTGTAATTGCATTTCAATTCCCCTGGCAGACAATTGTAATGTCGCACTGTACTTTATGACTTGAGTCTACCAAAGAGCTTTGAGTCCATTCCCCAGAATGCACTGAGGCTTGTACAGCTGGAGGCTCAGACATCTGCTCTGCAGGAACCAACTCTTGGATTATGAGATGCTGCTGAGCAGCCTAACCCAGCCAGCCATTGCTTGAATCTGTTAGTTTTCTCCTGCCTTTGATGTGGTTTTAGTATTTTGAATGGTCTCACTTTACATTGACAGTAAACTCTTGCATGTACTGTGATGAAGTGAACGTAAATTGTATTTACACCTGAAGCCAGTCCAGTCTTTGTCCTCTCATGTTCATGGTGAACACATCGGTGTGCAACTGTTCAAATCTTCCTATCTTTCTATTCCTTTATTCGTGGATTCAATTCTTTGGCACTTTGTGTTTGAATTTGTTTTTGAGATTGCTCTGAAGTCAATTAAAGAAGACAGTTTATTGCAGATCTTGACCTTGTTTCTTTAGTATTTTTATGGATATGGGATTACACACCAAAAAACAGCTCAGCATTTTATGATTTCAGTTTTAAAGCAAATCAACATGTTTCTGGAAAGTTCAGAAAGCCTTAGATAGTTGCATAGTTTCCTGTGAAGACAGTAGTTTATTTTAAATAGCCTGTATGCATGTAACAAGCAGAAAGATATTACGGGGAGGACAACGTCCTAACCTGTGTATGAAGAGCGATGCCGCAGGTCATCTGGGGGTCTCGGTATCATCATACAACCAAGTTGTCCACAAAGCCAAACCTGTGAGTCGTGTTTTTAACTAAAGATCGTGTTTCAGCAGTTCTGTCAGATTATCAAGCTCTTCAGTTGTGCGCAGGAAAATGCTGGGATGTTGATATGAAGAGATAATTGTTGAGTGACATTGTCAGACCGCCTTTTCTCAGAGGCTCTACAGGATTTTACCTTTTTATAAAAAGTCAAACTAAAACAGTTGATAATCAACATACAATAGTATTGCCACTACAATAGATTGAATTATCATGGATTATGGTATAAATTGCTCTGGAAATAGTCCCACCAAGTATAGCTAAAAAGCTAAAAATTTGAGTGTGTGGCTGAGACTGCTCGAAGATGTCACAATATACACATAAGTATAGTATGTATTGCAAATCATTGTGATTTCTAGCCCTTTGAAACACGATCAACCCAGCACCACTCAAAAAGTAAATCCAGTATTCATGATTGTGAGCACTTCATTCATCTCCTATCTAAATACATTTCAAATGCCCAAGTTTTAAAACAATCGGCAGCCACATACACACTATCAGTGGAATTTTCAAGTCATTAAAGGCTAGCCTGATAATCTCATGAAACAATCATGTGCACACATATTTTTTTTTGAAAGGCTTTGCAAAGGTAGTGCGTAATTCCACAGGTAGGCCTCTTCTCTGCCAGAACAATGCCATCTGGGTCGACGGTGGCGCATGGAGTAGAGAGGGCGCACTGGAAACCACAAGGTTGGTGGTTCGAGCCCTGGCTGCTCCATGTCCCATGTTGAAGTGTCCCTGAGCAAGACACCTAACCCCCAATTTCTCCCCGGGCAAAAAGAATGTAAAAAAGGCATGGATTAAAAATGAAATGTAAGTCGCTTTGGATAAAAGAGTCAGCTAAATGACATTGTATTGTAGCATGACTTGTCTATGTAATGAGAGAAAATTATGACCAAGATATTACAGGTATATCAACCCACAATGAAGAAGAAACCATTTTTATTGCTAAGTATTATTTTACACATACAGCCAGTCACCTTTATACATGATAGCACATTATATATATATCACAGCCCTGACCACATACTATATAAGCAGCAACTAGACCAAGTAGAAATATCATTAAAAAGAAATAAGAAAATACCATGTCAGAGATTAAAACTAAAATAGTATTTCATTTAAGGCACATTGTTTTGTACAATTAGGGGAAGTACATATTTGTGAGCATAATCTATACTGTATATGTGGTAAACTAGCCAAGTAAAAGCACAAAACTAGGCAAGGCAATGCAATTTTATTTGTATAGCGCTTTTCATACACAAGGCAGACTCAAAGTGCTTCACATACAATAAAGTGAAATAAAATGCAGGAATTAAAAGACAATTAAAAACAGCAAAAAAAATTATAAATTAAAATCTTATTTAAATTGTTTAATTAAAGGCAGAGGTTAAAAGTGCAATGTAGGTAAAATTTAGCAGAAGGCGAAGCTGAACATAAAAGTTTTCAGTCTTGTTTTAAACATGGTCAGAGTTGGGGCAAGTCTTAAATCAGGAAGTTTATTCCAGCTGTTTGTTGCGTAGTAACTAAATGATGCTTTCCCATGATTTGTATTTACTCTGGGAATCACTAACAGATTGGTGTCAGAAGATCTTAGTGATCTTGAAGGCTTATGTAGTGGAAGCATATCAGTGATATACTAGCCAAGTAAAAGCATACAAGTCAATAGCCAAGTCAATAGGCCATAACAATGGCCTGCCCATGGTACCACAGGCACAGGCGTCACACACAAATGTAGAAAAAACGCAGCCTTGCTAAAGGTGGAACAACGGAAATAAACAAGGCATGAGCAAGGTTAGAACAGTGAATATCATTTATCGTCAATGACTTATTTAACACAACAGTCGACGACTGAAATGGAAGCAAAATGGCATCAGGGTCTCGAAGGCCAAAACAATAAACAAAAACCCCACCCTAGCTAGAAAACAAAGTATTTCTGGCCTAAAGCATGAAAAGGAAAAACATTACTGACCTCCCTGTCTATCCACAAAACAGGAGAAAAAATAGAAACAGAAATGGCAGAGAACCCTTACACGCTTCCCACATATTGATAGTCTGCCCTCAGCCACTATACGCAGAAGGTCTGCTGGTTCTCAGGAAGAAGAGAAGAGAAAACCCAACCTCAGCCCACTAATTACGTGATGTCTCTTGGGTGGCGCTGCTCCAGGTGAATCCCATGAAAGATAATTCCTCCCCGCCCTCTTTTAAAGGAGGAGGCAGAGTCAAGTCAGGGGACGTAACAGCTAGACATTAGACAAATATCAAAGTGGTAGAGAAAAGCTGAAGTATAGTATTTATAAAGAATCCATAAAACAACAACTTTGAAGTTTCCTCTTTCAAGAAAAGCAGTGCAGTCACACACACTCAATTCTTAAAGGCTGCCTGCCTCCTAATAGCATCACGTGAAACAATATTTGTGGACTGGAGTTCCTCAGGGTTCCGTCCTCGGTCCCCTCCTCGTCTCTCTCTACACCAACTTTCTCGGCTCTCAGGTGGCGGCACGGATCTCTGCCTGTCTGACTGACATCTCTCAGTCCGCTGGATGTCCGCTGAACCTGACAAGACTGAACTACTTCTCTTTCTGGGAAAAGATTCCCCTACACAGGGCCTGACTGTTAACTTTGGCAACTCCGTGTTAACGCCCACTTTGACTGCTAGGAACCTCGGTGTGACCCTTGACAGCCAATTCTCCCTGACTCCCAACATTACAGCGGTAATACGATTCTGTAGATACACGCTCTACAACATCAGGAGAATATGTTCCCTTCTCACTCAGAAGGCAGCGCAGGTGCTGATTCAGGCTCTTGTCATCTACCGCCATTCAACCTCTGCAGCTCATCCAGAAGGCAGCAGCTTGACTGGTCTTTAACCTTTCTAAATTCTCCCACACTACTCTACTCCTCCGCTCTCTTCACTGGCTACCAGTTGCTGCCCACATCCAGTTCAAAACATTGACTAGATCACAACTCTTTGCTGTCCTGGCTCCGAAATGGTGGAATGAGCTCTCTGAGACATCAGGACTGCAGATAGCCATCACATCTTCCGCCGCAAACTAAAGACACAACTCTTCAGACTGTTGTAGCACTTAAATTGTATTTATCTATAGCAAGTTGTAAACCGGCTTATTTAATGAAATTGCACTTTCCTGTTTCTTGTTCTTTTGAGTTTGTATCCTTATTTTAGGTCACTTTGGAAAAAGGCGTCAGCTAAATGACATGTGTAAGTCTGTTGGATGATTACAAATTTGCCTCAGAGGGCTTTACAGTCTGTACACATGCAACATTCTCTGTTGCGAAACCCACACATCGGCACAGGAAAAACTAAAATAAAAAACCCTTCCATGGGGAAAAAAAAGGGAAGAAACCTTAGGGAGAACGTCAGAGGAGGGATCCCACTTCCGAGATGGACAGACTACAATGGATGTCATGTGTACAGAATGAACAATGTAAAAGATGTACATTCAATTCATACAACAGAAATTGGCTGGAGTCAACTTTGGGCGATAAAGTTTACCAATCCAAGGGCACATCTTGGATTGGTCGCCAGCCAATCGCAGGGCTTACACAGAGACATACAACCACTCACACTCACATTCACACACCTACAGGCAATTTAGAATTACCATCCATCCATCTGCAAACCGCTTATCCTGCACACAGGGTCGCAGGGGGCTGGAGTCTATCCCAGCCAACTTCGGGCGATAGACAGGGTATACCCTGGACTGGTTGCCAGCCAATCGCAGGGCTAACACACAAGAACCAGACTGTTCTGCCATTTTCCATGTTGTAATTTAGATTTAGATTGATTTTATTTTGATTCAATTCATGTTTAATGATGATTTATTATATCATACGTATGATTACGCTATGATTACATAATTGTATCTATAATTGGCATGTTAGTTAATACATGTTTAGTGTACATGCTTTGCTTGATACATAGGAGTGACGCAAGTGAGCGCACTGACTTATGATGTAAGGTACCTGTGCTTTGACAAAGCGAGAAACTCTGTGTAATTGTACACTGTGCAGATCTTTCAGTAAAGCGAACGGAGCGAACACACTGTTTTCTACCGTTGTTCAACACATTACACACGCGTAGAGTCGTTCTTTCCGCTTTGGAGTGGTTAAATGAATGAAGAACTGGAAGAAGCAACTGCCGAACGTAAGAAGGGAACTTTAGCCACTACACAGACATACAACCATTCACAGATCTACAGGCAATTTCGAGTTACCAATCAACATAATTCCCAGAGCCGGAGTACCCGGAGAGAACGTACGCAAACACGGGGAGAACATGTCTTTTTCCATTTATTTCCTTGCAAGGGAAAAAATGTCACAATAGCTACGTGCTCAGTAGACCTCCTCCCATAACAGGGCCAGGCAGTTGTTATACCTACAGGTTGCCTTCAAACCAACTTGTTTTGTCTTTACAACCAGGAGACTGGCATCTTATCGGTGTGAGACACTCCAGCTCAATTCGTTATCACGGCAATTTACAATTTAGTACTTTGTTCATTCAATGAAACATTTTGAAGGGCTACATACATTTTTCTATTACAGCTGACAGAATCTGCCCCCCGGACTGAAAGTGCAAACTGGTTCCACAAAAGAGGAGCTTGATAACTCGCTTGATAATAGCGAAAGTTTCTTCGGGATTAAGCCTAGTTTATAGTAAACTAGTAAATGCAAGGACACGCACACGCAAGGGGCGTGCTTTTTTACCCCTTCTTGCGCGCGTCGACCCATTTTTCTCGACTAGCGTAAGCCTCACGCAGTCTGCAAGGCTGTGATTGGTCTGCTAACTACATTCTTTCCGGAGTCTCACATTTCCGGTTTCATAGCACAAGACCGCTATTTTTAAAGGGAAGATTTTTGAAGAGAGAATGAATCAGATTTAAGAGCTTTTGTCTGAAGAAATACGGAAATATGACCACTTATACAACCCGTCATTGGCGGACTATAAGGATGCGCAGATGGCCTCCAATTCATGGAGGGAGAACTTCAGAGTAAATAAACAAACCAACGACTTCCACACACAAAGACGGCATTCTTTAGGTCGTCTTTGACAAAGACGTCGAAAAAACGATACTCCAACTATTGTTCTGGCGGTGAATTGCTTTGCAACACACGCAAGCCTTTTAGAACCCTGAATTGAAACGAGACCATCGACATGACTGCGCGAAAACACGCAGCCGCATAAGCAACTGCGGCTGCGCTGCTCTACTCCTGTTTTAAAAATGGGCGCTTTTCAGTGTTTTTCACCTCTTCTTCCTGTTAAAAGACACTCATTCCGTCTGTCCAATTAGAAGGGTCTGTCCTCTGCTAGATAGGCCCAACCCTTTCCGTAAGAAACTAATGTCGTTAGGTTTTCCTATTTGCTATCATGTTTTCTGCCGTTGTGATTTGCACTTCAGGGCCACCGTATGAAAGTATGCTGCTCATTAATTCCTTTGAAATCTCTATTCATTTTCTCATTGACATGTCCGAGCAAATTCCTCATGAATAATGAAAGCTTCAGCTCTGATCTTATTTTGGTGTCTTTGATCAGGATCATGACACACTGCCAACTGCTCTTATCCTTATTAAGAAAGTTTAATCAAATTTTATTGTCTCCTGTTCAGCACGCCGCATCTACAGTAACAACAACCTCTCCACACATTCTGTGAAATTATGGCTCAAAGGTTATTTGGGGTAATGCCAGTTTATAAAAACAATCCTTAGTCAGGTCACTTTTCTTCTTTGTTGGCTAATGGATTAAAATGTTGATCAAGCAGCATCAAGTAGTTTTCGAGTAGTGTTTGAGTTAAATTTGCCTCTAGGCTTGTTTAATTTCCAACAGCTTCTGTGTTACATTAGAGGTTTGAAAATGATCATGCTCTCTGCCTCTTATTCTTGCCTTCTGATCACCCTTCATCAAGATCAACTCCACATCATGGGAATAAGATGAAAGCAGAGACACAACAAGATAAGAAACACAATGATCAAAGAAACAACAAATGCTCAAAAAAACGCTCTCCTCGCTGCAGCCGGAGGCTCATGTGGATCGGAATAATCAACAAATACCAACTGTAACGAAAGTTGAAAGTTAGAGTTTTGGTTGAGCATGTCAAAAGTGTCGGACCCTGATGATTTGAAAAGGGTTGTTTCAAGACAACATCTGTACAGTCGTATGAGTCAGTACTATCTTGTGTGTTCTGTGTGTGTGTGTGTTTGTGTGAGAGAAAGTGGGGTGAATGAGGGCAATGCAACCAGAATGAACTGGATTTAGGGACAAAGCAGGAGCTAAGGGGGGTGCATGAGTAAACTCCCATGAGTCCAGACAGAGACTCAACTTTCCCCTAAGACTACCTACAACTATCTGCTTAACAAGTAAGTAAGCTTTTCTTCACTTCACATTTTGTAAAATGTAGCAACTTGTTTTAAATGACGTCAAAAAACAGAGAACTCATGTGGCTGACTGATTTTAACCATATTATCATCCCAGCACTTGAAATGCGAGCTTTGCTAATAGCCTTAAAGTTGTTAGACTATAAAAATGTGTTTTTAACTTCAAAATACGGTTTTGAACTTGAGCTGACATTTCTAAAAACACATATTATATCTAACGTTACTGTATCCTTCTTCGGCTACCTGTCCTTCCCTTGGGTTAAGTTGTTTGCATCTGATGCTATGTTTCATTAGTCTTTAGCCCTTTCACCACATTTCAACTTTACAATAGTGCAAGAAAAGCTCTTGTGTGTTTGTGTGTGCTCACACTACAAGAGATAGGCATCGGAATCATTGAAATTTGGCCATATTAGCATATTTTAGGGTTTGATTTAAAACGTTACAGATGCATATTTTGGCTTCCTGCTGATTTAAGTAGTTCAGCTGGGTTGTGCTGTAAGTTTACGACACATTTCCAGTGTGTGTGTTAGGGAGAGGCAGATGGAGGAGGCTTAATTCAATTAGCTTTAACAGAACAGTGCTGAGCAACAACCTGCAGGTGATAAGAGGACCACACACATGCAACTCAATAAAACTATAATTACCCCCACGGTGAATATTTATCAGCAGTCAGACATGAATTACATTCACGTGTATGATCGTGAATTTCCAGCCAGAAGCTTCACCTCAGAGAGTAGAACATTTTTATGTGATAGTTTCATATTCATAGTTTTTTTTGTAACATACCCCATTCATAGCCTTGATATAAAAACATTTATATTTACCTGTTGTCTTCATAAGGTAAGTATTTATTAATAACCATGCACGCTTGGAGTTCCATTTGTCTTTGCATTGTGTACAGTGCTGCTGTGTTTTGATACGAATTGTAATATTGATTGATTGACAGGTAATATGAGTAACTTAAATTACAAAAACTAAACAACACAATATTGAAAATATGCAGGATAAAAATTGAGGAGTCACCTAAAAACTACTTTGCTACACAGTGTGAAGAGGAGACTCTTCTTTCTCTTTATAAATTCAATCCACTTAATACAACATTTCTCACACAGATGTTTCACATTAAAAGTCATTGTTCCTCCCTTTCCTGCTAGGTTGTAATCTAAAAATCTACAGAGAGTGCAGGAAGTTTGGCAGGAGGAGATTGAGCTCACAGACTCATCACGTGACAGAATTCATATTATGTTAGTAGCTACCACATGTCAATGAAAGGAATACAGATACTACTCATGGTGAGAATATTGGCTTTTCTGCAATAAGATACATACCGGATGCTAAAAGTGTTTTTTAGAAGTCGGTAGATGCAGTTTCACTCATACATTGTGAGTCTAACTGCCGACTGATTAAAACCGACTGCAATCAGATGGAGACAACAGAAAAATACAAATACACACAAATATACACTATGTGCCTCTATCTTCTGCTATACAGGGACCTATAAAATGTAATTTCCGACTGCCTGCTTCTCAAAATACCAAATTACAGAGTCAACACACACACACACACACACACACACACACACACACACACACATACATGGAGCCTTTATGTCCAACCTCCTTCACTATTAATAATTTGGTCAGATTCCAAACTAGTGAACAAAATGTGTCTTTTTCACAGAACAAATGGCTTCTCAAAATTATAAGGATACCTGCCACATAAATATATACTGTAAGAGGATGTGTGTGTCTGTTTGTGTGTGTGTTTTTTAAATAAGCAACCATGACTCTTGCACCAGTGAGTTAAGAATACGCCAACTCTACCAAAATGAAAGATTATTTGTTGTAACCCTTGTCCTAAAGTCAGACGATGATAGCATGGAGAAGGATATTAATACTGCTACAATGACAGGGAAGTACAGTTACCCCAACAATGAGCCGCCTGTCTTCACAGAGAGAAGGAAGGATCAGGCTGCCATGGAAACCATTGTGCCCCATTTCACATTGAACCCAGGGAATTTTCCCCCTTTCTTTATTTCAAGAACTTGGACCACTTGAGTGTTTTTTCAATCTGTGCATGTGTGTGTGTGTGTGTGTGTGTGTGAGTGAGGGAATGTAATGGTACTGACTAGAGGCCAGATTAACAATAAGCTTGTTGCAGAACATGAAATGATTGAGGTTTTAAAGCTACACTTCAAACTGAAAAGTATTTCTAATATTTTGTCCCCCTCGAAACACCAACAAATATACAGTGTGGCGGATAAAGGTAGGTATTCTAGTGAAGAATAGAATCTAAAACATAACGATGGTCAACTGGTTAAATAGCCTCCTGCCACATATGCCGCCAGTGTTTCCGTTTAAACAAGGGAACCTTATCTCTGTCTACCTTCATGTTCATGAGGAAGTGTATAGTGTGAGGACTGGTGTACTCTGTTTCTCAGTCCTGTCATATGGACATCCAGGCTCCGATAGAGAATCAGAGCAGAGAATAGAACATCCTTTGAGGAATTACCCCAGGATCTGTCCTCGTGTGAGTGTTATACATCCTCACAGAAGCTACAGTACATTCGTTCATCCCAAAATCAAATGTCTGCCTTTATGTATGTATCTAGAGCAGCGAAATATTTTCATGAACCTTTTCAAAAATGTTTCACTGAAGCATTATTGCTAAATATGCAGAAATCCCAGCAGAAATTAAAGTATTAAATTAGGAGCAAACCAGCATGAGTGCAGTTGTGTCACTGCATTATAAACAAACCAGTAGTGATACCTTATATATTTTTTACATTAATAAGCAAACTAATCCTGCAGACGGTGCTCTGGAGAGGCAACGACTGAACTGAAGCCATGTTATTGAAATTCACTGTTCTAGTTTTTAGCAGGATTGATGTCTCTTTATTTAACCTGTTAAGCTCCAAATCCCCCCCCTGCCTAACTGAATTTATGAATGAAAGCTATATTTGAAGCCACATATCGGATTAAACAGCCGGACCTGGGCTACCAGATGTCAACATTCCTATAGCGCCAGTCATCCCACTCGCCACATTTCTGACTGTATTTTCCTGTTCAAATAAAGGGGGGAGGCAGCGACGAGCAGGGCCTCCTCTCGGATTGCGCAATTCCTCCCAAGTAGAGTAGCCAATGCGGCTCGGACCCAAGTTTAGCGTGAAAATTGGATGTGTGGCTGGAGTGCGTGACTAGAAACGGGCCGAAATGAGTAACTGTCACGTTCAATGCATGACACTTGAGAGCCCTGCAGACAGATGGCATAGCTAAAAAAAGTCAATGAGTCAAGTGCACCGCATCAGTTTGCCAAGACTGAACACATACAATCGGAATCTGACTAACCAAGGACGACTTTCAGCCCGAGCAATAACGTCCATTTATACTCCATCAAGAGTCTAGAAAGGATGTCTTTCTTCTCTCTGATTGTTTTTATGTTATCAAAACACCTCCCTAGTCACCCACGGTGTCCCCCAAGGTTCCGTGCTTGGTCCCCTCCTCTTCATCATTTACATGCTTCCCCTTGGACAAATCATCTCAATTTCCACTGCTGCACCGACAACGTCCAACTCTCCGTTTCCTCCAAGACCATCACCTCAGTCACCCGCTACACTCTCACTGCCTGTCTCACTGACATAAAATCATGGATGCGACAGAACTCTCTCAAACTCAATTGCAATAAATCTGAAATACTCAGCATTGGCCCTATGGAACATTGCACGGCTGTGGCCCTTCCTGTCAGGATCCCACCAGCTTCACTCACTCCTCCCACTCGTTCACAGTCCCCTGAATTCTAATCACCGTCACCTGCACCTCATCAGTTCACCTCCCTTTATATTTGGCTCCTCTTCACACACTCAGTGTCTGGTCTCGTCTCTACAGGACACCACAGACTCCAAGCTACGTACCTGAATCCCTACCGGCTGCTCCAAGGGACTCTCCTCCAGTCCGTAATGTGGAACTCAGACTACCCTCCTGTTAACGTTCAATCCTGATCATCTGCCTGCCTATTCCTCATATCTCCGTCTGCTTCCGTTATCGTGTGAATAAACTATTGTACTCACCTCACGGCTGTCTCCTGTCCCCTATTCGTGACACTTCCTCTCCCAAGAAATTCTTATTCATGCCCTCATAACCTTCAGACTCGACTTCTACGACAGTTATTATCTATTTTTAAATCTTTTTGTCTCACACCACACCAGAGATGTGTTTTTACAATGGTCAGTGTGAAATGTATCTGCCGGCTGGCGACAGTCTGTGTATGTACTGTATGTATGCTGTATGTCAGGGGTGCCCAATAGGTTGATCGCGATCGACCAGTCAATCTCAAAGGCAGTACCAGTCGATCGCGGGCCATCGATAAAAAATATGACGTCACGCATGCGCGGTCTACCGCGGGAGATGACCGAAACTAATGCTAATGCTAATTAGTGATCCTTGCTTACTAACGAACACATTTAATTTCATTCCAAAGCAACCCAGGCTGACTCCAGTAAGGTAATTACCAAGAATGTGCAGGATGCTTGTGAGGGTTTCCTCCTTCAGAAAGATGAGAGGCTTGTTGTTTTCTTCATATCGACTAGTTATGCACTGTTGGAGCGCATGACCGCTACTATTTACCGTTACTAGGGGGGGGGGGGGGGGTAGGGTAGATCGCCACGTTGAAAAGTAGCTTGTGAGCCAGAAAAGTGTGGGCACCCCTGCTCCATGTTAATGTCTGTATTTTCTAAACAGCTGACTTCGGGACAATAAAATCGATCTAATCTAATCTAAACAGCATCCTCTACGGCTCTCCCAACAAAATCCTCAACAAACTCCAATATGTTCAGAATTCTGCCGCTCGACTGCTCATCTCCACCCGCCTCTACGAACACATCACCACGGTCCTATGTAACCTCCACTGGCTCCCGGTCAAATACAGGATAGACAACAAAACAACCTGGCCCTTACCTACCTTTCAGACCTCCTCCCCCTCCACGCCCCAACCCATTGCCTCAGGTCCATCAATGCTAACACCCTGAAGACCGGCAGGACCAAGCATCGGACCTGCAGCGACAGGGCCTTCTTAGCTGCTGCACCTTCCTGGAACACCCTCCCTATCCAAATCTGCCAGGCTCGCCCTCAAAACTCACCTTCAAATGCTAATTCATTCCGTGCAGTTTTCTCCAGTTATTTTTTGGGGGGTTCTGTTTGTTCTTTTTGTTGTCTGTCTGCTCGTTTCGCTTTCTTTTTTGCCTGGTTTTGTTCTTGTCTTTGTGAAGCGTCTTTGGATAGCTATAAAAACGCTATAAAAAAACTATAACTATTATTATTATAAATTATTATTAAAGACTGATTTTTAGAACTATACAGAATTACCTGTAGCTAAGGAACAATGAGCCCTGGAGCCTGTAGGAAGGAACTTCTTTGAATATAATGTCTGATGGGCTTCCACGATCATTTGCTTCTGTTGTATTTATGGCTGCTGACTTTTTGGAGTGTAATGCAGGACAGCCATGTGTAAAGGCTCAGTGTGGTGGGAAGCACAAGTGTCTATGTCTCTCAAACTTTAAAAACAGGGTACAAGTGTACAAATACCCTGTTAGGTGAAGGAAGAAAAAAACCTTTCAGCTAAATGAAGGAAAGTAAAAAGAAAACAGCTTATAAATACCCTGATATGTGTTTCCACCTGGGACACCGGTTTTTACCTTGATTACGTTTATATTTGACATCACGTATGAGTTTAATCAAAGTTCTGGGTGAGTCTGCAAAGCAAGGAGGTGCAGCTGTGAAGCAAAGTGCAACCAGCAGGCACTACGTTGTATGAACCCTAAAGCTAACAGTCTAGTTTTGTTGCCTCAACATAGTGTGTCTGAGGATTTCATCATGTGGTAAGGGCCCTAAATATTGATGGGACCCATATGTTTGTACTGAGGTATTAATAGACATCAAGATTCAACATCATTTTAAAACATGTACAATAGCAATATCTTCTTCAGGTAGCTCTAACTAGCAATATACGCCTGCTCTATTTGTATAAAAATAAGCAGAGGCTTATGTGTGCTGTGTCTGACAACTTCAAATGTGCTTATTTTATTGAATGAAGGCTGGCCGTGTTCAGAAGTCCCCTGTCAGCTTGTTATGAGCTTTGATCGTGTGCTGAGAGGAGCACATCACAATTCCTCATGAAACAACCCAAAGGTTAGGGTGAACACTTTTAAATATTCCTTTTCTATCTGCAGTTTTTTCAGGATGAGGGCTGCTATGCTTCTGCTGGTCATCACTCTCATTGCGGTCGAGAGTGTAGCTGGAGGGAAAAACAAGAAAGGTAGGATTCTCTCTCTCTCTCTATGCTTTTCATGTTACAATATACTTGTATTTGCATGTTCCTGCAAATATTGATTGCTGAAGCCCAAATCTCATTGAACGTCTGACACAGATACTAACAATAGGTCTGTTACCCATAGGTCCATTGTTATAACATTCCATAATTCACATGTAAAGATATGGCATGTGCAAAAATGTGCAGATCATTCAAGACACATAGTATCAAACTTATTATAAATGCAAGTTTTGCCCCGTCCATGCTGAAAGCAGCTTACTGTAATACTAACTCACCCTGGCTGCCACAGGAAGCCCATTCAGCAGGAAGATCAGAGTAATGAGGCGTTGTCACTGAGCAACAACTTCCAACAGCTCAGACTTTCAGATATGCTCCACCAACCTGCTGTGAGCTCCAGGATTAGTTCACTTTTGCCCTCAAACAGCAAGTGTAAGCAGCGCACCATTTGAAGGAATTCTTCAACCTGCATTGTTTTTGAGTGTGAGATAAGAAATATCAAAACTGGAGTCTGGTTCCTCGAGAGAGTAGCTCGGCAAATTAATGCTCTGGTTCTGTTTTACCACAAGAAACCCTGAATTCAGGGAGCGAAGCTCAGGAGGATTGACCGGTCAATCCCCGTAATAGCTAACATTTTTAAAAAGCGGCGCGGAACGAATAATGTGTGCTCATTTGCGTAAGTTGAAGTATTCCAACTTTAACAAAATATACACCTGACGCTGTCTTGCGATAGCCAATCAGCGTTGAGATGCTGCCAAAGCGTAAATATATTTTATGAAATGCCATTCACCGGAGCAGATAGACAGGCGATTCGCAGCTGAGATTGAAAGCCTGTAGTTGGTGTCCAACCGAGAGATCCTGGTACCAGATCCGAGCTAACAGGTCATCAAACTGGCTACTGGTTAGCCTGAAGTAGCTCTGGAAGCTGCAGTCATCCATACGCAATCCCTGGAGAAGTTAAGGAAATTCACCGAGCTGTGTGCGGCTACCAGAGGTGGAAAGAGTACTGAAAATGTGTACTCAAGTACAAGTACTGTTACATTGCTTAAAGTGTACTCAATTACAAGTGAAAGTACTATTGTTAAAAAAATACAGTAAAACGCTACAAGAGAAAAATGCGGCAATCACAAAAACGACCGGAGCACAAGCGACGCAAACTTGAAAACACATCCGGTGGAATTAACCAAGGTTTATTATCAAATAATGCAAAGGGGAGAGGGGGGAAAAGGGTGAGAAAACGATAACTCAAAAGTTCTTCACCAGGATGGCCAGGGACATCCCCAGATTCCTACTGGTGCAGAAGAGAGAGAATATATTTAGTTAGACTCCTTTTGCTGCGCAACATCCCTGAATCTCACTCTCCTTGCGTTCCAACTGTCCCGCTCGCTTCCTCCCTCGTGTCTCCTGGGAGGAAGGTTTAAAACAGGTTCCTGATTGCCTGCGTGATTACCAACACCTGGAAGGGGAACTCAGTGACACCTGGGGTAGTACCGCCCTTCCATTACCATGCCTCTTGGTGGCCCTCTCCTGGCCCTTTCTCGCCACGTGGGGCACTGCTCACCGGCTGGGCCATCACAAAGTTCACTCTAAACACAACCGGAACAGGCCACTAGGGGGTCTCGACCTGTGGGATAGTGGATGGACAATGGGAGATCGACCACAGTAACGACGGAGAAGAAAGTTAATGTCCTTTATGTATTTTTTAAACACTTGGCCGTAATCATAACTTTGGCCGTAATCATAATCAGCATTCTTTCTTTTCATAACTTTCTTCTCCTTCCATTTCTTTCTCAAATTCTCAGTCCACTCTTTACACCGCTCTGTATTTTACCTACAGAAACATTTGCCTGCTGCAGCAGCAAATTGGCCTTTCCTTATATTACGTCTAAGAATAATTGGCGCGGGCGCGATCTGACAGCCAATAAGGATTTGCATTGAAAAAAAAAATAATCTGACGGTTTGAATATTATTTTAAATTGTGGGCATACTCAATAGTAGGGCTGCAACTAACAATTAATTTGATAATCGATTAATTGGTTGATTACAGTGCATCCGGAAAGTATTCACAGTGCTTCACTTTTTCCACATTTTGTTATGTTACAGCCTTATTCCAAAATGGATTAAATTCATTATTTTCCTCAACATTCTACACACAACAACCCATAATGACAAAGTGAAGACTGTTTTTTGCACATTTTTACAAATCTGTTAAAAATAATGAACGAAAACCTAACATGTACATAAGTATTCACAGCCTTTGCCATGACACTCAAAATTTAGCTCAGGTGCCTCCTGTTTCCACTGATCATCCTTGAGATGTTTCTACAACTTGATTGGAGTCCACCTGTGCTAAATTCAGTTGATTGGACATTATTGAGAAAGGCACACACCTGTCTATATAAGGTATCACAGTTGACAGTGCATATCAGAAGCCATGAAGTCCAAAGAATTATCTGTAGACCTCCGAGACAGAATTGTATCGAGGCACAGATCTGGCGAAGGGTACAGAAAGATTTCTGCAACATTGAAAGTCCCAATGAGCACAGTGGCCTCCATCATCCCGAAATGGAAGAAGTTTGGAACCACCAGGACTCTCCAGTAGGAGAACCTTCCAGAAGGACAACCATCTCTGCAGCACTCCACAAATCAGGCCTGTTTGGTAGAGTGGCCAGACGGATGCCACTCCTCAGTAAAAAGCACATGACAGCCTGCCTGGATTTTGCAAAAAAGCACCTGAAGGACTCTCAGACCATGACAAACAAAATTCTCTGGTCTGATGAAACAAAGATTGAACTCTTTGGCCTGAACGCCAAGCGTCATGTCTGGAGGAAACAAGGCACTGCTCATCACCTGGCCAATACCATCACTACAGTGAAACATGGTGGTGGCAGCATCATGCTGTGGGAATGTTTTTCAGCGGGAGGAACTGGGAGACTAGTCAGGCTTGAGGGAAAGATGAATGCAGCAATGTTGAACATCTCTGGAGAGATCTGAAAATGGCTGTGCACCGACCCTCCCCATCCAACCTGATGGATTTTGAGAGGTTCTTCAAAGAAGAATGGGAGAAACTGGCCAGAAATAGGTGTGCCAGGCTTGTGGAATCATACCCAAGAAGACTTGAGGCTGTAATTGGTGCCAAAGGTGCTTCAACAAAGTATTGAGCAAAGGCTGTAAATACTTCTTTATTTTTAACAGATTTGCAAAAAAGTTTTCACTTTGTCATTATGGGTTGTTGTGTTCAGAATGTTGAGGAAATTAATGAATTTAATCTATTTTGGAATAAAGCTGTAACATAATAATGTGGAAAAAGTGAAGCGCTGTGAATACTTTCCGGATCCACTGTATTTCTTCCATTAATCGATGAATTGCATTAAAAAAAACAGCATTAAAAAGCTTCCCACCCTTCATTCTAAAACAGAAATGCAAATTCACATTGCAAAAATACATGAAGTACAGGTTGCTCCTTTAACATAATTTATAAAAATACAAACCAGAAAATTCAACAGGATTTGTTTTAACGTCAGAACTTGTTCTCTATAATACTCGCACACTCAAACACACCCCCATGTTCACTTGAAGCTTATTCATTAAATTATTACCATCATTGTAGTGCACGTTAAGTAAATGTATCACCCCATCTGAGTACAGCTAAAAAACAAAAAGTGCTATGAGATGAATTTAAAATGGCATTTGTCAATAAATGCATTACGCCTAGTTTATACTTCTGCGTTTTCAGAGACTCAAGGACACGCAGACGCAAGAGCCCCTTGCGTGTCCCTTGCGTGCCTTTTCACACCTCCTTGTGTGCGTCGACCCATTTTTCTCTCTGCAAACGTTGGTTTGCCGCTGTTACATGCCTACTGGTTTGTCTACGCGTGCGTGTTTGTTTCCCCCTACAGCGGCAGATGTTGTCTGCCTCGGTCACCTGATTTGTCACACATTCGCAAAAATATATTGCTGAAAATGTTCAAAAGTCATCACATATCTTTTGCAGCCATTACGATTGTATAAGTGAGCACTACATCACTGCCATGTCTGAAGAAATACATTAATACAAGAAAATACATTTATTAAAAGATCGCCTCGACCTGGATTCGAACCCTGTCAAGCAAAATAACAAGACATTACAAGACAGCTGCGCTACGCCATCAGCCACCCAAGCTTTCTAATTTCCTTACTATTTTATATACTTGTCATGAAATTTTACATCGTCAGTGGCTAGAAAACCTTTTGGTTCAGAGTGAACCAAGACAACAGTTTTTTGGTTTGGCTTGTTGGTTCACAATTACATTGTGGATAGCGGAACGCCGGAGACAAGTCCCGGCCCTTTTCCTTAAGTAAATGACGCAAATTAACCACAAATAGCTGGGCGACTAATGTGACTAGTCTGTGAATGGTTTGAATTTTGTGTAGTGGGAATTGCCGGGAGACTAGAAAAGCGCTATACAAGTAGAGTCCATTTACCATCTAGTGGGATGATATGGTGCCAAATCACTTAGCACTTTGTAAATACCTCTTGTCTAAAAGGCTTTGAAAGTTGATATGACATTACACAGTGGAGGTTGATGAATACAGATCACATCTGTTACACTAGTAGTCGTTGAATGATGAAATAATGTTGAACCGATGCATGTCTGATTGTTCTGTCCTCAGAGAAAAACAAGCCTTCCCAGTCCGGGTCAGAATGCACCAACTGGCGCTATGGTAACTGTGTCCCTAGCAACGGGGACTGTGGATTAGGGTTTAGAGAGGGGTCATGTGAGCAGCAGAACCAGAGGATGAAATGTAGAATACCGTGCAACTGGAAAAAGAAATTTGGAGGTAACACACACACACACACACACACACACACACACACACACACACACACACACACACACACACACACACACACACACACACACACACAGTGTATCTCATGATAAGGTAATGTTAGAAAACTTAAATGAAAAGGGCCAATCAGAAACTAACTGAATGACATAGTACAGTATGCGAACACAACATCATCGTGAACTAGTAATTAACTATATCCTATCCAATCCTGTGCAGCAGCACTGTATGAATATACATACTGTTTATTCATGTGTGTAGCTATAATGATAGACTTGTGTTGCGAGGTATGAATTCAAATTGATTCAGAAACAATGATTCAGTAAACAGCCTGTAGCTTGTACTGTGAAGTCAGAAAATATTTTTTTTAACCATGGTGCTCAGAGATTCACCATATGTATTTCTCTTAAAGGAGACCTGCACTGTTATGTAAGCGCTTATTTGTCCCTGATCACTTCTGAATCACAGTAAAAGTGACTAAACAAGTGAGTTTTCCATTTCTTAAAGCAGACAATGTAAAAATGACTTGATCAGTGGTGGCGTGAAGCACAGTGGTTATTTAGAAGTATCTATTACATTAAATGTTTAGAAAAGACAAAGAACATTGATTTGTATTTTAAAAAATTGAGGACAGGTAGAGGTGGAGTTTGAGTCAGGCTCAATTGGTGTAGCGCCAAGTTCCATAACCTAACTATGGTTGTGATTTGGTAAGACAGTATATGAGCAAAGTTGTTGTCTTACTCTATATCAGATAACTAGGAAGGCAGCTGTTGAATGAATGGAAGGGATGAAAAAGGGTAAGAAGTCAGATTATGTGGTTGTGGTTATGACTGTAGCAGAAGATAAATGAGATCACAGACATGTTGTGATGTTATAAAGAACAGTAGGTACAATGTACGTATTGTCAAAATGTCAGGCACATTGGTTTGAAAACATGCATGATTGTGTTTGAGCAATGAGAATGAACGTAGCTAAACTTTCATACACGTTTTAAAGATGTGATAGGTCTGCTTTACTGGAACATGCATGTATTCAAAGATGCATGTGTTTATCTTCTGTGTGACTTCTCTCTCCCAGCTGACTGCAAGTATCGCTTTGATAGTTGGGGAGAGTGTGATCCAAGCTCTGGCTTGCGGACCAGAATGGGGACGTTAAAGAAGGCTTTGTTTAATGCGGAATGTCAACCGTCTATTTCTGCCTCCAAACCCTGCACTGAAAAAATCAAGACACGAAGCAAAGGTGAGACTGATAATGTTGACATGATAATTATAAGATGATAAGGATAAGATTATAAGGATGAGATGCTCACAATGACCATAGTAAATCCCTGGTGTATTGCAAGTATAATGTTAATCATGTTTCACCATTCTTAATTGATCTCACGTCTTTGCATGCTAAACTGTGCTTACCAGTATTAATCACAGTGCTCCGAAGGCTGACAATAATGTCATCAGCTTTGTGTGTATTTGGCCATGTATCAAAAAACGGGAAGTGGAGGAGGACATGGGAGGTGTCAGACATTTCAAAAGAAAGCACACCTATCAGGTCCATATGTGTTTATGCTGTGTGGACCAGGAATGCTCTACAACAGTTTCATCTCTCATCTTCAACCGCTTACCTGGGGTTGTGTCACGGGGGCAACAGTTCAAGCAGGGGACCCAGAAATTCCCTTTACGTCCACGTCTACCGGCTATTACTGGGGGATCCCAAGACAAAACATTTGTAGTGGATGAGCGTAGTCCAAGGCCCCTTCATGTACCTTGAAAGAGTAAAGAGCTGGTCCCTTGTTCAAGGACAAGGACGAAATCCCCATTGTTCCTCTTCTATCCGTTGTTTTGAACTGCCAGCATTCAGTCTTCTATGAGGACTGCACTACCATTTAACAGTTTGCAATTCTGTTAGATTTTTCTTTAATTATAGACTATAATGTTTGAGCCTATGTCTGTCTTTTTTCCAGCAAAGAAGACAAAAGGCGAGGGCAACTAGAAGTCTGTGGAAAGGAGTCAAAGAGCCAGCTGACAGCTGCACAGTGCCCCCAACGCTTATAGAATAGTTTCCTGATTCTTATAGACACATATTTGAATACAGGTTTCTTACACCTTAACAAACCCATTATGTATGTTTTTAAACGAAAAATAGAAGACAGTAAAGTACTAAATCTCTTTAGGACTAATAAAATGAGTATTGCCTACACTGGCTTCCAAATCAAAGTGCATTTGGAATATTAAAATTATATATTTTTCAAAACCACCACCTTACAAATTTGTTTAACTTTGATAAATGTTATAACATTTTCCCCGTTGAGGTGTTCTCATTAAGTGATCCATCATCGCCTCCAAACCTTTTCTTGTGCTCCACTCCATTATAGCTTCACTGGGAATATGAGCTATTTAAACTCCCAGTTTTCTTAGCCATTCTGAATCAGTTCTTGGATGTGTCGGTACCATCCACACACAAACTGTATACTTTGTGTTCTATTCTGTCCCAATAAAGCAGCCATCCGGTTCAAAACTTCAAATCACCACGGGTATACTCGTATGAAAGTGCATTTGGTATATCAGGTAATACATTTGCCTTAGGGCACAAAACCACTAACCACCTCCCCACCCACAACCCTCTCTCACTGAAGAATTGCCATTCCATCTATCCTGTCCAAGGTTTGCTCAAACCGTATTATTTTCTTTTGTTTATTAAACATTGCACAACATGGTGTGACACTGTCCATTTTTGTATTATTTCAGACTTTTCTAGACCTGTAAGCATAATGCAAATGTTCAATGGACTGTACTTGTTTTTCTCTTTTGTAGTCTGGACTACTCAAGGCTCTTTAAAATTAGATCTGATCCATTCATACACTGATGACAGGAGGTACAGTACACTAAAGCTATGTGTGAAATTCTGGCTGAGGTGTTTTTATAATTTTAGTAAGCAATGATGCATACTGAAAACTATAAGTCAAAAAACATATGGTATGGGTATAGGACAATGGTGCGTGTATGTGCTTGCAGTTGTATTACACTCAGGAGAGACTCGGTCTGAATTGAAAAACATTTATTACACCTGTATAACATTAAAATAGTGCAATTTTGTGGCGATCCTAAACCAGGATAATCAAGGGGCTGAGTTCCGCTTGGCAGAATCTCCCCTGGTGCAATACCAGTGGGTAGTGAAGAAGGGAGTTGACTCGTGGGCTCAATTGGTTTTCCGGCAAAAAAAGTAAGTAAGTAACCGAATAAACTAACAATAATAACAGGTTTTAATATCAATGGGATGGCTGGTGTCATGTTTGCAAATATTTAGTGAAATTTTACAAGATGGAGTGGTTTTTTGTTGTATTGTAAGGGATGGGGGTCAATAGATTTTCTATTAAGATATCCAAAATCAAGTTTCTCCAAACGTCAATATACGTTTTATCATTTGATTTCCAATTAATGAGAATAGTTTTCTTGGCATTGGTTATGGTCACGAGGAGTAATCAGTGGTTTATTTTGCTCAAGTGGAAACGTCTCCTAGGAAGCACAGTGAGTGAGATAATGGGGTGAGGCAGCCCACAAAAACAGATAATGATGCAATTATTTTTTTCCAAAAGTGTTTAACTGGTATGCAATGCCAGGTGGCATAAATGTAGCTAACTGGGATATTTTGAATGTAATGTGGAGAGATGTCTGACATGAATCCCATTTGAAACCGTTTTTGCCCAGTATCATGAAACCTGATATGATGGATAGGTCTCCCATTTTCTTCATGGTATGGAGGCTTTCTTGTCAGACCGTTATATTATTCTACATATTTGTGAAATTAACTTTTTTAGGAGGTGATATAAACATTGAAGGTTGAGAGAGGTATTAATGGTCTTGATGTAAAGTTTGGATTGAATAGATTATTTCAATTGCAGATATTCCAAAAAGTTATCCCAATACCACCTGAACCAAGAATATATTATGTTTTTCAAATGGGTGATGCCTTTAGTGGACCACGTAAAATTTTAGAGGTTTATTGTGGCTTAGAAATTCGCAATTGTTCTTGTTAATAAATCTTTCCCCAAAGCCAAATCTTTGTAATGTGCTTTTGAGAAATGTTCAGTTTACTTGTCATCTAAGGAGGCTATGATGGTTCTGGCTTGTTCTAATGAGTAATTTATTAAATGAAACAGTCTGCATGTGGATGGACCTCTGATAAAGCCGGTTTGATCTGGATGAATGGAGTGACTTTTTCTAATCTGTGAGCTAGTGTCTTAGTGATAATTTTAATATATAGATCGAGGACCGGAATTGGACGGTTAACTAGATGGAAGAGTTGGATCTTTGTATGGTTTGAAGAGGAGTGATATACAAGCTGTATTCATGTTGGTTGGAAATTGCGCATTTTGTTTTATTTGTTATCTTGTTAAAAAGTGGAGCTAAAATGAACCAAATGTGTTTATAGAACTCATCCAGGGAGAAATCACCGTTATATTATTCTACATATTTGTGAAATTAACTTTTTTAGAACCACCAGAACATGTATCAGTCCGACTGACATGCTTTTTAAAGTAAAACAATGAACTTTCATCATTACTGATGAAAGTTAACTTTTTTAGGAGGTGCCCAATGCTTATTGGGCAATACATGCGAGTCAAATATGTTAGTTTGTTCTTGTTTAATCTATGGTAGATCAATGCTGTGGAGAAATCAATTGTTTTCTTGACTTGGGTCCTTTTCAGATGAAAATAGATCGGCATAAAAACTTCAAAAGATTTGATTAATGTCATCAAATTGATTTGTCGGGTCCCTGCTGAGTCCTTAATGATCAAGACTCTACAGAGCTTGAGACAGACGTTCTCACTCTCTGGCTTTTCAGGAAAAAAGTAAATGCCTGTGGGATTCTATAGCCACATGAGTACAACCAGCACAACAATCCACAACATCCAACAATGAAGCTTGAACAGTGAATATTGTGGCCATGAGGGCAAGATAGAAATATTTTTTAACCATATTCTGAAGCTGCTGTAAACTTAAGAGCTTCAGCTCTCACTCTAAGAAATCCAATACACACTAATGTAAATCTCAAACGGAAAGTTTAAGAAGTTTAAGAGGATTTGAAAATTAACTCCATTGAAAAACCATGTTAAAAAAGTTCATTAATTCAATTAATATAAATTAAATTATAAGAACTAGAAAGCTAAAATGTCTAGACTAGAGGTTGTCAGATCTGAGGTTTAAACTTAAACCTGCTGGACATCTGTCAATCCCTTTCACGTGTAAGTTATATTTTAAGTTAAAATTTTTCACATGTTGAGATTATGAACATAAGGGTCAAACCGATGAAATTGTGCTTATTTAATAATGTGTCAAATCAGGCTACATTCAACTTCAGTTTATCAAGTAATAGGGTTGCAAATTATCTGATATACTGACGAGTTTATTCCATGGCAGCCATGTAAAACGTTCATCAAGGTTACCATCAGTACATATTATCTAAATTTTCAAAATGATACAGCCACTTTTAACTTTTCATATATACAGTGGGGAGAACAAGTATTTGACTGCCGATTTTGCGGGTTTTCCCACTTAGAAAGCATGTAGGAGTCATTTTTATCATAGGTACTCATTCAACTGTGAGTGACTGAATCTAAAACTAAAATCCAGAAAATCACATTGTATGATTTAAATATATATATTCTGCAGTCTATTGCATGACATAAGTATTTGATAAATCAGAAAAGCTGAACTTAATATTTGGTAAGGAAACCTGCATTACAGACATCATACGTTTCCTGTAGCTCAGGTTTGCACACACTGCAGCAGGGATTTTGGTCCAATTCTCCATACAGACCTTCTCCAGATCCTTCAGGTTTCTGGGCTGTCGCTCTGTGCATGGGCGAATCAGTATATATCGATTTATTGATAATCAGAAATGTGATCAACTGAAGCAGTGAAACAGAAGATTATTAAGCGCCAAATAAACAAACAGAACTTTATGAAGAACACCACATGCAGCGGCTTTCTAGGTGTTCTCTGCATCTGCATCTGAGAGAGTGTGTGAGACGGTATGAGAGACAGTATGTGAGATAGTGTATGAGACAGTATGAGAGACAGTGTGTGAGACAGTGTGGGACACAGCTTGTGGGAAAGTGAATGATCGGCTGTGGTGTGTAGTGTTCACCATGTAACGTTACGGCTCGAGAAGGTCTTTGTGACGTGATAACGGATCCTTAGGATTTTTCAGAAAACATACCAGTATGATTCAATGCAAAAAAAAAAGGTACCAAACACGTATTATTACTTTCCAGTTAAGTATTCAAATAGATATTTATTTTAACATAATAACAACATACAATTCAGTATTTTAATTAAAAATATATCCATATAAAATCTAACAGAACATGTATATTGAGATGCCCCTATGAACCTAGTTTGTTGGGGAAACACCCAATTAGTGGGTTGAGGAAAGACCAACTCAAAAGCCCCACGATGGTGATTTTGCCAAACTGGCTTTTGGAACCGAAGCCTGATCTGTGTGATCTTATCCGGAAAATTATAGCAACATACGAGGAATGGGGCCCAGGAGCGACTCCTGTTACTAATCCTGCTTCAGACAGAGGTTACCTCCCACCTCATTAGCATACAGACACAGAAACAAAGAAATGTAGGGGAATAGAAATGTAGAAATATAAAATATGTATTTGTTTATGATCTGTTTTATTATCAACGTTTACTTATTGATTTATAGATACATCAATTAATTTATTTCTATATTTATTTCAGCATTTAAATATTTCTGAATTTATTTATTTATTCATACTTAAATTAGCTGCTTTGAGTTAATTAACCTGCCTCATCTATACCTTTAAAATCTGTTAAATTACTTCGATATATGTATGACTTATGAGTGGGGAGCTCTCTCAATAGCGAAACTAGTTGAGCGAATACCCAGTAAACATTCTTGTTAGGATCATGAGAGACCTGACTATATGGAGAAAGGATACATCACATTTATAGATGCAAGTTACAAGCCAGTCCGACCGTTAAATGGATAAACACAGGTGTGTGTATCAAATTACAGATTCTGATTCTCACTCATATACAATGTTTAATTGATAAACCCTGTGTGTTTGTTAGAGCTCTGCCTCAGTTTGTGAGTTACCATTTCACGGTCCTCGCGGGGATTATTCATCGTCATTACAAGACAGAGCTATTCAACTGAATATGATAATGATCACATTCTCACCATGGCAACACACCGCTTCCCCTCTTCTGTCTGCTGAATATCGATGACTTCTATGGTTTGTTTTGCTTTTGCTTGTCTTCTCTGTTCTACTTGGTGTAAATCAGGTACAGAGCAGGAAGTGTGAAACAATGTCAGCTGTAGTAAACAAGATTTTTCTGATCCATGAACACAATCCATGTGATTTAAATACTTTCTCAAGTGATTGTGATCGTTGTGTTGATTTGTGCTGTCTGATACTTCATTTGATTGTGACTGTTAACCTGCTACTCTCAATCTAGGTCAGCTCGGATGATCCGTGTTACCATGGATACAATGCCAATAGGAGGGGCTATTTGCAACGTGGATAATTGCTTATGGGGGAAAAAAGGCAAAGCAAAAATTGAGCTATATATAGCTCAATTTTTGCTTTGCCTCTATATATATATATATATATATATATATAAGTTGATCTTAGCTTGTTTCTCAATCCTTTAGGATTTGTGCTCACATTAAATCTCAGTTTAACAAATTAACAGGATGTGTAACCAAACCAAACACCAATGCAGGTTTAAACTTCAAATTACCCTAAATCAATTGTGTCCCATAAAACGTAATCAATTTATCCATGGATTGGCTTACTCATTGCTAATAAATGAATGACGTGAATGTGAAGAATGTATTTTAAAGGAGTAAGCAGCAATCCTTCATTATTGTAGCTGTAAACAGACCCAGACATTTTCATGATCCACTCAGAAATCCTGAAACTAAGATTAGATCAGATTCAACTACCCATGTATTTATCTATGTGGTATAAAGGGCCCTGTAGCGCAAACAGTCTATGGCTGGGGTGAGAGTCCTTCACAATGCTGCACGTCCTCTGCAGACATCTTTTGTGCTGGACAGTCTCAATGGTGGGGAGTGAGGAAGCAGTGCTGCGTTGGGCAGTTTTCACCATCCTCTGGAGTGATTTACGGTCCGCAACAGAGCAACTGCCGTACCGTGATGCAGTGGTGAGGATGCTTTTGATAGTGCAGTGGTAGAAGTTCACCAGGATCTGCAGGGATAGATGAGCCTTCTTCAGTCTCCTCAGGATGTAGAGGCACTGGTGAGCCTTTTTGACCAGGGTTGAGGTGTTGAGGGTCCAAGAGAGGTCCTCAGAGATGTGGACACCCAGGAACTTAAGCTAGCAACATGCTCAACCTTCATCCCGTTAATGGAGATGGGGGTGTGTGTGTGCCATCTTTGGTTTTTCTGTCCACAATGAGCTCCATGGTCTTCTTGGTGTTGAGTGCCAGGTTGTTGTTGTTGGCGCACTACTCAGCAAAGTGCTGGACCTCTTTCCTGTAGGCCGACTGATGAGGCCAATCACCGTTGTGTCGTCTGCAAACTTGACAATGTTGTTATATGGACAGGTCTGCAGTGAATGTGAAGAGGGAGTAGAGGAGAGAGCTCATCACGTAGCCCTGTGGGACCCCAGTGTTGAGGAGGTGGGGTTCTCTAACCTGACAGATTGGGCTCTGTTGGACCAGTTACTAAGGGTAGGTGGGGAGGTGTTTATGCCCAGATCCCGGAGTTTGGTGATCAGTTTGGAGGCGATGATTGCGTTGAATGCTCAAACTGGAGCGGTAGTGCAGAGTCTGCTCCCTCTGGTCATACTTTAACTGTCCTCACAGTGAGTGTCACACGTCTGATGAGGTGTGTATTTGGGGAGAAGGAACAATGAGAGGCGGTCTGATTGTCCTTCATGTTGGTGTAAACGTGATCTAAAGTCTTGACTTTAGGCAGGAGACATTCTGGTGGAATTTGGGAAGTACAGTCTTCAGGTTTGCGTGGTTGAAGTCACCCGCAATAATAAAGGCTGCCTCTGGATGTAGGCTCCGTTTGCTTATGGCAGCATGCAGTTCTTTCATGGCAGGCTTAGCACTATGTGGTGGCGGGCGTGGTTAGCTCAGCTGCAGAGGGGAGAGCGGGAGAGTGGTTCAGGGAACGGTGCCGGCAGGTTAACAAACACAGCTTGTTACGTTTTCACCTCAGGTGGAGCTCGTTGGAGGTGGGGAACGTAAACACCGGTGCTTGCGCACCCAGTGTAACCAGCGGTGGACGGTGAATTAGTGTGGGGTGGCGCTGACCAAAAATAAAGAGACGTGACACACGAAACTCACTTTTGGTCCGTGAGACATTTCATAAAACAAAAAGACAACACACAAAAAAAAAAAAAGCACACACACAACCAAGGAAGGGAGGTGAAGGGGATTTTGGGACCGGGGGTCAAAGTAATGAAATAAACAAAAGGTCCCTAGTCTTCTACACACCTCTCCCTGCCTAACACAGTCTATCCCTAACCAGCTTACCTCTCTATGGCCAAAACTACAGGGGTGACCCCCACCCAGATAACATAGTGTTTGTAACAGATTTACCTACGTGATGCAAATGTACACCCATGGGCAGAACTACCTACCCCTTCTCCAGAACTCAGGTAGAGCACAACGGGATCTCGCCCGACAGGATTCAACCAAAAAACATCTTTGACAGGCCATACACAAACACAAGGCTTCTCTCTCTCCTTTCTCTTCTCTTTTTTCTGCAGCAACCAGGCTGGTTTGTATAGGCCACCAGCTCGTTAGCCAATTAGTCTCCAGGTCTTTAGTGGCCACGCCTCCTCGCCAACAGCCAACCAACATCGCACACCTGTATATCGAGAAAGGGGCACTCTCCCCCACACACAGTTAAAGGGGCAGAGCAAAACATGGGGACATGTAACACAGCTGAACAAGATCCGGATTGATTGTCTCCCCTGTAAAAGCAGTGAGCAGGACTTGGAGAGCGAGAGACTGGAGCAGATGCCGAGGAGCGGAGCAACCAATGCACAAAACCTGCTCACTGCAAAAGGAAAAATAAAGTATATTGCCAAGTAGACCCGTGTGTCCTTTGACAAACCCAACGGTGGTAGCTCCATCCCCGGCTGCAGTCACAATCGTTGATGTAAACTCCCTGGGGAGGTAGAAAGGTCTACACCTAACCATGAGATATTCCAGGTTAGAAGAGCAGTGACTCTCGACAATAGCAGTGTATAAGGATGTTGTTTCTGTTAAGATCATGAGGTTGCGGTCCATGATCACCCTTTTTATTCGCCAGTGACCACCATTAGCAAGTAAAAGGCTCGGTGGAGATAGCCGATGAGTTCGCTTTAGCTTAGCCCTCCTCACTTCCCCCGCCTTTGTTCACAATCTCGACGTCACCTATGAGTCCTTAAGGTCGGCGTGGCTGGGTTGTTGGCCACCGGTGTCCTGAAGACTAACCCATCATTAGGTATAAATTCAAGGAACGATTTGTTTGAATTTGCAGACAAACATTGGTTGCTTTAATCCATTAATTAATACATTTTGACTCTAATGGTGTGTTCGCACCAAAAGCAGACTGAAGCGACACTGATTTTTTCAAAACATCCCTGTTTTACGGTCTACAGCAGGGGTCTTCAACGTTTTCAGGGCAAGGACCCCCAAACTGATGCCGAGATGGAGCAAGAATCCCCTATTCCACGGAGTTTGGTCCGCCATCTTTTATATTTGAGCTTCGCGCTCTTTAGACGTGAGCATAAACGCGATCTGATTCGCTAGTGCCTGTGATGTCGTATTTGCATGAAAGGAGCTGTGTATGGATTCATGTTAATATCTATTTAAAGACAATGAATACGATTCTGAAGATATTAAATTTAGGTTGAAAAAAACAACAACAATTGTCTTATCAACCGAAGATTTCGCGACCCCCCTGCAGTACCTCGCGGACCCCCTGTTGAAGACCTCTGGCTTACCCTATCGCCACTGATGTCCTGCAGTTGCCGAATCAGAAAAAATAGAGGATAAATGAATAGTAACATTAGCTGTGACTGGGTACCCCAAGCTGTACAACTCATCCTCCTACTTATACCTAAGATAGAACTATTTATAAAAAGTATACGACCATATGTGCATTTTTATAACATCCCATCAGTGCACTAAATATAGTACATTATAGCGTAGGATAATTATATTGTTTACCGACACATACTGATACTAAATATTAAGTAAAATTGCAGGTTGTTTGCTTAATAATAAGGTGTGAGTGGCTCTTAAAAGAGACGTTTGGATGTGCTCCTGTACATGGTGTCTTGTCATTTGACCGGTCCCTTAGCAGAAAAGTATGTTGTGAATGCGGTAAAATCCTGCCACCGATCCGAGTCAACACATGATCAAACTGGCTTAACCTCATGTACCGCTGGAAGCAGCAGTCATCCAAACGCAGTTCCTGTCGAAGTCTGCAAAAATTCACAGAACTGACTGTGCCTATGGATGCTATTTTATACGCAAACATGACAGTATTTGGTTGTCCGACATGAGTAGGGCTTCCACAAGACAGAGTCATAGCTATTTCTTCCATGATTGATGTGGAGAAAAACGGAAAGTTGAACTCTTGAGGGTGATAAGCCATGCCCCTTCTCCGTTGCGTCTAGCGCGAATTATGTAAATTATTTATTAAAAATACTTATACTTAATAGGCGCAGAGTTGAAACACACACAAGTCATGCTTCAAGTTGCTGCTCGAAAGTCTATGTCTTATCCTCTGAAATTACATCGTTGAGATGACACACACACACACAATTTATGCATCAAGGCTTCTTGCTGAGAGGTCACATAATCTATGGCGTCTTAAAAAAGTGTATCTAAACTAAAGACAAAACATTATTTGTACAGTAAAAGTTTTTTCTACATTAAATTACTTCTACTAAAGTCCACAAACATTTGTTCTATAAGAGAATGGTATTCTCTTGTCACCTTGCGGTGCGACAGTGTCAGTGTCCTCTGTGAAACGTCTTGCCAGAGGCATAATGATTTTTATTTAGATTAGTTCATTGAATGTATAGCTGGACAAACACATATCATTCTAATGTCAACAGTATGTGTTTATTAGCATTACAGTTTTGTATCAACACAAGTTGCTTATAATATATCTTCAATACATTTCATTTCAGAACTAGTAGCTGTGCCAGGCAAGGCTCAATAACGCTTTGAAAATGATGTTCTTATTCAAATACTATCTAGATGAAAAAGTGAGAAAATACAAAGAGCTATGAAACATTATACAGACAAAAATCACCTGACGGGTTTCCCAAAAGCCACCACTGGAAGCCAAAAGAAGGTACTTAATATTTCAAAGAGTAAATCAACCATGATTCTTAATGAGCAGCAACATACTGTTATTATACCCTCTGACCCATGGAGGAGATGACATTGTTTTGATTTAAATTTTTATTTCTACTAATACTACCACTCAAAGGGTTTTATCGACAGTTAAATAAGATGCTACTTAGTAGTAGTAATTTGTACTATGTTCATACTCTTTCACTATTTACTCTAAAATCCAACGCTAGAAGTTTCCCCTCGGGGAGGTAAGTGCACTGGGACATCCCGGCTGGTGGCATAGAGGTAAACAGCACGCTCAAATTGCTACGTTTATTTGGTTGCCTGCAAGAAACAAAAATGAGAACCCAAATTGAGTCTTGTTTTGATCCCCTATTCCAGAATTCAGTCCCTGACGAATTTAGGGTTGATTTACCTTTCAAAGAGTCATTCTGTTAGATCCCGTGTGCAGTTGGGAACACAGTTCTGGGTGAGTGACAGGCTCCGTTTAAAGCATATACAGCACATATACAGATGGTTAACATAGGGGAAATATTCCATAGACGTTACTTGTGGTTGTTTCTTTCTGTGTGACATTTATAATATATATTTCCAGCTATCAATATCAAACACATGTACTCTTAATGACATAGAAAAGAACAAATCAGTTTCTCCTCCACATAGTGAAAATGTTTCTTTGTCATTTAAATGATGCCACTGAGCTGAAGTTGTAAAAGCAATACTCTGACAAAGTAACTACAATTCACAATGTCTTTAGATCACTATAAGGTTCATGCTTTGTATACTAGGAGGTAAAAATATTTCATATACTTTGAAAGAACAAAAGGACCACTGTTTATACTCTTTGGAATGATTCAGTATACAATATAGTATTAGTAATTAATGGATTGTGTATTTACAGAAATTAGCTTAGAATTTACATTGAATATCCAGTGCTGTTTTCAAAATTAGTGAGGCGTCACTACCGTTGATGTGAAGGTTTTTCCCTGTGACCATTCATCCGTAATTAAAACAGACACCATGGGATTTTGAGCCATGATGGGTATTTTCTGATCTTTTTGAAATTCCCAAAATCAGGAGAGAATCAAGTATCATGAGATACAACTTCTACTGAAGACTTTTGATCAGGTTCCTCAGGACCTCCTGACCATGGAGACATGTAAAATATCTTTTGTGTCTCCATCTGACTACATTATTTGTAAACCACTTAATTAAGTCTGGGGTTCTCTAAGGTGGTGGCAAAAACAGTGTGGCAAGAACTAGCAGGACAAGCGGCGTGTACACCTGTACGGTGTGTGTACACGCCGTGTGTACTGCCATGGGGGGCAGCTTCAGCACTAAGGCCAGTAACAGCATTGTTTTGACCCTGGGGCGGAGCGTAGAGAGTTTGTTTACCAGTTCCCAGTTTTCCAGTTCTTCTCCCTGCTGCTGGGATCTAATATTGTTACTGTCCTTTCTACTGCAATTTTAAAAGTTAAGGCGAGAGTTTAAATACTGACCTGTAGATTTTTTTTAAATACATGGCAAACAAGCATCCAGAATCATTAATTTACTTCAAATTGGTTTTATATTGCCGGGCAGCAGCCCGTCCTCATTCCAAGGCCATGATATTACCAAAGCTTTCTACCTTCTCTCTGCGCCTGATAGTGTCGCACATGGCCTCCTTTAGTTACTGTATGAGACACAGCAGGCAAAACATCCATGTCTGTAATAGACTCTCAATTTGATGGGTCAAAGATAAGGTGAACTTTAAACCAGTAGACCAGTGTTTGAGACCCAATCTGTGTTTAACTTAGCTGCTTTGACTTTGAGGGGTATCCAAATGATTATGATAAAGCATCTGATAACTTTGGGTGAGTTCAGCTATCATGATACTATCCTCAGCAAAGTCATGGTTCCTTTGTGTTAGTTTTTGTTTAAACTGTAGAGAATAAGGTGACCTCTCTATGTTCATGTCTACCAACAGTTAATCTATCAAAGGGGACTGTTTATTGAATCAGAATCTCCTCTCTATGGTGCCACTGAGCAGAGATATTGTTCGCTCCTTCTTACTTTACTTACTCCTCTCTGTCTACCTTCTGTAAAAGTTCATCCAGGCAGACAAATCCAACTACTGCCTCAGCCTTGAGTAACCTGCATATGATTTCCAATATTTACGATACATATCACTGTAATAAACATATAATACACATTGAAAGTATGAGAATATTGATCCATCTGGTTATATGAATTCAAAGAATATTTCCGTTTTTGATGCAGTAAATGCAATCCAGTTGATGAATACTCAGTAAATGTTGAGAGTCCAGCTATGAGCAAGAACTCCTCGTAAAGATGAACTATGGAAAACCACTCGTGTAGGGTTGTCGTGAAATGTGAGAGGCAATCAGTTCCATTATGATAGGAGTTGAGGGAAGCTTAATCATACTTGCCAATGTACGGCTACAACATCAAAGCTCTCCATGCTACCTGGGGGCCTTCACATCTTCACCACCTCTGCTCAGCAGTCAGGAATCTGAAAACAGCTCCAGAGATACTCTAATGTTTGAACAAGCTCACAGACAATGGAGGTTCAAGACCGGAGGGCAGAGACTCAAACGTATGTGTAAAGACTTTAAAGCCCTTAGAGGCAATTTTGCGATTTTGGGCTATACAAAATAAAATTAATTGAATTGAATTGAAACGAGGGGATTGTAGATTTGGCTTCAAACCGTGGACCATCAGGACGACCTCATGTTGAGGCAGGACCACTACTACACCAACCTTAGGAAGTAATCCTGCTGATAGGTGTATGATGTTATTGAGGACATGAGAACCACTTAGTTTTACCTGTACTTTCATCTGGTACGCGATTTTCATACAAAAGAGTTTGATAGATGTTTAGCACTCCTACAGTCCAGTTTAAGATCACTTCTAAGATGGACTTCCTTGTGAAAACCATGTTGAGTGAAGCCTTCATTCTGAAACAATTACCAAATAGCTTTTGACATTTACCCTTGGTATCTGTGTCTCTTACTCTGAACAACAACTGACAACAAAGGGAGATCTTTTCACTTCTTCTACAACTTATTCTTATATAATGATATTCATATTGTAAATAATCAGTGTTTAGGAACAAACAGTGCGATATAGTAGCGGTCCCCTATCTTTTTTGCCTTATGGACTGGTTTCATGTTAGACAAGATTTCATGGACCGGTCTTGAAGGTGTGGTGGATAAACACAATGAAATAATTGGCTGACAGGGAGGTAGTAGTTGCTGCACACAACAAAAAACGCTTGGATGAGGCTTGGGAAATGTGTAAATGTTCTACTTTGAAAGAACAAAAGGACAACTCGTTGTACTCTTGATGATTCAGTATTCAATATAGTATTAGTACTCATGATCATAAACAATGGGTTATGTATTTTCAGAAATTAGCTTAGAATTTACATTGAACATCTAGTGCTGTTTTCTAAATTAGTGAGGTGTCACTACAAGGGTCTACACAACTACTAAATGGGACCGCATGTAATTGGGAGCGAAAACAGTCATTTAAAAAAAAAGAATACATATATATATATATATGTTTTCAAATGTATGTCAGAAAAAAAATCAAATGAATAAAATGATTGCTGATGTCATGAAAACGTGCAAGAGCAGAATGGATTTAATGTAAAAGAACTTCTTCAGGTTTGGATACCTTGGATCACAATAAACTTCAGCATTCAGATGTGAGAGCAAAGAAAAGTTTGACAACTGCTTGAAACAGTGTTAGTCCAACTGGAAAGTAAGTAAAATGGCCAATGCTCTATTTCTGAGTTGAATAACTGCCTCAAAGATGTTTGACATGTATTGGAATGGAAAACAATTTGCAAACATTGTTAAACTATTTGCTAAAGTTTGGATTAGACTGATGAAAAATGTAAGATTTTACATTGTAATAAAAAGAACACACAATGGATAATAATCCTTCGGGCAAGTGTCTGACAGACGATTTAAATGGGCCTGAATCCGCACCCAGCATAACATTCTGACTTGACACCGCTCATCCCTTATACAAATGAAAGCCAAAAGGTGTCTCGATTCCTCACAAGCATAACTATCAGAAGGGCCGTTAATAGGCGTGGAGACAGGATGGAGTCCTGTTGTCATGATTATAGACGTTTTTAGCTCTGTCTGTCATCTTCAGCATGAGTATTCTGGAGGGATTAATTGAGCAATTCATGTACTTCTTCTACTCTCCTCCCATTATGGCCTAATGGAGTCAATCCCAGCAAACATCAGGGGGGAGACTGGGTACACCCCAGATTGGTCGGCAGTCAATCGCAGGGCAGACATAGAGACACACAACCATTTCACTCTCACATCCACACACCTACGCGCAATTTAGAGTCACCAATGAACCTAACCCACAGAGCATGTCTTTGGACTGTGGGAGGAAGCGAGAGCACCGGGAGAAAACCCACGTAGACAAGGGAGATCATGCAGAATCTACCAGAAAGGTTGCTTGGGTGGTTTCAAACCCAAGACCTTCCTGCTGTGAGGCAAAAGTGCTAAACACCACACGACCGTGCCGGCCCTGCCATTGCAGAAGAGATACATACTTTCTATCATCTATCTTTAGATGCCTTTGTTGACAAGAATACATACATACATGCTATATTCACAGTTTTGAAGCTAGAAAATGTCACTAGTCACTAGGAGACGCTCATTAGTCAGGGCAAACAAACTAACCAACTGCTGTACACCAAACCAAAGTTTTCTAGAAGAACTGTAACTGTATCATCTTTGGATGTCCGCTAGAGTATGTCTGTCCCAATCAGAACACTGATATGATCAGAGAATGAGTCATCTTCCTAATTGGAGGAGTACTTGAACACACCCAAACACTGGCCGTAGCATGATGCTTTCAACAATTGGCAATGGTTGAAAATGTCATTAATCTTTCCTCTTTCTGCTTCAAAAGATATTTTTCTTTTTTTCTCAATATAAACCACACTAAGATTAGTCTCATTAATTTACTGAAAATAAATTATAATATAATTTTGAAACATTTCAGAGCATTAATATCTAATCTAACGTCTACCTGAGTAGAGAAAGAAGTCTCTCCTTGTCTGTGTGTGGTGACATCACAACTTCTCCTTGCATAGTACACAAGGTGGGCCAAGGTGTACTGCTCTCGTAAGGCAGATACAGCTAATGAAGCCGTCACAACTGACACATAAATAGCTTTGTCTGTTGCACTGTCAGCCCTGTGAGTGCCGATAGCACGGTTCGGCAATCCCTCAATTTGATCTGAATTAGAACTGCAGATTTTTAACAAATAACAAACAATTTTTTTAATAATATAAAGTAGCCTGCTGTAAAACACACAGCTTTGCTCCTGCTTTCTTTAACTTCTATTTTTCTATAACATGTTAGTATACAAATCAAATTCATTCAAAGCAAGACATTGATGGTTGTCATAGCGGATGGTTATTTGACGTTTTATGAACTGGAATGACCTAAAAACATTGGGGAAAAAGCATAATTAGCTCATCTACAATTAGCTGCTGTTGTAGCCTTCCAACATGCCTGCAACAGTGTGTGGTATGCTACTTCAAAACTCTACACCACATCAACTGTTCGCTTGGTCTCAGTCATCGCTCCGCTGCTCTGTGGATCTCATCTACTGTTTGATATTGACTATCATTCACTTTTATGGTGTCTGATCTCGCAGTTGAAAAAGATACTTTTAAAAGAAACATCACCTCCAGTTAGATGTTATCTAAAAGAGCAGTTGCCCTAAACTTAAATAAAAATGATCACCAAAAGGCACATTTTGTTTTCTTCCTGTCCTACCTTACGTTCAATGACAATACGTATCACGATGCATTTCAATGGATCCATAGATGTGGCTAATATGAAGACAACATGGATACATTATTACATGGCCTAATTTTATGAATTATGTTAAGTTACAATTTAGTGTGAGTGCAATCATTTCAATGATAATAGGAATAATTGCAGTTTATCTTAAGATAACCATCCGAAAGCCTTGGCCTAAGCTGTTGTTTCATTATTCATTTACTATTCATTTAAAGACTAAAACAGAGCTGTTCATCCCCTGAGGTTATTCCTTTTCTTTAGAAGGACCCATTCATCAATTTACCCTGTCCAGCTCCTTCAGCTCTCTCGACTCACCTTTCCACAATATTGCCTCTCTCGCATGGTCTTGGTCGCATGGTTTACCCCTACCCCTTCCCCAATCCTTAATCTACTCCTTCCATTTCATCTTGTACCTATATTTTTATACTGGCACAGCAGCAAGTTCTTGAATGTCTTTTTGAACGTGGCGTTGCACAGTGCGTAACAAGCTGGGTTGATAGTAGAGTTGACATAACACAGCCAATAGCCAATAGCCCACACAGTGTCAGGGACACATGACTGGCAGAAGGTGGAGATTAACACCATGACGTTATACGGTGTCCATGTGATGATGAAAGCCAGCAGGATGGCAAAGATGGTCTTGGTCACCTACGGAGAAAAGAAAGAAAAGAGACAGAAGGAATGTGAGAACAGACTGCTCTCAATGCAGCCCTTTAGTTTTATTCATTTCACAAACATTTGGTGACGATTCAAATTTGTTTGTTTTTATGAGAGGAACATTGAGTTCTTTGCTTTCTTGCTTTGTAGCGTCTACCGGTTTGAAAAGCAAGAACTTTCTGCTTGTTCTTGCCACACTGTTTTTGCCACCACCTTAGAGAACCCCAGACTTAATCAAGTGGTTTACAAATAATGTAGTCAGATGGAGACACACAAGATATTTTGTGAACCTGATGTAGTTGTTGACTCTGACAGACTGATTATCTCAAGTAGTTCAACACTAAAATAAACTCAAATTGACAATAGAAAATAATGGACGAATATCATTTAGATCAGCGGTTGCAAAACCTTTTAGGCCACGTACCCCCTTCTACATCCCAACTGGGTTCATGCACCCCTAATCCCCCACTTAAAAAGAAAAAGTAAATGGTAAATGGCCTGTACTTGTATAGCGCTTTTCTAGTCTTCTGACCACTCAAAGCACTTTAACACTACACGACATCATTCACCCATTCACACCCATTCATACACTGATGACAGGAGAACCATACACAGTGACACCTGCCATCAGTAACTACCATTCACACACTGTAGTCGCAGCTACAGGAGCAATGTTGAGTTAAGTGTCTTGCCCAAGGACACAACGACATGCGGGTTAGCCGGGCCTGGGATCGAACCCACAAAAGTCTATTTATAGCTGCATTAAAATTGGACCAATGACAGAACAGTTTGCTCAAGCGTGACGTTTCTTTACAATATTTACTCCTCTGTTAAATGTTGCAGTGTGAACAAAGACCGAACAAAGGGGCAACTGCAACATTGTATCATATTAATTCTGAATCAGGACAAAGCAAAAAAACTATATAGGGGAATTTGAAATGACTTAAACACAGTTCAAACCTATCTCTATCTGCCCCTCTCCTCTCACACGACTGATAGCTTCAGTGAATTAATTAAGATTACAATTAGGGCTGGCTGCTGCTGGAATAACATTAGAATCCCTGCTGGGTTATTTTCTAAAACACTTTTTAAACAACATTTCAAAAATGAGCAGATCATGCTCATTTTAAAAGCTTAGGGGAACTTTCCCAAATGCCATCTGTCATTCTGATAGCTAATGAAGCGACTAAAACTCAACTGCAACTCAAGCTGTTTTGTACCACTTACACAGAGGTAAACTGGGTAGTCCCTCATGTAATCAACAAAAATATTGTATGCTGTCATGCAAAACCCCCAGTTTTAGCTTTGTTTGTTGTCATATTAAATTACACTTCCCTCTTTTCTATATGGATGATTAGTGGGGAAACCATTTGCATTATGGAGGTCTGCTCATCTTTTTTTCTTTTCTTTTTTACACATTTAGGGAAACTGCACATTGTTTGTATTTTGTATCTTTGTCTGATAATCCATCAACAAAATTATAAAGCAGAATCCAATCATTTTTTATAATTGGAATATCCAGCCAGTGCATTAAAGTCACTGCAAACTATAAACACTCAAACGTAAGAAGAAATGAGAAAACATTTCACACCCTATAAGCAACCGTTTCATGTAATAAAACATCTCTCAAGTTAGCACGCCGAATATTGTTTATCCACTAATGCCTCATCGTCATACAGTGTGCATAAACATACTTTCTTTTCTCTGGCTGCCATCTGTCTTTTCCTCTTCACTTGGCTTCTAGCAATGCTTGCAAACTTTCTTGCAACAGTCCGGGGTCGGCTGATTGGGATTGAATGCCTCTCGGCTCCCTCTACAGGGGGGACGATCTCTATGGCTGTGATGCATTCGTCTCCGGCCTGCTTGGTTACAATCTTTATCTTTGACCACCTTGAGGTAGAGTTCATCTTGGACACTTCAGGATTTGTAGTTGTCGTACCAACTAGGGTGGGAATTGCTGCAGCCTGAAACAAAACCAAAAGAGTTTGTTAGAAACTTCCATATTACTGCTGATTGAAGGTGTCAGGGTTGCCTCTAGTGTGTGCTGCACTGACAACTGACAGCAACAGGAAGGAGAACAGTTTTAACGTTTGACATCGCCGATGTGATTGGTTTACGGAAACGGTGCCCACGTCTGGTTGGCTAGTACTAAATGAGCCATGGAGGGGATTTTACTTTTAAATCCCCTCAATTTTTTTTGACAATCAAAACATCCCTGATTTACGGTCTACAGCAGGGGTCTTTTTCAGGCCAAGGTCCCCCAAACTGATGGCGAGATGGAGCACGGACCCCTATTCTACGGAGGGGGTCCATCTTTTATTTGAGCTTCGCGCTCTTCAGACGTAAGCATAAACGTGATCTGATTGACTAGTGCCTGTAATGTTGCATTTGCATGAAAGGTGCTGTGAATGAACCGGTGCCCAGCTTGAGAGACCTCCTGTGGGTAGCTGAATGTGTATTGCGGACTGAAAGATAACATCTTCATCAATTTATCCGTTTGCTACAATATGTTGGATTCATTTTAATGTGTATTTAAAGACATAAAATGTCATCTCAACCAAAAATTTCGCGACCCCCCCTGCAGTACCTCCGTGGACCCCCTGTTGAAGACCTCTGGTCTACAGCACTTCATCTGGTATTTGCCATACAATTCACGCTGTAAGTTTACATCCTGCAAAAACAGTACATGTTACACCCAATGAGAGAAAATTATTTAAAAGAATGTCAAGGTGGAGTTGGTTATTTATTATATGTTTAGACTTTAACAACATTTGGATAAAACAGTTCTCTGAATCTGCTCTTTGGATTTACAGAATAGGATTTTTACAGGGAAAACTTTGGGAGAAGAATCAAATGTCATGCTAAATGCAAAAATATAATATGTCTTTCAGCTTTTGGGGCATTACCTATAGTAATAATGGTAAAAAAAAAGTGTATATATATATAGAGTATTTGCAAAAAACAGTTTTCACTTTGTCATATGGGTTGTTGTGTGTAGAATGTTGAGGAAAATAATGAATTTAATCCATTTTGGGATAGGGCTGTAACATAACAAAATCTGGAAAAAGTGAAGCACTGTGAATACTTTCCGGATGCACTGTATATGCTCAGACTGCATATCCTTTATTGATGTGCATACTTAACGAGCATCAATGTTCTGGCGTTTTTGGGCTTCCAACTATATATAGTTGGGGCAAACCCCAACTATATATATATATATATATATATATATATATATATATATATATATATAGTTGGGGCAAAACACCGTAGGAAGCCCAAAAACGCCAGAACATTGATGCTCGTTAACTATATATATATATATATATATATATATATATATATATATATATAGTATATACTATATATAGTATATACTATATATATATATAGTTGGGGCAAAACACCGTAGGAAGCCCAAAAACGCCAAATTGTATAGTAATCTGTTAAAAATAAAGAACAAAAACATAACATGTACATAAGTATTCACAGCCTTTGCCATGACACTCAAAATTTAGCTCAGGTGCATCCTGTTTCCACTGATCATCCTTGTAGATGTTTCTACAACTTGATTGAGTCCACCTGTGCTAAATTCAGTTGATTGGACATGATTGAGAAAGGCACACACCTGTCTATATAAGGCATCACAGCTGACAGTGCACATTAGAGCATAATCCAAGCCATGAAGTCCAAGGAATTATCTGTAGACCTCTGAGACAGAATTGTATCGAGGCACAGATCTGGCGAAGGGTACAGAAAGATTTCTGCAACATTGAAAGTCCCAAATGAGCATAGTAGCCTCCATCATCCGGAAATGGAAGAAGTTTGGAACCGCCCAGCCAGACTGAGCGATCGGGGAAGAAGGGCCTTAGTCAGGGAGGTGACCAGGAACCCGATGGTCGCTCTGACAGAGCTCCAGCGTTGTTCTATGAAGAGAGGCGAACCTTCCAGAAGGACAATCATCTCTGCAGCACTCCACAAATCAGGCCTGTTTGGTAGAGTGGCCAGACGGAAGCCACTCAGTAAAAAGCACATGACAGCCCGCCTGGAGTTTGCAAAAAAGCACCCGAAGGATTCTCAGACCATGAGAAACAAAATTCTCTGGTCTGATGAAACAAAGATTGGCCTGAATGCCAAGCGTCATGTCTGGAGGAAACCAGGCACTGCTCATCACCTGGCCAATACCATCCCTACAGTGCAGCATGGTGGTGGCAGCATCATGTTGTGGGGATGTTTTTCAGTGGGAGGAACTGGGAGACTAGTCAGGATTGAGGGAAAGATGAATGCAGCAATGTACAGAAACATCCTCGATGAAATCAGCGCTCTGGACCTCAGACTGGGCTGACGGTTCATCTTCCAACAGGACATAGACCCGAAGCACACAGCCAAGATAACAAAGTAGTGGCTTCGGGACAACTCTGTGAATGTCCGTGAGTGGCCCAGTCAGAGCCCTGACTTGAACCTGATTGAACATCTCTGGAGAGATCTGAAAATGGCTGTGCACCGACGCTCCCCATCCAACCTGATTGAACTTGAGAGGTTCTGCAAAGAAGAATGGGAGAAACTGCCCAGAAATAGGTGTGCCACGCTTGTTGACTCATACCCAAGAAGACTTGAGACTGTAATTGGTGCCAAAGGTCCTTCAAGTATTGAGCAAAGGCTGTGAATACTTATCTACATGTTATGTTTTCGTTCTTTATTTTTAACAGTTTTGCAAAAAACCTTTTTACTTTGTCATTATGGGTTGTGTGTAAAATGTTGAGGAACATAATGAATTTAATCCATTTTGGAATAAGGCTATAACATAATGTGGAAAAAGTGAAGCGCTGTGAATACTTTCTGGATGCACTGTACAATGGCCGTAGAGGCAAGTTGGTCTCAAAATTTGATTAACATTGAAAAATGGAAAAGGGAGGCAGATGGAAAATAATCAGTGACTAGTCTGTTGAAGTTGATTCCTGCTAAGAAGTAGGTCTGGATGATGGCGGACCAGATTTATTTCTGAACATCCGATACATTTGATGTTTAGAGACGTACATGACAACTGCTATGGTACTCTTCTTCTCTTTTTGTGCAACGTGCCATCTTTAACTAACTCTCCTATCTCCAACGTAACAACCTTCTTCACCCCCACCAGTCAGGCTTCAAGGCTGGCCGTTCCGGAGAGACTGCTCTCCTCGCTGCTTTAAAGCAACTCCATACTGCGAGAGCGGCCTCTCTCTCCACTGTCCTCATCCTTCTTGACTTTTCTGCTGCACTTGACACAGTAAACCATTTAGATCCCCATTTCCTCCCTTCAGGAACTTGGTGTCTCAAGCTCTGCTCTCTCCCTTCTCTCATTCTACCTTGACGGCCGCACCTACTGGGTAAACTGGACAGGGGTGTGTCTACTGGAGTTCCTCAGGTTTCCATCCTGGGTCCCCTCCGCTTCTCTCTCTACACCAACTCTCATGGCTCTGTCATTCGCTCGCATGGCTTCTCCTGCCACAGCTAGGCCTAACTCGACTAATTCTTTCTTTCCCTCACTCAGACACTCAGGTGGCGGCACGGATCTCTGCCTGTCTGACTAACATCTCTCAGTGGATGTCCACTCACCATCTGAAAACCAACCCCGACAAGACTGAACTTCTCTTTCCGGGAAAGATTCTCCTACACAGGACCTGTCTGTTCACTTTAGCAACTCCTGTTAACATCCACTTTGACTGCTAGGAACCTTGGTGTGACACTTGTCAGCCAATTCTCCCAACATTACAGCGACCGTATGATCATGTAGAAAACACGCTCTACAACATCAGGAGAATACGTCCTCTTCTCACTCAGAAGGCGGCGCAAGTACTGATTCAGGCTCTTGTCATCTCCCACCTCAACTATTGTAACTCTCTCCTGGCAGGTCTCCCTCTGCCACCACCATTCAACCTCTGCAGCTCATCCAGAATACAGCAGCTCGACTGGTCGACCTTCCAAAATTCTACCACACTCCTCCGCTCTCTTCACCAGCTACTAGTGGCTGCCCACATCCATTTCAAAACATTGGTACTCGCGTACCATGCCGTGAATGGATCGGGTCCAGTCTACATCCAGGACATGGTCAAACCCTACATCACAACCCGCGCATTCCGCTCTGCATCTGCCAAACTGATTGTTCCTTCCTCACTGAGAGCAAAACACTCAAGATCACAACGTTTTGCTGTCCTGGCTCTGAAATGGTGGAATGAGCTCTCTGATGACATCAGGACTACAGATAGCCTTTACATCTTCCGCCGCAAACTAAAGACACCTTTACATCTTCCGCCGCAAACTAAAGACACACCTCGTCAGACTATACCTCAACTCAAGACTTACAAATTGTAGCACTTAAATTGTACGTATAATGGCTCTTATCTATAGGAAGTTGTAAATCAGCTTACTTAATACAATTTCCCTTTCTTGTTTTTTTTCTTCTTCTCTTGAGTTTGTATCCTTGTGGTTTAAATGCACTTATTGTAAGTCCCTTTTGGATAAAAAAACGTCAGCTAAATGACATCTAATGTGTGATATGCCTTGCAACATTTCCAGCCAGTTAGTTAGGCTTAGGGGTTTCCCAACTGGAGTTAATTGTATATTGCGGCTGAAAACTGTCAGGCCATCGTCGGCCAAGCGCCTGAATTTACGGAACGAGAAATTGAATAACCTTAGCGATGCTTTTGTGATAAACAGGAACGTGGCCTGACCTGAGGATGAACTGGTGCTGAAATTAGATTTGTTGATTTCCAGGTAGGAACAGCATGAGGGCTAGAAAACAAATCAACTTTATTTAGGATCACTACTAATGTTGAAGGGATTATGTGGACGTTAGAGCCCATAAACGCTCCGTAGAATGGTAGCTATGACAACAGGGTGTATCTTTCGGTTGCAGGGAAGCGGGACTCAGAGGCAAGAGATTAAAACTCTGGGAGCAAACAAAAGCAAACCATATCTCAACATAGCAGACTCAAATGGAAAGAGCTGCATTTGTGTCAAGTGGAACATCCTTAGGTTGAATGATGTGGTCATAGAAGGGCAGCCACGTGCACAGACATTTTGGGGGGCAGGTGCTCAAACCAAAACAAAAGGGCACCCATCGACAAAATTATTCAGGAAATTAAAAATACTAATAAAATAAATTGATAAAAAACAGTAGGATAATTTCCCTGTCCTTTTTAGAGTCTCTCTTTTCTTGGCATTGATTTGAATTCATTTTATTTTGTATAGCCCAAAATCGCAAATTACAAATTTGCCTCAGAGTACTTTACAGTCTGTACACATGCGACATCCTCGGTCTCGAAACCCTCACATCGGCACAGGAAAAACTCTGCAAAAAATGAAAACCCTTCCATGGGAAAAAAAAGGGAAGAAACCTTAGGGAGAACGTCAGAGGAGAGATCCCTCTCAGAGGATTGAGAGACTGCACTGGATGTCGTGTGTACCGAATGAACAATGTAAAAGATGTATTATAAATTCAATTACTATAACAGAAATGATTCAAATATAAGTTCAAGAGGAAAGGTTGAAGAAAGAAAAGGAACAATTGGAAATTGAAACTGAATTGTCAGTAACAAATGAAAAGCTTCATATTTTAGAAATCAGTTCACCTCAGTATGGCTCAAAATGTTGAGGGAATGAATTATTATTTTGAAAGGCAAGAGAAGAAAGCAAGCCAGTTGAACCCCCATGCCTACACCTTCGCTCCAGTTACAATGGATGAAAATGGTATTGCTGAGCCAGAATATGTATAATAGTTACAATATAGTAGTTCATATACTGAATATTCTGTCTTATATACGTTACATCACGCCACGCTTGCACGGTCTACCGCGGGAGATGACCAAAACTAATGCTAATTAGCGATCCTTGCTTACTAACGGACGCATTTAATTTTATTCCAAAGCAACTCAGGCTGACTCCAGTAAGGTAATGACATAAGAATGTGCGGGATGCTTGCCACGGTTTCAATCTGGCTCGGTTTCGTCCCATTAGGGTGGAAAAGGAGTTATCCAACCATTGCATACCCACCTCAGATATCACCGATTTGTTGGTGTTGTCCTTTGGTTCTGTGGGAGGAATAAAGGCTGTGGATGAATCGTTGGAGCTCTCTTTTTCCTCCTAGGTAGATAGGTAGATATATAAATAGATGAACAGCATACTAACTGCAGCTAGAACACAATACATGTTATGTTGTGTGAGTTAGCACCTGTGTGGGTCCCGGACTGGGTTGTGTTGGAGCCTGAACAAGTTTTGGTTCCTCCACTCTGCCGTTCTTCACAGCCTCGAGCGCAGTGGTTGAGGACTCTACACTGAGCTTGGGAGTAGAGCGGGGACTGGCCTGAGGACTGGTCTCATTGTTGTTATTCTGCTTAAATAGGTGACCCTTCATCAAGCTGGGAGTTCTAGAAAAAAAGCATTTTTAGTAAACAAACCGCATTAGAAAATCTTTCACTTTTAGGTGTACACAATATATAAATCCAAAAATATATATAAATTACATCATTGTGCAAATGGTCCTTTTTTAATTTGTTAATTTAGCTATTATGCCAATAAATGCCATTGAAAGTCTCATTGATCATGATCAGTTAAATGGTTTGTAATGTAAAATAGTTACAGTAGTTCCATTACAACCTCGAGAGCAGTGCAGCAGAAACCTTTTGCCATGATTGGTCATAATAATAATATGCAAAAATTTAAAATCTTGTTTTCTGCAGAACTTTTAGTGGTATCCCTTTATTGAAGGTGTTTAATTGTTATACATGGAAAAAGTCAAATGTTTTTCACACTTTTTTAAAATTCCGATATATTACATCCATTTTACATTTTTTTTTGGCAGCCGTTGCTGCCAGTCATGACCTTTTTTCAACATTTTTTTTTTTTTTTTTTACAGAGAACACAACCCCAACATCTCCTGGGCTTTTCGAGGTTGGACCCAATCATTCAAGCCAATCAAGTTGACGCACCACAAGGTTCCTCGCTCACCAACTCTTCCAAAACTTAGAAGTGGTCCCCTCCGAATACCTGTACTTCAAGGGGGTATACAAATCCAAGGCCATGTCTCTGCCTCCCCATTGTCTTTAGGATTGTGTCATCAACCTTCAACATGTTACATTTCTAATGAGGCAACGGACTCCCTGGCTCCCGGCCCTCATCATCTACTGCATAGGGTGGATTTTCTTTGTGGGGAAGAAGGACAAGACCCTGAGATCCTACATTGAAAACTGGGGCTTAGATAAGATTACAGTGAAAATACGCTACCCTATGCCACTCATCACACCGGCGTTAGAGTCACTATCTTCTCCAAACTCGACCACCGCAACGCCTCTCAACAGGTTCAGATTAGAGAGGGGGGTGCGTGGGGGACGGCATTCAACATACCTAAGGGGCAGTACGAGTACCTTTCTCCTTGGCTAAACCAATGCGCCCAATGCTTAACCTGGTGAATACGTAACGGCAGACCCTGACAGAAAATTTGTGGTGGAGGTGGATGCCTCCAACATATGGGTCGGGACGTCCTGTCCCAACACTCCGCTGCTGACTAGAAGCTTCATCTCTGAGCCATTGAGTCTCGTCAACTTTCCCCGCCAGGAGAAACTATGACATTGGCAACGGAGAACTACTAGCTATGAAGCTGACCCTGGAGGAATGGCGTCACTGGCTGGAGGGGACCAAACTCCTGTTTGTTTTGTCACTCTAAAAAGGCTAGATGCTCTCTTAGATAGCGAGCCAAGATTTAAGCTCTAAGGTCTGTCTTAACACTTTCTTCAGATACATTTCCGAGAGTATGACACAATTCAGGGTGATGGCCATGATTCTGGTTGATCCATGGTTATGTCCATAAATTTAAATTGAGAATTGCTAAGTGCATTGTTATTTATATTTCTGTTTCCTTACTTTATTCCCTTTTCTTTTTTCTCTGGTTTGTGTTTGGAGACCCTGCTCCTGGAGGCAAGGGAAATATGGATGTACAGGACTGTCATAATAATGACAGGAAGATAGAATGCTGCTATAGCGGTCCCAAAAGTCACTGCAGGGTTCGAAAGAAACTGAAAGAAAAAGAAAGAAACCCTCCCGTGATTCATAGGAAATGTTAATAAATGTGCATTAAATACATACACTGAATCACAAGTTAATAAACAGGTACTGAAAGACAGTCTATTTGAATCAATCAAATAAATCCTGGCTTTGTTGACTTTACAATGTGTTGCTCTAACAACTGTCAAAGTTGCCCTTAGGGTTGTGTTGCACTGTATCATATTGAACGTGTATTATGGATATCCATAGTTATATATTAGGGGTATTTGAGTAGTAACCTTACATGCAAATAGAAAAAAGTGAGGCTGGTGCCTATGGGCTCCAAAATAGGAATTGAGTCAAAGATGTCGGTCACAACTGGCCTTAAAAGATTCAGATTTGATACTCTATATGTTACATGGATTCTGGGTTACTAATGTTATATTGATGCAGGGTAACTAAAGTTATTTTGAGATTTGTAAACCCTGCAAACATTCTCTGGCACCTTCAGGGATGCAATCCTCGTGTTTCTGTGTCTTAAGAAGGGCATGCATCCATTTAAAGAGTAAATGTCAGCCTTTGAAGAAAGAAATGACAAATATCATATATTGAACCTCAAAGAGGTTTACTAAGTAATCTGGCATTAGCTGTAGTTTGCAGTTCTCATGTCATAGCACAAAACCAACAGGTCTGTAAAGAATTGAATTCCACACAGTGCAATTCAACTCTCACAAGCTCTGCAATCCGGAGTTTAAGGGTGATGTTATCATGCAGTCACGAGCACACATTCGCACAATGAGAATTTGCATTAGCATAGCCGGCTTATAAGGATTTTTCAGAAGAAACTGTCCCACCTGTTGGATGCAATCCAGCATCTGACAGTAGCAACAGTGGGATCACTTGTAGATAGCTGTAGGTAGCTGTTAAAAACACTTGTAGGTGTGTTGGGAATTTCCCTGGCATCTCTCCAGCCTAATGTTTTACTGACATTCTGGATCAAAGCATCGGCAAAATGAATAGTGATTTGCAAAAGCAAATTGATGATGTGTGGTGTTATGTGTTGTCTATAGCTACTGTCACTTAAAAACCTTAAGCCTTTGCAGGAGGAAAACTTCTACCGTAGCCTCAGCTGCACGCTCACCATCAAGGGACAGCTGAGGCGAAACCTAAGAAGGCAACAAAGAGGAGGAGGGAGTGTTGGCGAGGCAAAGGTGAACACCGCTGGGAGATAGGCCTTCTTTTATCTTGATGTTTTACTGATTTACCTTTAACAGGATGGGGGATGGTTAACAATCATGCCATGGTGACAACAGTTGAGGATGGCAGAAAGCTTCCTGTTGTGGGCCCGAGAGATCCTATTGTTTCTGAATCCCTCCACATTCTCTGATTAAAAAAGCGGAAGTGGATTATTTTTCTAACAAACACCCACTGTCTGTTATGGTTCTCGCTGCACAATGCAGAATCCTTTTTTTTGTAACAGATCCTTTGGCGTGTCTAGCCTGTGTAAGTTTTCATGCACAGTACGATATTTGCCGGTTACACATACACAAATTTTCAGTGGGAAAATGTATGCTCATTGCTAGATGATATGATTACAACCCATAAAGACCACTAGATTATAAAGCCTGTGTGAGTTCAAATGCAATTGTGGAAGTAAGTTTTAACAGACCTTGATGTTGCGTATGGATCTAATTAGCAATGGTATTGGTAGGGTGGGTAGTACGGTTATTATTGAATTTTGTTATCAGGTCAGCGGGGAGATGAAGACTTAGTTATCAGAGGACAGTATTACCCATGGATCATCCTTCGCTTGTGCTTTTAGGACATGGGTTAAAGTATCTTAACGTTTGTTTTGGAATGCAAGTAACCGTGATTAGTGATTAAAAGGGCCTAAGCAAACATTGCTTTACTTTTCACTATATCTCTCAATAGTTAATAGTTTTTCAATAGCTCCTACCATTACATTACCTTGTCAATTGGGTGTGGATGGGATTTGGGTTTCTCCAACCAAAATAAATCTCTATTGACTGCTTGTATCAAAAAACAATGAAAATGACAATGTGAAAAAAACAAAAGATCTTATCCAAGAACAAAAATCCCTATATTGGAATGATGTGACTATTTCAAAAACTTCTGTAAAACTAGTTTGGAATTTCATTGATGTGTCTGACCTTAAGTGGCTGCAACTTTGATATTAACGTTTGTTCCAATTGCTGTACCTGAATATAGCATTCTCCTGGTGGCACTGTTCGCTGTCCAACGATGAACTGCCAGAACAAGATAGCAGGAGCCCACAAGATGAACGACAAGATCCATGCAGCTGCGATCATCAGCCCTGCCATCTTAGTTGTCCTTCTTGCCGGATATGTTAGGGGTTTAGTTACGCAAAAATAGCGATCAAAGCTGATGATCAATAAATTCATCACTGAGGCATTTGAGACAACATAATCTAAAGCTAGCCACAGGTCACAGACCACCGGCCCAAGTGGCCAGTAGCCAACAATGATGTATACTGTATATAGGTTCATACTGAAAGCACCAATGATCAAGTCAGCACATGCTAAGGAAAATAAGAAATAGTTATTGACAGTTTGTAGGTGGCGGTTTACTTTAATGGAAAGCATAACCAAAATATTCCCTGTGACGGTCACAAAGCTCAAAGATCCAGTAACAAGTGCAATGAAAAACATCTCCAATGCTTTATATGGACTCCCTCTCCTCTGTTCTTCATTCACAACAGTGCAGAAAGTTGAATCATTCGAGGACGTGTTGCATGAAGCGTTGGAAAAGAGATCAGCTGATTGGATGACCGATGTCCCTGCAGGAAGATAGAGAGTGAGAGATAAAAAGATGGACAAAACATATGAGTACCAGTTACTTACTAATGTTGATGACATATACAGTAGATTGTATTTCCCTTTGCTGCTTTCTTAAAAAGCAACTTGGTCTATTTACTCCTTTAATTTGAAAGAGCAACAACAACTTCTCTCTGACATTAAAACAACTCCTAACTTTTCCAATATGTTGTTTGAACAGTTACAACCATAAACAGTAATGCTGGTATCTGGTAGATATTAAGTACAGGAACAGAACCAAAAAAAACTCCGAACAGCAGAGATTCAGGTTTATTACAAAAATTCACAAAGCTGATGACAATAAAAATACAAATAATGTTAAAGCTGCAAGCAGAGATGAACGGACCTTCGCCTCCCATGTCAGGGGGGCACCCTGACGGATATGCGGTCAGAATAAAAATGAATTAAAAAAAAACAAAATAAACAAAACAGACAACAAAAAAAAGTTCATCCAAGATGGGATGCAAGTCACGGGGAGCCGGGCTCGAAGGGCGCCGGCGACAGGTCACAGGGAGCCAGGCTCGGGGGCGCCGGCGGCAGGTCACGGGGAGACGGGCCTAAACCGTGACAGAACCCCCCCCCCCCCCAGTCAGGCGTCGTGGAACCGTTACTGGAGTCGGAGACAGGGTCAGGCATCATCTTCTGTCAAGATGGGGTGCTGAGTGTATATTAATGAGAAATAAAATGAACTTTTTTGATTTTATCAAATGGCTGCAATGAAACAAGAGTGACACATTTAAAGTGGTCTGAATACCCACTGTATTTAGTACAGCAATGGTATGGTTATAAAAAACGCACATATGGGTGTATCCTGCTTGTTTAAAGTGCAAGGTTTTTCCTGGACCGGTTGCAATATATGTACAAAGATTTGTCGTACAGGTCAGGGTACTCACACACAGCTAAAGCTAATATTAATTTATCCTCCTTTGTTTCCGATTTGGCAAATGTCTGCAAGACATCAATGACGACAGGGGGAGCATCTCAATGCTGATAGGCTATTGTGCCGCAGCGCAATGCCATTTTGTCGCCGAAGTTGAAAAATCTCAAATCACGCAATGCGTTCAGCCGTTTGATGAGACTTTGCCCGGAGCTCTTTCACCAGAAATGAGCTCTTGAACATTTTCTTCTCTTGAACAAATTTTCTTTTTTCTTCTGTGGAATTACTGGACATTCTAGTCAAAGGTGTGCTCACCTTTCGCCACGCGGTGAGGCGCTGCAGGGGAGGAAAACGGGCCGGCTCGTTAGTGCGACTCCGCAAGCGTGGTTCTCGCACACCGATGCCAGGCATCTTTCTCTCCAACGTGCGCTCACTGTGCAACAAACTGGACAAACTTCAGGTGCTGGTGAGGAGAGACAGAGACTTTTCTACATCCTCCATTTTGTGCTTCACAGAGACGTGGCTCTGCGGATCGATACCGGACTTCGCACTCCAGCTGGCGGGCTTCCAGCTGCTCAGAGCGGACCGCGACACAGAGCTCTGCAGCAAGACGAAAGGGGGAGGAATCTGCTTCTACTTCAACAGCAGCTGGTGCAACGACGTAACAGATCCTACAACACTGTTCTCCGGAAACTTTCATCAACTATAAACCCTTTTATTCCCCCCGTGAGTTTGCTTCATTCATCCTGGTCGGTGTTTACATGCCACCGCCGGGCAACGTGCCTGAGGCACAGCGGACACTCGCCGACCAGATACGGCACGTACGGCATTGTGCTGACTAGCTGTCTCCGGTGTTCACTGTCATCTTCAACACCTCCTTGGAGACATGCTACGTACCAGCCTGCTTCAAGGCCTACACCATCATCCCTCTCCCCAAGAAGCCCAGGATCACAGGACTCAATGACTACAGGCCCGTCGCCCTGACGTCTGTAGTCTTACTGTAAGTTTCAAATTAGATCCGCTTTGTGTGTGGCCAGTAAATGCATATCAATGACATGGGAGTCAGACTCCCCTACAGTCATCGACAATAAATGGAAATGGTATCGGTATATAGAAATAAACAGCTGTATCCCGCTTGAAAATATTACATATAGTCTCAAGAAAAGATATAATTTATCTATGGACATTTGGCAGCCTTACTTGGAGTATTACATTACATGTCATTTAGCTGACGCTTTTATCCAAAACGACTTACATTGCATTTTTAACACTTGGTTTTACATTTTGCCCAAGGGTTAGGTGTCTTGCTTGGGGACTCTTTGACATGGAGCAGTCGGGGTTTGAACGCCAACCTTGCGGTTCCCAGCGCACCCTCTCTACTATGGGAGTATATGGGTACAACACTAATAGTGCCATAGTGCTGTAACTATTTGGAGTTTGGAACCAATAATGCACTGTGTGAATGTAGCATCCTTAGTGTTGTACTATTCTATTCACCAACCAATTCATTTTTGGTTTGCTTTTTTGGGTGGGGGAAATTATTAATATAATGTGTTTCTTTGTTATTTTCCTTATTTTTATTTGTCTCATCTTTCTTACTTTATCCTACCGAATTTGCTTTCCTTTTCTGTTTACTGTATTCAATATATGACCTTGCAGTTACCTTGCGACAAAAAAAAAGGCATTCAGAGCCTTCTATCGGTTTTATACATGATTTATGTGGGCCAAGTGGAGCTAATTCTGGACACAGTTGATTATGCCATGCTCTAGTCGCTCTACTTATAGTTTGAGTTTGTTTGGTAATGATTAAATAATCGCAAAAATAAACTATGGAGGATCCCTGTGCTGACTTTGAAGAGTACTTTAGTTGTCGACCGTGAAGACTTTCAAGAAATCTACTTCTTGTCATCAGGGGATGGGGTTTGCTCAGGTGTCATCATGTGGATGGATGGCCTGGTTTATGTCCTCCAGTTTTCAGTTTCAGATAAATTATTTAAAAGTATTTAGGTATTTTAGACCCTGTATTTTTTTTAAACACAAAACGATACACATTTGATCATCTCCAAGGCAGAATTTCAAAGAGTGGCAACATGTTGAACTAGCATCTCTTCCTGCTGTCCTTGTGCAGTTTACTGTGCTCTCTATCATTGGAGGGGCTGTGTTCGAAGTGCACAACAATTTTCCGACATTTAGCCAGGAAATCTTCCATACCACTTTTGTTAGGGCAACAGTGGTGGTTCTATGAACTATGTGTTCAGGGTAGTTATTGAAATGGAAGTAGCAGATACCAAGTTACGGGCATTAGCAGTGCCAAAAGTCATTTGCCGCTAATCTTCCTTCTGTTTGAGACGTATAAGGAATTCCTCTGCACAGTCTGCTCTATGTCGCGCCTCTGTTTTTTCAAATTTCCAATGCAAAAAGCTCTCTCCATCTTCAACGACCATCTCGGTCTCTCCTATCTAATTGACTGCAGGAACGTGGCTGTTTTGTGTCAGCGGTCAACGCACACTAGAAGTAAAGTTGTGTTGACTGTATTAGTATGCAGTCTTTTATTGCAATAATCTCGGCCACAATAATCTCGTAGATTAACGCGTTAATTTGTGCTAGCGTATTTGTCTATGTAGGTAAAGCTGTGTGGAACTTTGACTGCATATATGAGCACTGGCAGTCTGAACCAGTATTTAGCATTTTATTAAAATGTACTATTGTCATGTTAATGCATGGGAAGGGAAATTCCTTGTATCAGTGACCCCTGCTTGATGACCTCTAACCTCTTTACAGTGGATGGTTGTTTGCAGTGTTTTAGTTGCTTGGCTGTTTCACAGGAGAAGAGTTCCTCACAGCAGGCTCCAGTGATTTGCTCGGTTTTCATTGTAGTAGCCGAGACATTAAGGTATGGAGTGTCACATGAAATCTTTAGTTAAATGTTTGTACTATCCAGCAGTGTCCTGAGATGCTTCCAGTGATCAGTAGAGTCCGTTCGGAATAGGTTGTCCACTGGATCAGACTATATAAGAGGACAAAACGTTGCTGCCCGGTGTGATCACATATTTGAGGGTCATTATATACACTCACCTAAAAGGATTATTAGGAACACCATACTAATACTGTGTTTGACCCCCTTTAGCCTTCAGAACTGCCTTAATTCTACGTGGCATTGATTCAACAAGGTACTGAAAGAATTCTTTAGAAATGTTGGCTCACATTGATAGGATAGCATCTTGCAGTTAATGGAAATTTGTGGGATGCACATCTAGGGCACAAAGCTCCCGTTCCACCACATCCCAAAGATGCTCTATTGGGTTGAGATCTGGTGACTGTGGGACCATTTTTGTACAGTGAACTCATTGTCATGTTCAAGAAACCAATTTGAAATAATTTGAGCTTTGTGACATGGTGCATTATCCTGCTGGAAGTAGCCATCAGAGGATGGGTACATGGTGGCCATAAAGGGATGGACATGGTCAGAAACCATGCTCAGGTAGGCCGTGGCATTTAAACAATGCCCAATTGGCACTAAGGGACCTAAAGTGTGCCAAGAAAACATCCCCCACACCATTACACCAGCACCAGCCTGCGCAGTGGTAACAAGGCATGATGGATCCATGTTCTCATTCTGTTTACGCCAAATTCTGACTCTACCGTCTGAATGTCTCAACAGAAAACAAGACTCATCAGGCAAAATTTTTCCAGTCTTCAACTGTCCAATTTTGGTGAGATCTTGCAAATTGTAGCCTCTATTTCCTATTTGTAGTGGAGATGAGTGGTACCCGGTAGGGTCTTCTGCTGTTGTAGCCCATCCGCCTCAAGGTTGTGCGTGTTGTGGCTTCACAAATGCTTTGCTGCATACCTCTGTTGTAACGAGTGGTTATTTCAGTCAAAGTTGCTCTTCTATCAGCTTGAATCAGTGGGCCCATTCTCCTCTGACCTCTAGCATCGTAATGTTACAAGGCATTTTTGGCCACAGGACTGCCGCATACTGGATGTTTTTCCCTTTTCACACCATTCTTTGTAAACCCTAGAAATGGTGGTGCATGAAAATCCCAGTAACTGAGCAGATTGTGAAATACTCAGACCGGCCCGCCT